CTAAGCTGTTTAGCCAGGTTAATTTCTGGATGGTTTCAAAGACTCAAAACCGGCAGAATACTTCTCCTGCAGTGAAGTAATTTCTGCAGGAATTTTAAACTCTTGTTCCTGTAGTTCGGGCCAGTATAAACGTGATAAAATTTTGGCATGAATATCAGTCGTGGGGCCCTGGTCAAGACCTTTATCCGTTCGTATAACCGTATCAATCCGCTTGGAATCAAGTGAATCACGTAACATAACTTCACAAGCTTGGAGCGCTGATTCACCAAAGCGGACCTTCAGGAGTTCCAGCACGGAAACTTCTTGGTCGAATGTTCCGCTCTTGCTTAATAACCTGCCACAAAGCGTATCCTGAAGTTCTTTTACGAAGACCTCCTTAGAGTCAAAAAGAGTTATCATGCTGCCTATAACGTCGGACTGCTTTGACCGCTTATAATCAACCACAGCGTCGACTGGGTCAGGCACCCAGTTCATATCGTCCCAATCAAGCTCTCCAGAGTCATTGCGTAAAGATGCTTGGCGTGCACTTGTTAACTCAATTGCCAATTCCATCAGGGTATTTGGATCTGTGTTCTCCTGATCTTTTGCCTCACTAACGTCGGCCAATAGCCCGTTAACTATCACCTTTACAGTATCATCTCGTTCACGTAGATACCTGCGTATAGGCCGCGCCACCCTATCTAGCAACACTCCTCTGGGGTCTAGTTGGGTAAGTGCTCGGATGATAGATATGTAGAGCTGCAATATTTCCACTGTAGAAGCGCCTGGGTGAAGGAGTCGTTGAAAAATAGCAGTATTGAACATGCTTGAAAGGTAGAGTCGTGTCATCGGATTTGTAGTATAGCTCTTCAAATCTTCGATTGCTCCGCTACTGGCGTCCCATTCAACGACAATATCAAAAAGTTCGCTTATCCGCAAGGCAGCTAGTCGAGTAACAGCAATCTCCTGCCACTTGTGAATATCCGTTAGGGTAATGTCGATGCCTTCCTCGCCTCGTGGCACCCCATGCTCGCCTTGTCTCAGGCATTGAAGGACTTGAAGGACTAACCGCCCAAAGATCTTTCCGATCCATAGGCGTAGGTGTTCAATGGCAAACGACGGGGCATCCCATAGACCAGAGTATGAAGATATTACAAACTCCGTTATCATGTTGTTCATCACATTAGCAAATACAACCTGGCATTTCTGACCACCCAAACCGACTTCCTGAAGCCCTTCTATTAGGCGGGTCAAGCCAAGTCTCGCGTCTACGGCTCCGGGTATTTCCCTCTCGGAGATCGAAGATATCCGATAATCAGGGGATTGTGTTCTCCAGCTACTGTAGCACATGCGAGACCTTGGATCAACATCCATCTCATCCCCATCTGTATCTGCAGCATTAAGTCTTTCAGCATTATTCTTCGTCCCCAATATTATAGAGCATGCAGCAGTGAGTTCTGTAGCAAGGATATCGGAAAATGAATGGGGGAGAGAGAACATAGTAACCGCGTAGTATGCTCTCACGGAGAGCCGTAAAACCGGTATCCCTTGCCGTCGGGTCTGATAATGGTAGTATATATTTTAAAAAGGGGCTATAATAGATATTCTGAATAAGGCGAAGATAGCGAACCAGCCTGGTCAGCACATGCTTCTTCTCGGTGCCCTCTAAAATCTTTAACGGTCAACAGTCAGATCGGTTGTAGTAAAAGCCGGTAGGACTTATGGAAACCTACCTGGATGAGGGAACCTTTAAAATTTTTTAAAAAATGTCGGCGGGTTTCACTTATGTACCATGTTTTGAGATCGCACTCCTTCGTATCTCTCCTCAACTCTCTTCCCTGGGATGCATCGGCGCCTACATAATATAGGCTATCCCGGGTTTTCGTTGACGGCGGATCTCGAGCCCATCGTTTAAGCAGCACCCTATCTCCTATATGGTCATCGCAATTGCCATCGTTGCTGATTTTGAATCGTTTGTCGGGGATAGCAAGAAAAGCCGTTGCTATATGCCACGATCGATCCCATGTAACTTGTTCTGGTTCTGGTTCTTCCGAGACAGCCGGGGCATCTTCTAGGTTAGAGGACGTCTGTATACTACCAGATGGCACGCCTGGAGGTGTGAATCCTAGGATCGGTGTAGCATCTGGGGCGGAAGATATGCCGCTGAGCAAGGATGGAGGGAAGACTGAGTCGAAAACACGCTTGTGCCCAATGGAGGACGGAATGCGCTGGAACATGGCGCCAGTTCGGCACTTGAGGGCTATGTTGGCTCTAATGGTATAATTTCACGATTCATCCCATCCATCACCGTGAAATGCGTTCTGCGTCAGCTTGTTCGATGTTCGTTGTTTCTTTTGCGCTTTTTGGCGATTTCCTTATCAATAAACAATAACACGTGATGTCTTATCGCGATAAGCGGCTACTTAAGACGCGACAAGCGCGATACAATACATTGAATGCCGAGAATGATGAGCATCTTCTTAACGGCTACTTGAAACATTTGTGAAAAGATAATTGAACATACGGAGTAGCAGGGCACGAATTATAGCTATTCCTACCCTTATAAAAGTATGGAGAAGCAAATTAGGCAAAAAACAAGTAGGTCAAATATCAATATTTAATGCAAAAGTATTTAGATAGCTCCAGGAGTCGTGAAAAGGGAAGTACGAAAAATTAATGGCAGTGAGATCCGAGTTGGGTATATAATAAACATATTGTATGAGTTGGAGTAAAGTAGGTGGTTGGATCTGATATACCCAAAATATACGGACATGCATAACCTTAAGATATGAATGTGAGCATAGGGAAGAGACAATCCAAACATAAAATCTCTCGATCTACTTCGCCCAAAGGAAATCGACAAAAAAAAGACATCGCTATTACCTCGTAAACATGTTCATCAGAAAATGGTCTATCGATCTTTATCGTCGACCTTTTCCCATTCGCTGTCGGTGCTGATGTACCCAGAGCTATCCCCAGTTGGCTTTCGCAGCGTGAGCTCGTCAGTGCTGCTCTCGGGCGTCAGTGTTACCTGGGCGCCTGATGCAGATGGTGTGGTCCGCCTCACAGCAGTACCGCCGCTCAACGGAGAGGCACCCGATACCTTCGGAGTTCCGATATGGCCGGCACGTATGCTCTCTGTCTCGGTTCCACTCTCAGCTGAATCGGACATGGCTCCCGACAGACGAGAAACAGGCGACGCCTCCTTCTTCATGCGTAAGCTACTGAGATCCGTCGACGACCCCGTATCATCTTTCTCCCTGACCCCCGCGAGCTTCTTCTGTCGCTCATTTTCCGCCTTTACCTCCTCCGCAAACCAATTTATCGAGTACCATAGCGCGCCGCTGATGCAGGAGAGGATGAGGAAGTGTATGCTGTATGTTGCCACGAGTAGAACAAAGAAGACGACTTGGAGAGCGGCGAAGGTAGCGTTGGTAGCGATGAGGAGGGTGGGCGTTGCTCCGGGGGTGAAGATGCTGGAAAACAGCTCCTGGAAAAACTCCGCCATGAGGGCTTGCGCTGGCGTCCACTTCTGTATCTTAAATGCAGCGCTTAGGCTCGTAATAGGTTATCTGGATATTGCAGCTGGAGGTTGTCGGCGCCTTGCGGGCTGTAGGTAGAATTAAGGCGGGCTTCAGTAGGGCTATGAAATATCCGCAACCGTCAGGCCGGGAGTCCGCCTCGTCCTTTTAACAGGTTCACAGGTAGTTTATCCAGGCCAGATGATATATGGACGTGTCCTTGGGACGTTGATAGCTGCTGTGTTCCTGTGACCTCGCGGAAGATCAGGTCACTTGTTTACTGCGAGTTGGGCGTTTTTCCTTTTTGCTGCTGCGGCGGATAACTTAAGGCATTTAAATAGTAAGCGTTGCGTTCCCCACTCTAACCGCTTATATAAAATCTTGCGGGCGCCGGCGACGTTACAGCCCAAGAGAACAAGCTGTACTCTTGATATTGACGCCAGGCAGACGGATTTGCCGGACGGACTGGGCCTGGGGATTTATGGATATGTGGCTTTGGCTTACTGTGTGAATTAACTACCTGTACTCGGTAACTATAACTACTTGATTGACGCGACTCAGTGGTACGAAAAAACAGAATTATATAGGGGGGAAAGATGGAAAAAAGGATGAGACAGAAATAATATTAGGGAAAGAAAGAAAAAGGAGAACTCCAGCTAGAAATGAAATGGCTCCAAAGGATATGTCGTTCATAACATGCATTGATGGTGCGAAAGGGGTATAGGTACCAACATAATCAGGCAGCAATCAAACATGCAGATGCTAAGATGGGAGGTAAGAAGAGGCCAGATAGACAACATATCAAGCATGGAGAACCTCACAGATCCTACCAACGACACCGTTGATGCCTGGTGCGCTTGGTAGGCCCGGCCGAGCCATCGATGGCAGACATGACGAGGAAGGCGGAGGAGTAGCTATGACTCCTATACCTGTGCCTGGAACTGCAAGCACAAGCGATCCTACTTCGAGCCATTCGGCTGAAGTTGTGAGAGAGAATGTAACGTTTACCTCGTCATCCCCGTGGCCTCTTTCAGTATGGCCGTGGTCTGCTGCGTCAAGCATAAACATCTCCGGTTCCATGCCACCGCCGGATGCAGCCATATGTGTCTGTGCCTGTTCCACCAGTATCACTCGAGCAGCGGCCCGGATACTTTCGACGTATATCATCGATGTGCCTCCTGAAACCAACACAGGAGGTGAAGTGATAAAGTCGGATGCATGGAATCGAGCAATGAAACCAGAATGAAAAAATGGCACAGGGGTAGACAGTCGTTGCGAGGAAAGCAGTGAGTTTGACGAATAGCCACGATTGAAGTCTGCAAGCACCATGCCCTTACGCATTCGTCCGAGTGACGTTGAAGTCGATGAATCAACAAAATCAACTCCAATTGTCCCAATTTGATTTTCAAAGAGCGCTTTTACAGGTAGCTTTAGGTTGCGTACGCTGACAACCCGTACTTGTTTCCAGACTGCATGTGTTTGGGACTGCACATCAAGGCTGTCTCCGGTGAACTTCCGGAAACGAGTAGAAGGCAGAGAGTCAGGAAGTGACTTGCTATATGTTGCTTTCGCCCGGGGTGGTGTGTGGGTTGCTTCATGATTACGGGACTCGGGGGCTATTGGTCCCACGACGAGTCGGTCTCCGATAGATATAGCCCCATGGCGGACACGGCCGTAGAGAACAATGCCTCGATCATTCTGCCGCTTTCCTTCGCTAGACAAGGAGTACACTTTGAAAAGTGGCATCTCAAACACTTCACTGATATCAAAAAGAGATTTCGGCTGTTCATCAGTGTCATCCTTGGACTTCGCAATTGGGTGTGAGGCTTTCTCTGCAGCAGGCACGCGGAGGGACTGCAACAAGGCATGTAATTTCCCAACCCCGGCTCCTGTGACAGAACTAGTAATAATGATGGGAATGTCATCTAGACAGTCACCTCCCATGGAGCTAATAGCAGCATTGGCGTCCTTGCGGTCGCCTGGGGAAATGTTGCAAAGGTCCAAGTCCTGCTCGTTCACTTCCCCAGGAACAGGAAGCATCACAGGCTTACGGCCCGCCGCCTTGATAGCTGATAGCACCTGAGTCAGAGTCTGCCTGATGCTGGATCTAGTTGCGCTGTCCAGTTTGGTTACTACCACGACAACGGGGATTTCTAGCTTGACGCATAACTCGAGGTAGGCGAGTGACATCCCTACCTCAGATGTTACAGTAAACCCGGGGTCTTCAGGGTTGTTTGCAGGCACACAGAGAAGGACATAATGAGGTCTAAGGCTCATTAGTCCTCTGAGTGCCGACTTGACGTATCTCAGAGACCCTGGGAGGTCTGACAGAAAGATAACGCGACCTCCGCTACCTGCCGAGACGTGAATGTCATCCCACGAATTTATGTTTCCAGATGCATAGTTGATGACATCAGAGCAGGTAGATAACTCCTTGTTATCATTGGCCGAGTATCCGATCAGCTCATGCGCAATGGAGCTGGTAACACCGGAGGCAATCTCATGTCGGTGCCTGAGAAGACTTAGCCTACTCTTACCACGCCCGTTATCGAGTGCAGAGGTGGATAGTATCCCGAGAAGAGAAGATTTCCCAGATCCTGATGCCCCTGCAATTGCCACATTGAGCTGTTCGGTCAACCCTGGTTGCTGCTTCATAGTCAAGCGATCGCCATTCTCGCTCCAGCGTTCGGATGAGTCACCAGTTAATACCTGAGAGCGACACTGCTTCAAATCAGGGCTGACCAGTGCCTCCGCTACCCAGAGTTTCTCGGTCCGGGCGGACAAGCCGCCCTTCTCCACCCATTTGCAGTACCCCACGGCAACGCGGCGAAGGACTTCAACTCGACAACCCAAACTTGCAGCCATAGCTTGAAGATTGACAAGACTCTCGTCCAGCTCGTCTTCCGCTAAGCCCGCAAAAGTGCCGTCATCAGTAACTCCAATTTCATATAACGCCCCCTGGCTCTCCTCAAGTCCCGGAAGCAGCGGAGAAAGGGTACTAGGAACATTCAAAGATTCAGTCGCCTCCGGAAGGGCAGGGAGCACCAGATTTGCAGTGGAAGATGAATGGAATGGAGAGGACTGCTGCAGTCTCCAGAGCAGCTGGGTAGTAAGCTGACATAGGCGAGCCTGGCGTGGTGAATTTGAAGACGACTGTGCAGTCCGTGAGCCGGGCTCGGGAGATTCGGAAACTTCCTTTTCCGCAGCACAATTGTCATGCGGCTTTGAGTGGTGTGAGCCTGAAACCTGGGCCCCCGAGGTCAATGACACAAAAGGCCGCCTAGGACGTAAGAGTAAATGCAGTTTATACTCTGTAGGCCCATCCTGGGGCTCTGGTTCCAGTTTCTTTATGCCACATGCCTCGAGGAAGCCGGGGTCACTTGTATCAACAGGACTTGGGCCACAAGAACTATTCTGACCGCCCCCCTTCTGATGGCGAGGCGTTGTTGCTCCCGAGCTCGACCACGGAGACGAGACCCGGGGAAGATCGGGGTCGAATGTAAACACCGACGCCATTGGCACCGTTTCTACCTTATGGTAAAGTGAAAGCTTTTTTAAGATATCACTTGTATTGCGTGCTCACTCCTTCGTATCTTCTTTTGTATTACTCTTTTGAATTTGTAGAGAAATATGCTTACGCCTGTAGGCAGACGCTCATTCAGCAGTTAGCTCCTATTCGTATGTTCCCCGAGTAGAAGTGTAATAACCCGAGGCACTGGATGCTAGAATGGAAATAGTAGGGTCGTAAAGATCGATAGAGTAACTGGATCATTTTGAAGCGGATAAATATCTTGCAAAAGCTGTATGTCCCAAAAATCGAGGAAAGCTGTTGTAGCAAGGGGCAAACTGGAGCAGGTAATCGGGTGAGTACAGCTGGCTCCTGGGGGGTTGCTCAAAAGGAGAAAGTCATTGTGAGGGTACAATGACAAGTTTAATTCTATGGTGGTCGGTCTAGTGGTCAAATATCAAGCTGACGTTGAAGTTGAAGTTGATATTGATGTTGACGTTGATGCTTGTTGCGAGATCGCGGGAGTTGACTCAACAGCCAGTCACACTGCTTGATACGGTATGTTTGCGATGTTTGCAGTCCAGTGGCCTGTTCGGTGATCGGAATCTGGATTTTTATTATTCCGAGTCCGTTGTCAATATCACGTGCCTGTCGCTAAATGTAAAAGGCCAACCTTGGAACAAATGGAAACAACCCAGGAAGCACGGAGATACCCAGAACTACCTAGGTATGATTAGTTTATATGTGGATTTAAATGGGGGAGTAGACTGCGTTCTACTGATTAAGGGAGCGTCATTTAGACGAACATTGCATGCTGCCCGGGTAATATCAATATACCCCTTTTCCTACTAAAACCTCTCATGTTAACCGTTATCAAAAGCCTACTCTACTCTAAGGAAAATAGCTGCAGCTCCTTCAGCATATATTTGGCATCTCTACGTTGAGCAACAATTGGTTCATTCTTCGGTTCTAATAGCTAGCCTGGACTCCATATCCATTATCAGATTTCTTCTTGAAAGTTGTCTGCCATGTCAATCCGCAAATGAAGGCGCAGAATTATATACCACTGCATCTATAATTAATATTCAGAAGGGGAGATTAGAAGTGGAGGTGAAGTTTTTTTCAGATATAACCAACCGATTCTCGCATATACAGTCGCTGGGCTTAGAACAAACACGCTTCCAAGGATAGATAAGCCAATACCAGGCTAGTTACAACACCAGTTCAGCTTCTTATCCAGAAGTTAGTACACGCATGTTGGGCATCTTAACAATATTCTTCTTAGTGCTTACTACATACTCTATATAAAGTTCCCCATTTGCTACAATCGTTCATATCAAAGGATTCCAGGGATTTGCCATCGGTAGAAATGTATTTAATTGTAGTGATACCTATCATGTAGTTCTACTTATACCTTATCATTACCGGAAGATTCCATTTAGCATACGTTTGTACGCCTGTGTAACTATACGTTTCTCCCTATACCCATGTGCGACAGATGAATATGATTAACTTGTCGGAGAAGAGATGGAATAAAGTAAGATGAATACTGTGGATGAAGGATAGGCATTTCTCCAATTCAAAGTAATTATGAATATGGAGTGAAATAAATAGCTATTTCCTGATATTACAATCGCGCAAAAATACTGAGTAATAAACTTCCATCCTTCTGGATATAGATTGATTAGATTATTAGCAGAGGCTAGTTATACTTAGCGGTGAGATCATTTGTTTCTTGCTATAATAGTTTACCCGAATATATGGCCCCTTTGTTGACGACTCCATATTAGAATTCAAATTGTTCGGCAATCTAATCCTTTTGCAAAATGGCCTCGTGGCGCTCACCGGGATCTACACCCGAGCCTCAGGGCCCGGGCATTATAGAGTCGTTAAGACAATAAATATGTTTCCCTGGGTTTCAGGATCCATAATCAGGACTTGACCGAAAAGAGTATTTCTTGATCGAAAAGGGTATTTCTTGATCCCTATGTCCTCGTTGTAGCCTATCGACCGGGTCACGATTAGTTGACTTTTATTTTTGGGGTATTTAATGTATCTTAGAATCGTACCCCATCAGATCGCGATGAGGGGTGAAAGACAATCCACCAGTGAAAACCATGAGTTGGGTCCCAAATATACGCTTTAAGCAGGGAAAAGTATATCCGCGGAAACGCAAATCCAAAGTCCTTAACTGAGTAATAAAACGTGCTCTGAACTAGGCAAGGAGCTGTGCAGTAGGCTATTCGGGAGGAAGGAAGTGGAGGTTCCATTTGTATTCTGGAGTAATTTAAGAAGATGGAGGATGAATTCATGGGTGACGGAAAGGATGCTTGACTCTCAACTGGGCTACTGGCTGAAGAGTTTTCCTTGTCTTAAGTGACTCTTAGCCAGGTTGACGAATGGAGGTCTGGATACTCCAGAGGAATTCCTTCTCGTAGCCTTGCTGCAAGGACGACTGACAAGGACAGGGGTAGGGGTACAAACGTGGTAGCCACGCCGTCCACGTGTCGAAGGAACCCGCTCCGTCAAATGACGGACGAAAAGAGACTAGTCTGTATGTTGATATCGATGCACACCGTGGTTCATGACAATCTATGAGCATGGGAGTGGCATGGCATGACATGGACTAAGGGCCCGTATCCATTGGAAATAAGAATAAAATAGATGAAACGGGGCCGTAATCGACCATTTAGATGGCTCAGGCTGCATGGAAAGGCTGCACCGAACATGCAAAGTAGAGGGTTAAAAGAATGTTTCATCTTCTGAGAGAACTTTGGAGTCCCTTCGATGATGTGATCTGACTGGCGGAACGTGGCACCGGCAGGCAGGCATGGAGAGGAGAGGTTGTTACCGACACAGTGCTGTGTGCACCTTTCCATTCCTGGACGGCTCAAAAGGCTTGTTGTCTTCACAAGGGCCTGCGACTTGGGAGTGTATATTTCATATATATTGATACGCAGCCTGACTGTGCGTGGCCGACGGACCCCAGTAGCCACGCAGTCCATGCATGCATATGCGTTCGACTAAAAAGACAAGTCTCAGACATGAAACCAGGTAAGTGCACCCAAAACCTGGCTGCACGATGTGCAACAACCACAATGTGAGTTCGTGTTGCTCAATACCCCAAGGCGTGGTGGGATATTGGGCGCTACGAAAGCAAGTGGTTCACTCATTCATGCCAGCACAAGAATCTCTCGGCTACTTGAGTTACCCAAGCATACAAGCTCCACCATTGAAGCAGACAAGAGGCCAGGCTTTATTCGCAATCCGGCTCTTCGAGTCCAAGTCCACAGCCGGGGCCAGTTAACGAGATGGCTCATAATTCATGTGTATAATAATAATAGTTGGGGGCCAATATGCTAATATAGAGCGAGGTGATGCAAGAGTGGTGGCTCAAGCCTCACCCCAGGGGTGGCATCTTGCGCGGAACTTCGGCCTCGGGGTTATGAGCCAGCGACGGTTGCACAGCAAACAAGCTCGACCGGACTGGACTGGCCTTCTGCAAGGTATGCATAATCGTGTCGAGGGTCGCATCCGAAGAAGGAAACCTCTGCGGCGATGAACGCTATCCAGCCGTACCAGGGTTGGTGCGTGCTGCTGGGGGTTTCATGTGGCCCTCTGCAGCGAGCGGACTCATGCACCGCTGCTCATCCCGTCACCGCTCAGATCTCCCACTTTTGGGTTGGATTCTCAGCTTGGAGTTAGGAGATAAGCGGTGGAGGTTTTAGCCGCTCAATGACACATTCTGTGAGCTGGCTGGCAGGGATCATGCAGGAGCTGGAGCTGACTGGCCGCTGGTTGGCTGCGAGAGGTTCACAAGGCCAGCTTCGTACTTCGCAAGCCAGGCATTAGGGCTGATGACGCTCTCTCACCCCCTCTTTACGTACAGGAGTACATCTCGCCGTCCTCTTGTGATGCTGATGCTTGTTGTAAGATTATTCGTAAGTTGATGTCTGATGTTGACAATCATGAATAGAGACAGAAAGCTGGAAGGAGAACAAAGTCACGGGCTCGGGACCGGAGTTAAGTCACGTGTAGCTCGCTTTATGCATTCACAAAAAAGGTTAAAATTAGAAATAAGCTTGGCATTGGGAGAGTTTAAAAAAAGAAAAGTTAAAATTAGAAAGGTCGCTCGCTTTCTATAGAGGAGAGTCAACACTATACAAGACATGTTAATGCACAGTCATAAACTCCTGCCAGTCTGCCAGTCGCCGATACTCCCGGTCCCTTTGCTTCCCGCGCATCGCTGTAGAAAAGAACGAAAAGAAAGAAATAGGAAAAGATGATAATATATGCGTTGCGAAGTGGATAAAAAGATACTCCAGAAAAAGAGGGCAAGGGAGAAACCGAGAGGAAACCTCCCCGCCAACAACCAACCCATGTCTAACCCATAATCCCTGCAAGTCAAGGGGGAAGGAAATAAAAAAAAAAGACGTCACCCAAAGCAGAAAAAGAAAAGAGAAACCACTGAGCTCGTCATGAGCTGAAAGAAGTAAGAGCTGAGAAAACGGCTCGGCCCATTTAATTTTATGTCAGGGATCGGATATGGACTCATGCATCTCCGAGTATCTAAGCATAAAAAAAAGGGAAGATGCGAGTCCCGGATTGAATCGGAAACTGGGAGATGGGGCTCTTGCGCTTTTTTCGCTCTTTTCTCGCCTGTGTTGGGTGGACGCGGACGCTAGGCTGAAACATTAAATCGTGGGCTGTGAGCAGGCAGCAAGAATGTTCATCCCACCCCCATGTCCGTCCGAACACTGGAGAGTATGAAAGTATAATCCTTCTTTTTATGCCGATGCAAAGATGAGGAAAAAAAGGCGGCTCTCGAAGGCACATTTTTGGGCATTAGATTTTCGTTAAGGGTGTAGAGTCGTTATCGTAGCCTGAGCTGGGTGAATCATTCCTCTCTCATAGCTTTGCATCGACCTCGCTCTAAGTGGCCGTTTCGCGCCGTCGATCTAGTGAAGGCGGCTCCACAGTACGGGCATTCGGCTTTAACGGAAAGGCCAGCCTTTTCTCTTTGATGGCGCAGCAAGTTGCTGAAGGTCGAAAATGACCGCCCATTGCATCCATGGTCCCAGCATTGGGGCTTAGAGCGAAGATCAGCCTCACTTAAAGCGGTTGGAGAGGGAGAGCTAGATGAAGGGGTGCGGTGATGGGTATGAGAAGGTGCATGGACGTGAGAGCGTGAGAAAGTTGGGGAGCTTGTTGAAGGGGGAGTGGTTGGTAGTGAAGGGACAGGTGTATAGTATGGTGCTCTAGTAAGACGTTAGTAACCAGGGCCCTGAGACATGTTGGAGGTGGAGGCGTTCACTTACTGTGGATATGAAGTTGCTGAGAGGCCATACTGGCCCTGGGAGGTGGGTATTGAGCTGTCAAGACTCTGTAGATTCATGTCTAGTGGTTTTGAGAGGTCTGAGTAGCCATGAGCGGACGACATGGTCTGCCTGTTGCTCCCGGGACAGTTGTCTGGCGCGGCCCTGTTCATCTTCTGTTGGTCCGGGTATACAGTTGAGCGTGGAATGGGAAGAGCCATATTCCACTGGTCCCGGCCGAATTGCAGCGTTGAAGGCGGATGGTGCTGGTGGTGATGTTGTGGTTGATCGTAGATGCCAAAGGAGTCCGATACGCTGGATGGACGGGATGGTATATTGCCAAGTGGTGGAGACATTGATAATGATGCTGTGCTAACAGTGACTGGGGTGTCTACGTTGCTGAATTGAAGTGAATCGAAAGCTGAAGCGCTGTCGACAGTGTAGTCGGGGACTGTGAGATTGTTAGAAGGGGTGTGAACTTGAGTACGAGATGGGGAGGGAGGGAAAGGCTGCTGGTTTAAATGTTAAAACCGCACTCCGAACATACCGAACATGTTGGGATAATCTAGTACAGAAATGGGCTGAGACTCGTGCATGAAGTCGGACAAGGGCGTGGGAGGCGACACCTGGCAGACGAAAGGCCTGTTTTGATTGACGTAAGATGACAAGAGATCAGTTGATGTGAAAAAGAGAGTGGTTGATAATGATTGTTGTAGTTCAAGGTGAAATATATAAATGAATTGTTATGAATGCAACTAACCCTGAAGATTGCCCGTGTGCGTTAGCACTAGTATTGGCGTGGGAATGAGCGCCATACTTATATGCCTCAGCGGCGTCGGAGTGGTGGCCGAGAGAGGTGGATGAGGTTGAGGAGTTTGGGGAGGAGGGAGTAGTAACCCCCCGAAGGGAGAGGCCTATTTCGAAAGGCTGAGACGATGGGCATGGAGAGGATGCCTGCATCTGCATGGCACCAGTAGAGTCCTGGAGAAAGTCAGGAGTGGATGACAAATTGTGGATGGCTATGCCTAACAAGGCTTCGCAGGTTTGCGCGGCCATGGGAAACGAGTCTGGCCGGTACGAGCTGTCTGAAGGTGTTGACGGTGAAGGTGAAGGCGACGGAGATGGTGATGGAAGCAAGCCTGAGTCTGCGCATGAGCTCCTCGTTCGTCTTCGGCGAGTGCCTGGAGTGTGCGGTCTGCTGCTGTACTGAAGCATGAGGTGCAAGTATATAGATATATCTTTGCACAGGAAGTACGCTTTGTTGGTGTGAGTGACCGTATATGTACGAAGTACCGAATGCGTATATATAAATCGATTGAATGCTGGACTGTGTTTCGGAGCGAGTTGTTGTTCTAGTTGTCGATTTAGTTTATATAAATTGAAAAGAGAGAGGGTCAAGAAGATATATGTATGTATACACCTGGTCAAGTTACCAACCAGTTTTTATCCCTCTTCGTTGCCCTGTTTTGCTTTTTCTATTAAATGTGTTTTCAAAAAACATTCCAAATTATTACAAAAACGGCTGAAGGGAAAGGGTTGCGAGGAATAATGGGGAGGAAGGTTTGGGATATTGAAGAGAAAGGGTAAAAAAATAAAAAATACTAAGTATATCAAGATTAACGCATTTCCAGCGGTTGTCGAGTGCCCGAGATGAGCGACCTGCGCGACCACGACTAGCAGACAGGTGGGAGGAGCCTGGGCGATGAACCTGAACGGTCACGGCCATGACCACGACGGCCTGCTAAACGATTAAACGACCCTAGTCCCGCCAGGGGTCCCATGTGGCTCTTGGACAATCCTTCGACTCTTCGAGCAGGGCATGCTTGTATTTGGGTTGAGACAGAAGCACAGCCGCATGAGACTAGTTGCAAGTAGTCCACCGGAAGTCAAAACCCTATTTTCTCATTATGTATATATGTGTTTCCGCCAGGCGGTGAAATAGAACCAGTACTCCATCTGTAGAGCGTAGTACTCCGTAGTGATTGCATGTTGCATTCATCCAGAGCTTCCTTTTTCTCAGCCCTATGGAGTTGCTTTTTTGTTTTCCCCTCTCCTCTCCTCATCCCTCTCTCGCTGTCTGCCGCACCGCGGAGATCAAAGTGAGGAGTGCGAAAAGAGAGCGTACAGCCCGTAAGAAAAGGGGCCAAGGGGCCAGGCTGACCCGTCCTCCAACAGCCCAGCTATTCATGCTTTAAAGCAGACAGTGATGCCCCGCCGTGTCATTGGACGCTGGCGACTGCAGTTGCAGCAATATTAATATTATAGTAATGAGTAATCTGGTGTCGAGCCGGCTTGACAGCGACGTATAGAATATAGCTGATGGCTGCTGCTGCGCTGGTAAGGGGTAGGTTTTGGCTAAGGCGCATCTTACGACCACCACAAGTCAATTGAGGAAGGGCTGTCGAAGCTCAGCCTGGACGACGATCGCGGACCCGCTGTCTCATCTCTGCCCATCTGCATGTATCTCGGCCCGTCCTGTTCTCTGCCTTTCTGGCTCTGCTCGCGCTCGTGGCTGGTGGTTTTGCTGTCTTGCTGCCGACGTCGTCGTCGTCGTCGTCTTGCTTTTGCGTGAAGTTGAAAATAGAATATAATAAAGTCGAGATAAAAGGTGGGACCTTGCCCCTTCCCAAAAAGGTAAAGATCACAAGATCCACCCTTAAAGCTTGGCCCCTGCACCGTGCTCTCTGCTTATGTCATCAACCTTGTTTCTACAAATGCCAAAAACGGACTAGCACGCGTTAGTCACTCTCTTATGTCATCTTGCTTATGTGAGCCGGCGGAGAAGACGGACGAAAAAAGCAGCCAAAAAAACAAAACATCCAGCCGCAAAAGCAGCCAACAAGCGGCAGACCAAGCAGAAGAAACGCAGGAAACAGAGGCCAGAGCAGGAAAAAGGGCAGTATCAGCCGCTGCTGCACCCTGAAATTCGACCGAAGTGACGATCACTCGCTGCCCCGGAGCCCCGATTTGCCGGGCAACAGCCTATTCAAAGCAGCTGCTGAAACGATGCACTGCCTGTCGATTGGAGGGTCTAGGTGAATCATGAACCAGCCTCGATACTACAGTACTACGATGATGCTACCTCTGGAACACGATCTACGCGGAGAGTGACCAAGCCGCCTCCGCACGGTACGGGGTAGATACAAGTTGTTTCTCCAACTCCGCCTGCATACATGAGTTGTTTGGCGCAGTGAATGAACACCGGCAGTGTCTCTGGATGACGGTGTGATGGTGGTACGACGTCCTTCGACCCCAAGAAGGCTGTACGTACAGGAATACGAACGCCATTGTCTCGGCGGCTGTTGTGTGCCCTGTGGTTGTTCGTCATGCTGCTTGCTCTCCTGCCAAGGGTGATCTCTTCTCCATGGAATGAGCGGCGGATAATATCACCCTCCCTCCTTCTGCTCTAACCGCCAGGGAACAGCCAATAGTTCCTGTCTGGAGAGCTGTTTCTTCGACTTTGTTTCTGGAAGAGCTTCACGCCTGTCTTAGACTTCCCGGCCAGTTATTACCCCCCGTTTGCCCTGGTGACTCCCCATGCCTCCCTCCCCTGGCATCGATATGGATAGACGGCAACAGCAGCGTTATCCTTTTCAGGAATAGCCATGGCTCTTTTCCAACCTCCCCCCGTCGACTTTCTCATACTTGGTAATTTTCTTATTTTGTCTTCAACTTTCGAAAGTATGCATGTTTGTGACTGGGTGCCAGATCTAGAACGAAGTACTCCGTATGCTTTTCTTTTGGCCCCCTTTGGGCTCGTATTTGCTTCGTCCGTCTTGTCGCTCACCCCACGGACACAACAACTGTTTAACCGCCAACTTGGTCCACCACATGCTCTTGCTTCGGAGATCTGATCTGCTTATGGACGCTGATGTTTCTTTAGCCTCCGAAGCCGAGTGACGCATGCCTGCAAGCCTCGACAATCTCGGACGCTCATCTGAAGCCCAGTTCCGAGCATGTCCGTTCACCCTCCGAAGGTGCTCTTCTGCACTTCTTCTTCTTCTTTTTGTTCTTGTTTCTTTTTTTTATTACTTTTCTGCTACCTAAGTTAATGATGGAGTTGGGGGTTCGTACATATCGCCCACTGGTAATTTTCAGGAGGTACTCCGCAGACAAAATAACTCCAAGCTGTCATCCACACTATGCCACGCGAAAACACTACTGGCCATAGTATATTAATGGGCCAGCAATATGTGGAGCGGATAGGCTGCGGAGTACGCTCCACAGATTCTCCCGGGCTCATTTGTGTTGAACGAAAGTATGAAGTAACGATATGGATAAGCCATGCTCATTGCCATGTTGCCAAATTGCAGGTTCATCGTGAGAAAAGGGATGTGCACACCATGCGGCCAGCTCTTCTGTGCGACAACCCAGTCACATATCACAAATGCAAGTATAGTCGTCGTAAGTTAATTTCCTTGACCATCCCGATGGATTGTTGAAGCAACGAGTAGCAGACCAGCCATCAACCTGGGCTCCACCAGAGTAAAAAGGTCACACTCACCCCTGACCATGCTTTCTGTTGGCTACACTATATGGGGTTAAACCATGCGCTATCGAGGGGCCTCCCTTCTACCCGCCGGTCGGCTAGGGATTTGATTGATGGGTTTGAAGACAAAAGAAGAGACATGGGAAGGCTGTGTTACCATGGTAAGGCTAGCAGGTGGTAAAATTAAGCGGCTGGTTGGGAGTTAAGTGATTACTGATGGACTTATTATTAGCCCTGTGTTAAGCTTTGATGAACGGCTCGCAACGATGTGATAGCAGCTTTCCACCCTGGTATTTGTTTTTATTTAGGCTATAACGACTCCCTGGTATACATGCGCCTGAACAAGCTAACTAGCAGGGATACACATAATAGATGGGGGACTTTGTCAAGTCAAGATGGAGGCTCTTAGGCTCTGAGTGGCCTCCTGGAAGAATGACAAATTCTTCTGGCGATCCCTTTTTCTTTTCCCCTTTTCCGTTTCTTTTTTTTTTTTTTTTTTTTTCTGGCTTTTTCTTTTCCTTTAGTTATCTCTTGCCTGGGGTCTTGTCTCTGTCAGTAGGACTTGAAGTGAACTTGAGAAAGACGGTTGAGCCAGCAAGGTTGGCCACTTGTCCTCATTATTGGCAGCATGCATCGAACAGGGTCCGTCTTCCTTCCCTAGTTACATATGAAATTAAGTGTGGTTTCGCCGGGGTAGTCGCTGGGGTAGCACGTTGTCTCGGTGAATAACAAAAATACTCATGGTGGAATTACAAAAACTTCATTGACATCAGTAACCGGCGGTTCAGTATCATCGTCCTCCTCTGCATTGCCTCAAAAGTGTCTAGTCATGTTTGAATAATCCAATGGCAGTGCAACCGCTCCAGGTTCTTTGCACAGGTATGATGCAACTTGGAGCCCAAGTGTGTGCTCTCTTCCGTCGTCCCCCCAGGGCGTATCAAACACTCTATCAGGATAAACACCGACCCTCCAGTGTTCACGTCGTGAGTATTCGCCCACTGGATTGGCAATCCAGCCGTAAACCACGGCCTTTTCAAGAGAGGTTCCTTCGCGAATGGCGGGTAAGGCAGTGAACCACGAACCGCAGAGGATAATGTTGTGTAGGTTCAAGTTCTTCAACGTCTTGCCATGGCGAGTGGCCAGACCAACTAGTATATTCTCTGCGATCCAGACATTATCGAATGTAAGTGTGTGCAAGTGCTCCCAAATCATGTCTTCAGGGAACGCATTGTCAGAAGACATCATTCTTCCTCCGTGGTCATCCTTGGAGGAGAGTGATAAAGAGCGTAGACGCGTAGCTGCTTCGAGATATCTCGCAAGTATACCCCAAGAAAGAACACGTCCAAGTTCGGGTTTCCCTTCCGCGGAGCTCATCACCTTGTCAGGGTGAACTTGGACCCGGATGGACAAGTTGGTAAGATGCTCAAAAATCGCCTGCATGCCAGCTATGATCTGCGTTACAGGGTAAAATATCCCATATGAAATATCGAGAAGCTCGAGGGATTCTATCTTGATCCCTGCATCACGTAACGGCTCCATGACCATCAGATACTGGCGAATGCTGCAAGAAACTGGCTTATCATGGGCAGAGCTGAAGTGTCCTAACGCAGAGTTGTAGGTCTCTCGATGCAAGCGCCCGTCTTCATTAAAACACCCCATGCAAATGCGGACAGATTTGAGATTCTTGAAGTGTGGAATAGCTCGAGATATGATATCAATATCTTTGCCATCTTGTTTAATCGATTTCTGCTCTTTCCACAATTTCTTGTATGCTTCACACCACGGAAATTCCTCGGGATCAACCGCAGGAACATAATCCCATGATTGGTTTGGCCTCCCGTGAACAAGGGTCCAAAACTGGCTGCAGTCTACTGTAAGAGACCGAATACGTTGAGAGATGAGTTGGTGTGAGGAAATGTGTTCGATTCTCTCGAGGCTGGTTTTCGCACAGCTGACCCCACACTTCTTGGGCAAGTATCGAATACAGGCGTTGGCGAATATCCGACAAGTCATACGAACATTGCTAATGTCCTCTGTATCCAAGAAATCGAAAATTTCTCCCAGAAGTTCCGCAGCGAGAAGCTCGAACTTGGACTCTCGGGTATCAGATGGAAGGCCCAAAGCCCCGAGAGCTAAGGCCATACCCGATACAGTCGCCGGAAGGGGGGGAATTTCACTCATGGTTGAAGACCGGGACATACAATATCGACGCCTCCAAAAAGGTAGTTGGGAAGGTAGGGAACAGGATACGACTGTATGGAATCAAGTACTTCAAGAAGGTAAGCGAGCCACGATCTTTCGAGGTTAACAGAAATTCTTGAGCTGGTATAAGGAGGAAAGAAGAGTGGTAAAAGAAGGAGGTGGAAGAAAAAGGGAAAAGAGGGTATAAAGAGAAAATTTTCATATCGCATCGTGTGACAGCTTTCATGCTTAGTCGACAAAAGTTGAAGCCCTAATACTTAGATTAACTAAACAGTGACTTGAAGTCCGGACTGTGTAGCAGAGAAGAAGTGAAAGAATTGCTAAACAGTATAAGATCAACCAGGAGATTCTGTCTTGGATGTCTTCTATCAAGAGAGTAACAAGAGTTATGTCTGGCTTTACCAGAAGCACAGAGCAGCCCTAGAGTTAAACAGGGCCTTGTATTGGCAACAGGATAACATAGAGGGGGTATCAAAAGATATCAAAGAGAGAATCCTTAAGTTGTGCTACCCTTAGGTATCAGGTTTATCAAAATTTGATAGAGATAAATGCAATATTGATAGCAAGGTATAACTAATAGCATTCATAGTGTAATAAATAACAAACATGTTATTTCGTTATATATCTTATACTGCTATTATAGAGTAACTTTATATCAAATAGGCCGCCTCTTCCGGGTCTCTAAGGGTATGTCTTCTTACAATAATAAATGAGAAGGAGAGATGAAGTTGGAAAATGCTTGATAACCTTGGAAATTTACAGGTCACGTGGTTGATAAGATCTTTTTGGAGCTTCAAACAGTCAAATAAAGATATCAACAGCACAAATTGTCAGCTTTGAGGATTCAATCTCTCCAGCTGTACTAGGTATTGCTCTTTTATATTTTACTATATCTCTGCTGTGTTTACGGTATCCCTTTCCAGTTGAATACACTTGCAGGACATTGCGGTTTTTCACCATGAAGCTTGTTAGGTATGTGTGCGCGACTGCCAGTATTACAGGACTCGAGTCCTTTGAAAACCGAGACTAATATTGTATATATGCGTGTAGGTTTCTTATGAAATGTGCGAACGAGACCGTTACAATTGAACTAAAAAATGGTGAGTGGTTGAGCTGTGGTGTGGCTCTGGTATACGGGCGCCAGCGCGTGCTTTGCGATCCTCAATATCACTGAGACCAAGACACTCGCTATAAATACGGATTGAGACTTACTTAGTGGAGTGAAAAATTTTAATCAATCTAATGGCTGTGCTTGTAGGAACCATTCTCCATGGGACGATAGCTTCTGTCTCGCCGCAAATGAATACCGCTCTACGCACAGTCAAGATGACCCCCAAGGGCCGTGACCCCATCTCACTCGATTCGATTAACATCCGCGGTTCCACGATAAGATACTACATCCTACCCGACAGTCTGCCTCTTGATACCCTACTTGTCGATGACCAGCCTAAGCCGAAGAACAAGGCGCGAAAGGAAAGTGATCGTGGTGGCCGCGGTGGTGGCAGAGGAGGCCCCAGAGGGCGAGGTGGACGTGGAGGTGGTAGAGGACGTGGCCGGGGCCGTGGATTTTAGGTGACTGTTGTGGTGTGTTGGGTTCGCAACGTTGTAAATCCATGTTTGGCGTTTCGTTACAAAATATGCCTTTTGATGGCAGGGAAAGGCCGGTAGGAAGAATTTGAAGTAAACATTACCCTGTGTGGTTTGATAAGGAAGGGAGATGCCACAAACGCTAGACACCTGTATGGCCTTGCCTTCTCCAATACTTCAATACCTGTGCCGTTATCCTCTGCTTATGACCATTTCACTTGCGGGGATGACCGAGGGTTTTCTCAACCACAACCGGAGGCCTAATTTAATAACATGTGGTTGTTTGAAGCAATACTGGGCAATGTCTAACCGATCTATTCACATTAGGCATCCTCGTTGTAACATATCGTGGTCATCAAAATCTAGGCACCTCCTACACGGGGTATATGTCCAATATGATCCCTGGTGTCAATCCCTCCATATCCTGATAATAACTAGGCGCTCCCACCCGGCTTTCACGCCGCTTCTACCAGCTATCTCTGTCTTCCAACCGTTTCCCCATCCGTTTATGCGGCCCATAACTTCTTGGGGTTTATTCTGCGCACATAACAAGACGTAGGCAACCCCACGCTCGGGGTTCAAAATCTGGGGAATTGAGTCCAACAAGCGGTTCGTAGTCTCCATTCCATGTTCACCTCCAGCATATGTGAGAGATAAAAGATAAGATTCCATTTCGAACCTGGACATTCCGCTCGTACTAGATGTGGCCTCCGATGGAGAAGGGAGATGTGGAAGTTCCGGAGTTGGTACATATGGAGGGTTGAATAGTAGAATATCAACCATCCCGGGGCGCAATGAGGAACAGAGATCTCCTGTGATCACAGCGAGCGGTTGAATTGGGGTTGACGCCTTTGTATTCGCCTCCTGCTTGTTTGCTGGCGCTGCCCCGAAACTCTCCTCTGCATACTTGTCTGCGATAGCAACTTTGACAGTTTGTCGAGTTGCACTACACGCGTTTCGATTCACATCAGTGCCTATAGTTAGTATGTCGGATCTGCCTATGATTGTTTTGCAGTTGGCAGCAAGAAACCCTAGAATCACACCAGATCCCGTCCCAACCTCGACGATAACTGGTGATGGAGAGCTGGCGCTTGTAGGAAGGGGACCATTTCTCTGGCCCGGTTGCTCCAGACTGAATCTTTCAGAGAGCCATATGGACTCTTCGAGATCAGATAGGGTATCAAGGAAGAGATAGCTGTCTTCTGCGGGTTCGTAGATCGTGTCGAAGGCCACATGCGAGGTGGACGGAGTGGGTAGCATTCCTAAGCTGACTCCCTGGTAGATTATCCTCTTGTTTCTAGCTTATGGTGAAAATATCCGATCGCTCTTTATTTAGTGTTATCTGGTAATATCACCTTGATACCAAAATCTTTGATATCAGACAGGTACCTATCTTCTATCATTCAATACCTAGGTAATCAAGGTGAAACAGTTTTTTTGTCTTATCAGATCAAGATCAACCATGTGACGACGGGAATCTTGGCATGTTTTTTATTTCAACGAAAGCCAAAAAAGAAAGGCAGCAAAACTTCTACAACTTGTACAACTTCAACGTCAACAAAAGAAGCTCCCTTTATTATTTTAGCTGGAAAACTACGGGGACAAACGACCATGAGGGCCACCCTGCCGCTTCGTTTGGCGAGCTCCTCGTCAATTCCCTCTGGGTCGGCGTTGCGACAAACGCCAATGGCTCTGCTGCCTCCAATTCCACTCTATCGCCGTGTGCTACGAGCTCACCGGAAAAAACTTCCCGCTGACCTGAGGTTTCTGGGGGATTCGTACGTGAAGAGCGAATTCCGAGCCCATCGAAACGTGGAAAATCCCATTCACATTGTAAGATCGAGCCCTTGTCTACCGGATTATCCCGATCACTTACAAGGGGGTTGGAAATGGTTGACTAACTACTAATATTAACTGTCTTAGATCGGGTTTTTGACAGAATGGCAACTCTATGCTCAACAACTCGAAGGCGATTCGTGGGCTGGTGGAAAGCTTGATAAGGCGAAGATTGACAAGATGAGCGGTAAATTATCCAAACCCCTTGAAGTATAAATATTGGCAGCTTGCTGATGGTGACTGCATCAAACAGATCAGCAAATTGGTCAACTATACGAGCTTATGCAGTCAATCAAAAAAGGTGACGGGGATGGCAATAAAGGCGACTCATGATTATTCGCATGAGTAAATGCAAGCGTTCAAACACACGCTTCCAGCCGGGTGAGGCAGACAGAGGTCGCCTTGTTCACTGTGATCCTGTTGCCAAAAACGATAATCGAAGAGGTGTGAATGAGATGCCCCAACAGTCATATATAGAAAGAGATCCTTAGATATGTCCCCTCAAGGATGCAAGCGTGTTCCACTACCCTTGTCCGCCCTTCCGCTCAGCCATCCAGGAGATGCGTGGACCTTCGACCTGTATGCCTGGCAATGCTAAACGATACGACAGAAAGGCTGTTCTCGCTTATCAGGAAAAGAAACAAAAACCCAGGATTCGTCCAAGTCCGACAGGATAACGCCTTGCAGTAGTTACAGCTCCTTAAATAGACAGCTGGTTCCTATAACGCCGAGACATGTGTCGAACAGTCTATTTCAAGTCTCCCAGCTGCAACCACCGTTGGATAATTATCGGACAGCCGTGCGCCAAAGATCCCGGATTCTCTAAATGCAAAGCTTTCAAGACCAAAGGTATCTTGCCCTTTGATGCTGGAGGTCCAATACTGGCCGCTGAAAAGACATGTCCGGCCTGCCATCTAAAGGGCAAATATGACCGAAATTTGACCAGAATGGTTGAGTCGGACGTTTGTTGGTTCCGGCATCCTGGAAGGAAGGGAAGGAAGAAGACGGTCTACGTTGATGTTCGCTGTGCCATCCTGTAGGTTCCAAGAAAAGAGAGACGTCCAAGGAACAACGAACGGGAACTACCGTCCAGGGTCGTCACCATACGGTTTGGATGTCGGAGCAAGATCACCATTCCTTTGCGGCTTGGCAATTTCCTGTGGACAAACAGCCGAGAGTTCGGCATTTCCCAACATCGCCGAATTCCTTTTTTTGTACCTAAAATTTTTGAACTTTTCTTGATCACTATTACGGGCATAACTCGGCCAGCCGCTGCCAGCATGGTTGCTTCCCGTTTGTGCAGCGAACCACCCATACCACAATAGGCCGGGCCGGGCTGCCTTGCATGAAAACGGCGCCTTAGATAACGAAGCACGAATCAGTCCTGTTCGCTTTTAATTTTCTGCTCGTTTTAGGAGTATTGGATCCAAGCTGGTAATAAAATCAGCAATTTACTTCGTATTCTTGGGCCGCTCAATATATTTTGATCCAGGCCATGGATGTTTTGTCCCAGAACCATCGGCAAGAGACGACGGTTCAGGTCGAGTCTTCACATCTTTCGACTCGTAAGTATATGGATCACATCAAGACAAGGCCCCTTGGCTGTCATAATCCCTGCGCCGATTGACGGCAAAATGTGTCAAAACTCGGCAGGGCTGGATCCCTGGTTTCATTATTTTTATATCTACGGAGAAGTGTCAAGAGGCTACCAGCGGCTAAGCTTACCTAGTCAGCCACTTACTTCTCTCCCAAGGCCGGTGTTCCCTGCAGAACATGGAAAGAAAGCAAAAGAAAAAAGAAAGGACGGCCGCAAAAGAGAAGAAAAAAAAAAATGAAAAATGAAACGGGATATCTACAGTATTCTATCACAACTTCTGTTCATGGACCAGCTGTAACTTCAGCAAAAAGCTGCGGAGCAGTTCTAGGCACTCGGCGTGAGGCGTTGCCGCTTCGATTCACCGAGAAGAAGCTTGTTTCAAGAAGCCGCCCATCACGCAGTAGCGTGGTCTCAGTCTCCTGTCCCGAATATATACGAACCATTTTCGGCTCGACGGGGCCCCGTTCGGTGGTGGGAGATTTTTGTTTTCGCCGTCTTAAAACTCCTTCAAGCCGAAGCTGAGGTTTACCTGCCAAGGGGTAACGAGTGAACTTGGAGGAAACGTCTCGAATTAAATCGCCATCGCGTGAGGCGTGGAGAAAGGGGCCTGGTATCGATAAGATAAAGTACTCCGTATGGTTTTCCCATTCTCCGGATCCTGCTGACTATAATTAGAGGAGGACATTTTATGCCATTGCGCAGCTGGCCTACCGAATTGCGACATTAGCCTTTGACCCGCCGTGAGACTTTGGCCGATGATGTAGTGTCACCTACGGGCAAAGCATAAACACACGACTATATACAACTATACATAGCTAGTTAGCACAGTCACTGCCCGAAAAAAAAAAAAAAAAAAAATGAGCAGGCAGAACAGGCGCAGAGCAAGTTGTGAATTAGCTTTGATGACAACCAGCTGGGGATGGTTTGCTAGCCCAACCTGGGTGTCGCAGGGTGTAACCCCCCCTGTCCACTGTCTGATCATAGACTTCAGGGCCCGACGTACCATGAGGTTGCTACTTGCCAATCGCCGACGCGGCGGGAATCCATACCCACTCAGCGGCGGTTTAGAGGATGCGGATTGGCTCCGCCCTCATTTGTCCTCTATCGCCGAGATGCCATGATCTGATAGGCGATCTCGCAATAACAGGGTCCTTTGTGTGCATCATCCTTGCGCCAACACTCCTACTTGCGGCCCATCGTGGTGTCGTCCCTTTGCCTGGCGTGTTGCAGTCGGTCTCAACCCCTGGGAAACGGAGTGTCTAGTTCTTCGAAACAGACACAACGGGCTCGGCACGCTGGGCAAAGCCGATCGTTCACCGTCTCCCGTTGATGATGACGCCGAAGGGAAAGCTATATAAGGCGGATGGAAGATTCCATCTCGTCTAGACTTTTCACTCAATCCAAACTCAACAAGCTCATCACTTCTCTCACAAGCACGCAATCACACAAGCAAAAAAGCTAGTGATCAGACTCTCCCGTCTTTAGTCTACAACTTTGACTCTTGACCGGTCTTTATAGAAGATACCCCGGATCTACAACTCTCCCTTTCTACATTTCATCACCTTCTCCCTTCATCAACCATCCGTCACAATGGCCCCCGTTACCTACGACATTCCTGCCACGCAGACCACCACTCCCCAGAAGCCTTCGGTCTCTCTGGATATCTTCCCCGATGGTTTGAAGACCACCGGCCAACAACCCCCTCTCTACGACCAGATCAGACCATTCTCTGAATTCCCCAAGAAGATCACCGGCCCAACAGTCTGGAAGGCTGAGGACTACACAAACAGCCCTGAGAAATGGACCCATCGTTTCACTGAGGAGGAATGCGCCGAGATGAGCGCCGCTGCCGATGCTTTTGTTGCTTCCGGCATTCCCTTGACTGCCATTTCTAAGGTAAGATACCTCTTCTACCCTTTCGATCTTTGTCTGTATCTAGCCGGGGTGGTTGTTCTAATTTGTTGGACTGTAGGACAACTTCCCGCTCCCCAAGTTCTCCAGCTTCCTTGAAGTCTTGAGAAAGGATATCATTGACGGCAAGGGATTCATCCTGTTCAAGGGATTCCCAGTCCAAGAATGGGGAACCCGCAAGGCCGCCATTGCCTACATGGGTCTCGGAACCTACCTTGGATACTTCGTCAGCCAGAACAGCCGTGGCCACGCTTTGGGACACGTTAAGGACCTTGGCGAGGACTCTGGAAAGATCGACAAAGTCCGTATCTACAGAACCAACGCTAGGTAAGTTTGCCCGGTTCTGATTTAAATTTACGGGAGATCAAGGGGCGGAAACTAACAAAGGACGAAACAGACAATTCTTCCACACCGACGACTGTGACATCGTTGGACTGCTTTGCGTCGCCAAGGCATTCGAGGGTGGCGAGTCTGATATCATCTCTTCTCACCATGTCTACAATGTCCTTGCTGAAGAGCGCCCTGATGTTCTCGAGACCTTGACCAAGCCCAACTGGTACGTTGATCGTAAGGGCGAGGTTAGCGTTGGCGAGGAGGAGTACATCAGAGCTGCTATCATGTACCTTGAGCCAAATGGTGGCCGCGTTTACACTAAGTAAGTCCACGTCGCCCGTGCTACTCTAACGGTTTTGCCCCCTTGGGAAGCTTAAACAGCTAACCATACTTTTACCCCTTATTTAGATGGGACCCATACTACGTTCAGTCCCTTAGCCGCTTCTCTGATGCAGGCATCATCCCACCACTCTCCCCAGAGCAGGTCGAGGCCATGGCAGTCCTCGAGGCCACCTGCCTCCGCCTCTCTCTCCACATGGTGCTCGATGTCGGTGACATCCAGTTCCTCTCCAACTCTCAGGTCCTCCACGCCCGTACCGCCTACAAGGACTTCCCACCACCAGCTCCTCGCCGTCACCTCATGAGACTCTGGCTCTCTACCCCTGAGGACGAGGGTGGCTGGAACCTCCCATTCTGGGACACCAACGAGAAGAAGCGTGGTGGTATCCAGGTCAATGACAACGCTCCCGTTGCCAACTTGGACGCCGACTAAATAACGCCCCCCCCTTGTCAACCCATCAACCACCAAGCCGAATTTGATAGATACCCTGACTGCTGAAAAGCTCAGTCTCCTGTTACCATATAGTTTTCTTTCTTTCCTATGTTCCTTTCTATCTGTGCGACTTTTCCTGTATTCTTTTATTGCCTTATCTCTCTTATACCTATCTGCAGCTGCAACAACCTGGGCGTTTAACGAAATAAATGAAGTCATAACAGTTTTACCTTGTTCTTACTGACACTTCCCCCACACTACTCCGGAATCTACCCGTAGATCTGCATAAGCTGTCACAAACTAAAATTGTTTATCGTAGATAAGGGATGCCAAGTGACTAGGTAGGAACTAACAAGGTAGGCAGCTGGCCCCCTATCAATTTGTTGACCAATCAATCGATCAGCCAATATATACCCAAACACCCGACCACCCCCTCGAATAACCAGAAGAGATGGGTCCAGATAATAATTAAAGTGAGAATCAGCTTTATTATTACGGCAGCTTGATTTGGGGTCTTTCTGCTATACGTATGATAGCTGAATATTTCCTTCATCTTAGCAACCTAGGTTATTGTTAACTCTTGCATCATGCATATTGGCACAAAATTATGCAGGCGGGATTGCAACGATTCCTCGGCGCCACGAACGGCGGAACCAAGCCCATTCACTTATCCCGTTTTTAAACGTCCCATCCTGGATGTAAAGTCTGATGTTGAAGACGCCGCCATTTCCCCAGTCCAAGGCGGCCACTTGGGAGTCAGGGATGGCTGAATGCTCAAATGCGCCATCATACCAGGAAATGCCCCCTTCAGTTCCTTTTTCGAGAATGCGATTGTCCTCGGTGCCATAATACACCCTGACACTTTGTGGATTTCCAGGAGTCAGTACGAAGCTGGTGGCCGCTAGGGGGGTGCGCGGCTTGGCCGTTCGCACAACGATACCTCCGTCAGTCCACGATTGGCCCTCATAGACTCTTTCAACAACGTGGCGGTCTGTGGCTTGGAAATAGACACTGTAAAGGGAGAAACGGTAAAGGAGTCATTAGTTTTGTTGAAATCGGGAGAGAGAAACGCAAGCCGGGCCGGAAAGATACTCGTGATGAGAGATCAAAAAGGGAGGGACAGTATGTACCGAGTGGTTGATTTTCGTAAGCCTGTGCTATACGTCAGAGCAGCTATACCTGTACCTGGTAGCGCAGGTCCAAAGTTGGCTAGACGTTGCCATCCTCGACCAACTTCCGAATAGTTAGCAAACTGCGGGTTCTGCCTGAGATGATGGAAAATGCCGGAAGACGGAATGGGACGGACGATCAGGGCTTCTTACCATCAAATCCAAACTCCTGTATAGTGTTATCCCATAGCTGGGCATATACGCGTAATCGTGGACTTCGGCTGCTAGGAACAAATACTGCAGCTAGCCGTGAATGGGATGCAACCTGAAAATTATAACTGTTAATTGAGCCAGTGTACCACTCGCTTTGCGAATCAGATGCAGCTTCTCCAAGGGTGTTGTTCGGCGACAGATAGTAGACGCGGATCTAAGGCAGGAAGTCAATACTCGAACTCTTGTGAATCTTATCCCCAGCGAATATACATATGCTACAGAGTACTTACTAGCTCGAGATCATCAGAGGCGGCAGCAATTGACGAATAAACCTTGGCCTTTGCAACTGTGTCATTGGCGAGGCCTCCGCTCCAATAGCCTTCGAATCTGGCTTCCCGAATGCCGCCCGATGAATCTTGGCTATAGATCCGTAGTAAATTAACGGAGTTGACGGCGGCGATCCCGGTACCTAGAAGATAAGAGTCAGAGACTGTCCCTCAATATCGCATCACTCCATGATCTTCATCCTGCCAAGAGGATGTGAGTAGCGGTGGGAAGCACAAGGAGACAGTGACCAACCAGGAAGAGTCCGCTGGACTTCAGGCTCGGTGTTGTTTCCACTCGCCTGCGCAAAGCTGTTCGCTGAGAACAGGGAAACTTGGAGAAAGATAGTGAAGTGAAGCAATTTCATGATGATCTCTGCTTGGCCGTCGTTAACAGTAGGGTATGGTGTCTTGGATGTCCATTTATCTCCTACTCCTCAAGGCTCGGCATATGTCCTGTGTTTGTCTCCAAGCATAGCAGAGATTCGGGGGGATATATGGCCTGGTTTTATGTCGTCCTTTCCTTCCAATACTTCGGCGGAGGAGGGGACATCCGTATCTCTACACTTCATCACAACCTGGCTTGTCCCACTCGTAAATGAGCACATGAAGCATGAGATGTACAAACCCCTCGCTGCGAGAGAAAACCGTCCATGTCGTGTTGTACCCCATATAGGGCGAGCGGCGGGGAGATAGTTTTGCATCATATAGATAGTGAGAATCACGGGGTGACAGAGTGCAACTGGTGGTCAACCCCGCTGGTGATAAGAAAAGGCGTTGGACAGAGTCACCATAAGCTTTGAGGCGATTCGATCTCATGCTTCCACAGCCAAGCTTGTATCAAGTATCAGTTGAGTAAATATGGCTCCGATGGGAGTCACACGGCGTGTGTTTAGGGGGGCAGCGTGTGTATTTGAATGACGTCTGGAGTTGTCATGGAGCGATCGTTGCCAACTTCAAGTTAGCAGAACAAGTCCACGAGTTCATCACTAAGATGGTGATAAGCGAGCAGTAAGACCACTGGATCTTTTGAAATATTCTGGCCAAGGATCGGCATCACTAAACATAAGCCGATAGCTAGTTATTTGAGTCTTGACTAGCTTTTGTTACAGGGCTTTTTCGAGGTTTTGCAGTACTCGTTCGAGACCTGGTCAATTTGGCGATCTTCGTCCTCATAACTAGTTCGTTTGCCAACCGCCTCATTGTCAATGATCACGACATTCCCCGCTCGTCTTTGGATTCCAATATGCGGTAACAGCTCTCGGACGGGGTCAGACTGAAGCACCAATGGTCTGAGAACATCGGGACATCCCATAACCAATAAGCCTAATATCCCGGTTAACTAATGAACTGCGTGGTTGTATTACCGATAATCCCGGGGCCATTCGTCGAGGTTCCCAACCGGGAGATATGTTGATGAAATCTCTGCGAGCTAACTAACTGAACTTGATCATGGGTGGTGAACTTGGAAAATCTAACCGGATGACTGCATTCTTTTCGTAGGAGGTGAACAATCTTCAGATGCCGCCGTTGTAACGAGAGTGGTAGGAAGAATGTGCAAACTCTCCGCTTTCATTAGTTACATGGCGTGGGCGGCTAGATATCAAGGCGTTACATGATCAATATCTAGATCAGCTGGAGGAAGCAAGCAAACTTTGGAGATTGTAACTTGGCATATTCGCCACATTATTGAACTGGCCGGCATAGTAGCATGGATACGTTCTTCTCTACTCCATACTCCGTATCGTTTGATGTCCATTTTTACTCATACACAAGGGGGTGGACTTATGGTTCCGAGCCTCAGCCAAGCAACACTCCGATTGGCCGGAGAAGTGCGTCTAGCGCGTTGACAGGGGGTAGTTATCGCTACTGAAAAGTTGTCAGTGGTTGTGCCGCCTTTGCCCAAAGAGCCCTGTGATTCTATACAAACGGGGAGGTTCGGTAACTACTCCGTACTTGAGCTTGATGCAGATGCAGACTATGTCGTGGCAGTGTCTAATATCAAGGTCGCAACGGCTCTAGTGCATGCAGCAGGGCAGGGTATGCTTCTCTAGGGGTTTACGAGTCCTCACACCAGAGAATATATTCTTCATCCCATTTGGCACGAATTTATTAGTCTTATCTTTGAAAACACCGCATTTTGTCATGTCTACAGACATCCTCCTCTTTCCAATGGCATCTGCATTTTCAGGAATCACCGTGAAGATCATAGTCTTCTTTCTGTCTATTTCTTCGCTAGTTCTATATGACCAGCTAATCGCCCCGAGAGGTTTATTGAGGTTGACGCTGACTTGGTGTTTAGTTCTCCTTCTTGCAGGTTGTACGGTCAGTCTTCCTAGTATACACCTTGCCGAAGTTCAGATGGACAATAGCGATGCCGTTCGCGTGGGATATTTTGGTATTTAATATCTTCAATTATATCTCCCAAAGCAGTATACTGACAATACCAAGTATCTGCGTGAAGACAAATGACCAAATCAGGTGCACTTCAAGTGCATTCTCTTCTCCAGACACCATCAGGAAACGTCTGATGATAGAAATTCGGGGAGCTCTTCCAGAATTGCCCATCAACCAAGCTATAAAACTGCAAGCCGCAGCGTTCATCAACGCCGTTTCTGTGGCAGTGGTATTGTTCTGCTTCAGTTTGATTTTCGGCCTGCTCCAGTACCACAGTACCCGCAAACAGCCTATAAAGAGAGCATCTAGATGTCGTTGGAACTTCTTCCGTCAGGCCTCACTTGCATGTGCATGCAGTGCTTGCGCTTTTAAATTGGCAGCTACACTTGCAATCACCGGAGTGAGTGGCATATTTGCTATTGGCTTCAGATCTGTGTATACGATCAAAACCGGAACTGTATCTTTGGCATTGCATTGGACCGTAACCATACTTTGCTTTTTGGTCTGTATTGGCTTGATCATGCTTCGCCGTACGACAAGCGATGTAATTGGGGGCTCAAAGCCGGTTATGTTTGAACAAGGTATTAAGAAGCAGGATTTCCCTCTAGATCCGGACGGTTTTGGGACAATGAACTAAGGGTATATAAAGTGTTTATCGCTGAAAGGAATATATCACTGGCTGTTGGGTCTGTAGGCATTAGACTGGGATGGGAGGAGAAAGGTTGATACTGTATTCACTGTGATTGGGAAGTACTTGAAAAGAAGGAATATATTAGTATGGCGCCGAATTGATAGATAGAGTCCTAAAATGCTAGAAAAGGTATATATACACGTACGAAATATGTATCCGAAGCCATAAGTCTATGGAAATAAAAAGAAACGCTTTAATAGGCCCGAAAATGTTAATTTACGCCTGTAGCTCATTGTGGTGTTTGGGATGGGTGCCATCTTGAGAAAGAAGCCAGAACTTCTCATGCTCCTTTTGTCCATTGATGGCACCCTTGAGGTCGAATGGGTCGGCAAAGGTCTCCCACTTGGAACGTTTGTCGGTCCAGCCGGGGCCTTCGTACTCCTCCTTGTCAAAACCAAGGTAGACAGTGGTCTTGTTTGGCAGGTATCTACCAGGATGAACAATATTGAGCCAGTAGGTGTATAGAACCATTGGCGCGGCTTCAAAGACGTATAGGTACCATTCATGTCTTAGCACGGCATCGCAGACCCCATCGCACTGGCCGGTAGAAATGACGTTCAGGGTGCTGAACTTCTCGATGGCACGGAAGATGGACCGGAATAAGACAAGGGAGGATGTGCCATAAAGCATGATGAAGACGGTTCGGACTTTCTTTGTGAGCATGTTGGCTCGAACACAGCGGCTGTGGAGGTGGGCGATCATTCCGATGAAGATACATTCCACAGCTGCCTGGAGGACAGAACCGACGGCGACTAGTGTGCCACCGCTGCGTTGGAGGCCCTGGTCATCTCCTGCTGTCGCTACACGAGCAGCTCCGGCGGCTGTCAGACCCTCAACCAGTGCACCCAGGTAGATGAAGAAGTAAATGAGCCTGCTTGGGTTCAGAGGTGCGTGCATAGGGAGATAGTGCATGAGTCGTCCGAGAATATTGTATTCAGCTGCGGAGTAGATCGGTGGTCCGCAGAGAATGAGAATACTTTCTGAGATGTAGAAGTTCTTGTTCTCGGGGTAGAAACTAGAGACGGTTCTCATAACCCAGCCGGATGTAAAGACGAGGCCTCCCCAGCACATGAAGAACATGACCCGCCAGTATTTATATCGGCTGCAGAGATGTTAGTAAACGATGTTCAGTAACTCATAGATAGAAGGGCTGAGGCATACAAGTTCTGCCAGATGTGTATACCGAGCGAGATTCCAACTAGAACCGCGAAGACGGCTGCAAGGGCTCGGCTGGGTGTATAGGGATAGAATGTTAAACTTGTCGATTCCATGTTGGATGATGAAGCCATGACAATGAATTGATGTCTGAATTAGAGTGCTTGTATGATTGCTGAATCTTTATGGATTGCCGCAGCATCATGGCCGGTTATATATTGTGATATCTTCCATGTTTTCTCGTCTCTCACGCCTCATTAGGACTCCATGAATATCGACTAAGCACAGCCTTTGTTGCTCATTGCTTGTGTAGATGATGGGCGGCGCTACATGAGACCAAGAGCGGTTAGAGATCTGTCTGACGCTTGTCCAAGCCATGCCGAAACCCAGTGCGCGGATGCCAGCAAGCGCTGCGTTGCCCCAGATCAAGTATCATCCGCCGCCAAAACATCTTTCGGGCCGTCAGTCGTTCTTTTTTCTTGAAGGATCCGAGGTGGAGGAGCGCTGGATAACACCATATACGGCTAGTCTCATGCCAATCATCGAGGCTCTTCTGCATAAAGGGCAGATTTATAGGGCTGATAATCACTCCTCCGTACTCTACAGGGCATCATGGAGCGCTGGATAATGATGCCACCGTAGAGCGGCCATCGCCAGGCCATCGACGGACAAGAGGGCTGTGTTCATTTAACCATGGCTCCTCTCCCATGAAGCTGTCCGTAGTTGATAGTTATCCTGCTCTTCGTAGTCCTTCACCACCGCCGCCAGCAGCCTCTTTGAACGGCCTGGGAGATGATATCATGCTGAGGAGCAGATATATACACCATGGTCATCGCCGTCCGTGGCAGTGCAATGCCTCATCTTCTTGACTTCGACGCTATGGAGCGGTTGGTCGAACAGGGTCCGTCTCCAGCTCTGACGACAGAGTCGCTGCTCCGTATCAGCCTCTCAGCCAGTCAGCGTCGGCTGTTCACCGTCGACTCACAAGGCATACATTATTGCTCATCGCCTGAGGCTCCGTCTTGTCTTCTTCTGGCCCAGAATGCGTGCGTTTTCATGGCATCCTGGTCACTGTCTTCTTGTTCAACCTGCGCAGGCACCGCAGCCAACTAGCCTCGCCAAGGCGACTCCTTCAGCTCTCTGTCTGCTTAGCCGGAGGACGATCAGGTTATTTCAGAGTCGCTGGCTATTCCTCCTTTCGAAAGATGTTTTCGAGGCTTCATGAAAAGTTGTGGCCGTGTGGGCGTTGAGTAGCTGTCAATCATCATGCCTGGAGTTCCATCAGGACGCGGTTGCGATGCGTGCAGGAAACAGAAGAAAAAGGTGCAGCACATCAGCTGCTAATTAGTTAACCGGTTAAGCCATTGCTAATGCTGAGAGGATTGTATAGTGCGATCAAGGACGGCCTTCGTGTGCGCGATGTACTCGACTGAATATACCGTGTGTCGGCGCGGGCGTGCAGAGATTCAAGTTCAAGCAAGAGCATGTCTTTAACACCAGCCAGAAGAGCCAGCAGAGCCAGTCGAAGACCCTGACGACCAGGAAGAAGCCCGCTGCCAGACAGCTGCCGAACTTCGAGGCCATCATCTTTGTCGAAGAGATCCCCCGGCTACCCGTTAACGGCGTGACGGCGCTGCGGAATAGCTTTATCGAGACGTTGAAGCCGACAACCGACCTGAGATACAACCTGGCCTGGTCATTTGGCGGCTTTCTGGCGGACATTCCACGGCGGCTGGGGGTCAATGAAGCCCTGGACTCGGCGGTACAGGTGCTGGTCGAGTCGCATCAGGATTTCTGCGCCGGATTGGGGGTTACTTCGCGGATGCTGGTGGGATACTCGAGAGCGCTCAGGATGCTCAGGTTGTATCTCGATGACCCAGTCAAGGCGCGGGCGTCTGAGACTCTCTGCTCGGTCATGGTCTTGTTGATGTGCCAGGTGAGAGACGATTTACTGGTGCTATATATCATTCTACGCATGGCTGACGATATCGGTGTTGATACAGCGCTTTATCGGTGTCAGTGAAGGCGATTTTACAGGCCACTGCGAAGGCGCTGCCCAGCTGTTAAGGGCCAGAAGATACTATGATCCAAAAGACGAGTTTGAAAGCAAACTAGTCCTCTCGCTGCGAGGACCGGTGGTATGCTCCCTTTGGTGTCATTTAGTTACACTGGCAGTGCAATAATGGCTTACTTCCTTGATAGGTCTTTGAAGGACTTCTAAACCAAAAGATTCAGTTCACCCCCGAAGAATGGAAGACGCTGGTGGAAAACCATCTCGACGGAGTGACTCCTGAAGGTAGGATGATGCGTAGCGTTGCCAAAGTGCCTGGCCTTTTAAACCGAGCTAGAAAGATCCGCAAGGACGGAGGGACAGATGAGAATCTTTTAATCGATGCGCTGGCAGCATACCACCTGGCCAAAGGGGCGGCAGACGAGTTACGAATAAAGTACAATAAGGCCCGGTTCCCGAAAGAGGGCCAATTTTCATTCAAAGACCCTATCGTCATGGCCCACTCGTTCTATCAACGCTCGTTTGGCTTGAGTCTAACCGTTGCTATCATTCTCAGCTGTGTGGTTACCGGAATTGACCCGGACAACGCTGTTGTCGTAGACCCGTCGACATACATTGACGAGATTCTTGAAATTGCGGGCTCTGCGACAATATACAGGCCGTTGGGAGCAAGTTTCGTGCCCATGTGTTTGATGATGGCTTGGATATCCACTGGGGATGTTACGAGACGGGCAACCATTGAAGCCGCTTTAAAAGCGTATGAGAATGACTATGCAGAAGGACAGGCTGTCGTGATGTCACCGAGAGTCGAGCAGATATCGCGCCAGCTACGCTTAGTCGACTTGGATGTTTGATAACCATGGCCTACCCTTCTCACTATTATTATGCTAGAATGATCTGTTATGGCATTGCTCTATGTGCCAGCAGGCTGGTCTTCTTTGTAGATACTATTTTTATGGATGATAACATTACAACGACATCTTTGCTTAATATCAATATTGATATTCAATTTGAAGAGCTTCATGTCTTTTATGAATACAAATATCGTATTGATTTTTGCCTCAATATATGTGTTTTATTTAAGTTCTCTTATTTTATTGGGTAATAAATTTCAACATACGGGTCTGTTACCGTACACATAAAACGTCGAACCTTTTCATGAATTTTCGTGGATGAATCAACAAAAGCCAGCAACAACAAAGCGCAGAGATGGATTCCTTGGACTCCAAGACAGAAACCATAGGGGATAAAGAGAAACTGATATCTAAGCGAACTAGGAAACGAAAGCGTGGTGGTCGAAATAATAAGAGCGAGAGCGAGACCAAAAAACCTCGAATATCTGACAATGGCACTGAATCTGACCGAACATCTGAAAAGATAATTCAGAATGGTGCCCATAACCATGAAAAGAATATATCCAACTTCAAGGCGCCCTCAAGAAACGGCACTGCTAAATCTGATCCAAATGCCGGCTCTACCAATCTCAGGGAAAAGGCCAGGGTTCTGCTTGAAACGAGGAAGAAACTTCCTATATTTGCGCACGCAGACGAGATTCGTGGCCATCTGCGACGGACAGATGTTATGTTGCTTGTAGGAGAGACAGGAAGCGGTAAAAGTACCCAGGTTCCTCAATTTCTCACTGATGAGGACTGGTGTCGCCCTAAATCAGTCAAGATACCATGTTCCCGCAACAAGCAGACGACTACTGTGGGTGGCTGCATAGCCATCACCCAGCCCAGACGTGTGGCAGCCGTCTCTCTCGCTCGAAGGGTAGCAGAAGAAGTAGGCTCTCCGCTTGGTTCTGCGTCTCCTGCGAGCAAGGTCGGCTATGCGGTGCGTTTTGATACATCTGTTTCTCCGAGCACGCGTATCAAGTTCATGACGGATGGAATGTTGCTGCAGGAGATGCTGAGTGATCCGTGGCTGACCAAGTATAGCGCTATTGTTGTTGACGAAGTCCACGAGCGAGGGATCAATGTTGATCTGCTTCTCGGGTTCTTGAGAAACATTGCTACAGGGTCAAAGGAAGGGAGAGGAGGGGTTCCGTTAAAAATAGTGGTAATGAGTGCTACTGCAGATATGGAGAGTTTGATGTCCTTTTTCACAGAGGGATTTACACAGGCTTCGACTTCGAATGGTCAACAGGGTTCTACGATGGAAGATGATATCAATGCCAAAGCTCAAAAGGCAAGTGGTTCAAAATCCTCAAAGAAGGGGAAAGAGAGCCAAACGAAGTCGGATCAGATATCTGTCTGCCACATCAAGGGTCGCCAATTCCCTGTTACAACTATATATTCGCCAGCACCAGTTCCGGACTTTGTGGATGCGGCGCTTAAAACTATTTTTCAGGTTCACTACAAAGAACCGCTGCCTGGAGATATACTGGTTTTCTTAACCGGGCAAGAAACAGTGGAAAACCTGGAATACTTGGTCAATGACTATGCTAGTACTATGGACAAGGAATTACCAAAGGTGCTTGCTGTTCCTCTGTTCGCAGCTCTTCCCCAGGTTGCTCAACAAAGGGTTTTCCTGCCTACACCACCGAGAACAAGAAAGGTGATTCTAGCCACGAACATTGCTGAAACCTCCGTGACTGTCCCTGGAGTACGATATGTGATTGACTGCGGCAAGGCCAAGACAAAGCAGTTTAGGACACGGCTTGGACTGGACTCATTGCTTGTTAAACCAATATCGAAATCTGCTGCTATACAGAGGAAAGGTCGTGCTGGTCGAGAAGCACCCGGACAATGTTACCGATTATACCCTGAGAAGGAATATCTTGCTTTGCCAGAGACCAACACCCCTGAGATTCTACGATGTGATGTAAGCCAGGCTATTTTAACGATGAAAGCCAGAGGAGTGGATGATATAGTTGGATTCCCGTTTCTTACACCTCCGCCTCGGGATGCGATCGAGAAGGCATTGTTACAACTTTTCAACATCAACGCTCTGGATGACACGGGGAAGATAAGCCCTGTCGGTAGCCGGATAGCAAAACTTCCACTTACTGCACCATTAGGTCGAGTGCTTCTTGCTGGAGCTGAAAAAGGTGCTCAATGTCTTCGAGATGTTATCGACATCATTTCCTGCCTGAGTGTGGAGAATATCTTTTTAAATACGCTATCAGAGGAGAAGAAGGAACAGGCAGACCTGGCGAGGCGTGACTTGTACCGGAGAGAAGGAGACCACTTAACGATGCTTGCCACCGTCCGGGCATATGCGGCTGAAAACGCAGATAGAAAGGCATGGGCTGAACGCCACCTTGTCTCTCATAGAGCAATGCAGGCAGTTATGGTACGTCTCTAATTTTAGGATCCTTTCTTCTGTGTTATGTGACTAATGGAGTATCCAGGATGTACGGAAGCAACTACTAGCGCAGTGTAAGCAGTCAAAGCTATTTGGCAATACGTCGTTTGAAAACGATGAATCTATACCCCTGGGAAACGAAGATCCAGTCCCGATATTGACGAGCTTTCTTACCGGGTTTGCTACAAATACAGCACGGTTGCTCCCTGACGGCAGCTATCGAACCCTGGTAGGAAATCAAACTGTTGCTATACACCCATCCAGTGTACTCTTTGGCAGGAAAGTTGAGGCCATCATGTACAATGAATTCGTCTTTACCAGTCGAAGTTATGCAAGAGGTGTCAGCGCAGTACAGATGAATTGGATTGGAGAAGTTTTAGATGGTTCTTCATAAGGCATAAAAATATACACTAGATGATATGAAGCATTGCATATGTACAGATACCGCCGGATGCAACCCAAGATCCTCGTAATCTATAACCAAAGAGGTATCATTGCCAATCTTGTCTAGTTGCTTTTCTTCTCTTTGCTTCTCAGCTTATCCGTCTGATGGAACCAGTCCAAAAGGCCAATAGATCCATAGTTCAGATTGAACTTCTCATGATGTAAATCATGCATTCTTGCCTTTCCATTTAGGAAATCATATCCACTATGCACGGTTGCGGTCTCGAATAATTGGTAGCCCATGAATAGCCAAAAGGTAACGATATGACTTTTGAGTATTTGTGGGGGAAGAGTTATCGGCAGCACATTAGCGCCTATCTGCTCCAGTGGATGGGCATATTGAGCGGCTAGGGCAACGGGAGCAGTGAACTTGTGGTGGCGTTTGTGAATCCTGACATAAAAGTACGGATAATGAAGGAGTCGGTGGGCGTAGTAAAAGAGGACTTCACGCATCAGCATGCAAAGCACAATGTCACGGGCCGCAATAGCGAATGGCGGTAACGTCGGCAGCACCTGGAGCGAGGGTGGGATGATATTTTTATGCACGAGTGTGAGCAGAAGAATGTGCAAGGCTGTGGACAGCAGCTGGTTCTTCAACACGTAGAAGAAGCAGTGCCATATCTCCTTGGACGTTGGCTGTTTGGGAGCTGGCTGGATCTTATGTCTCTGTGAGAAGGCCGGTGCCCATTTATCGAGACTGAGATAGAAGGCTGACGGGATCCAAAATGTTACCAGCTGGACGAGACAGGTTCCCACGAATTCTATCGTTGCGGGCGAGTATGTTGAGACGAGCGAGGCCCAGCCGGCCTCTATCTTGGTATAAACAGCGTCCATGGTTGGTGTCACTGGCCAACTAACTAGCTAGTTATCAAGACGGTGACGCTTCGAAAGGAAAGATGTTCGGAGATTATATTCCAGTGTGGCCTGCCTTGTCTCCCCAACGAACTATTCATACTGCGGTGTATCCTGGGGTTGGTTCGTTTTGATATAAAAACGGCCGAAATGTTGACTCTTACTTTGCATGTGCCGAACCTCGGCTCGATCCTTGCCACCACCTCGCGTATGAATAGGCGCGTGTTATTCGCGACGCGGAGGTATACAATATTCATCTGACATACATTTTATAATAAGAGAAGGCTATGAATAAAATGAAATCGTTAAGAAGATGGGACCCAAAATCAGAGGATTATTAACTAATGTATATAAGATCAATGATTCATGATTTCGTTGAGCTGTGTTATAAGTATTGGACCCTGAACCAAACAGTGGCAACCGGCTCAGGGGTAAGTAACCAAAGGTAGTTGCCAACCACGAACAGCCAACTCAATCATACAAGCCGGCTGGCCTAGAGAAATCTCGTTTAAGGGCCTGAGGAGCAGATACCTTGATACCACTCTCCATGCGTGCAAGACTTATCTCGTAGCCCTTCTGATCACACCATGACTTCACCATCTTCACCGCGTTCTTGATCTCACGTCCATTCAACTGCCACATAGAAAGTTCTTTCAAGTCTTCATCGGTCAGTTGATCCAAGACGGTCTTCGCTTCCTTCTGGTCAGGCATGGCATGGATAGGAGCCAGTCGGCTCAGGAACTTGGCCCACACCTGTGACCTGGCATTTTGAGATAGTGGTTTAAACAGCAGATGGAGATTGATGCGGGATCTGAATGCTGTATCGATGGTGTCATAGAGGTTGGTGGTAAGAAAGATGACGCCACGGTAGTACTCTAGTTCTCGGAGGAAGATGGAGACGAGTTCGTTGCGGTGGATATCGTTGGGATTACGCTCTGCCATGAAGACGTCCGCTTCGTCGAGCAGGATGACGGCGTTCCATTCTAGGGCCAGCTCGAATACCTTTTTTATGTTATTGCCGAGCTCTGCGGCCTGGATGCCTAGGTCTTCAGCCTGGAGGTAAAATAGGGGCTTGCGGCATCTGTCGGCAACTGCATGGGTTTGTTGTTAACTGGATGTCCTCGCTTTTGGAGATCTGCTGTCTTTCTTACCAGCTTCTGCAGTGAGCGTCTTTCCTGTGCCGGGAGGCCCACTAAGGAGGATATTCAGTCCTTGGCCTAAGGTTGGGGGAGGTAGACGTTAGCAAGCCAGTCGTTCCATGGATCAGGGAGACTTGACTCACCTTTTCCGGTAATGACATCATCCGATACTTTCTTCGAATTATAGTGGTGTTCTACAAAGGATAGGATCAGGTCCTTTTGTTGCTCGTCATATACCAAGTGATCATAGGCTTCGTCGTTCCATTTGACCTGTTCAATATCCTCAATATAAAAGTTGACTATACCACGGTTAGCGTTGAGAATGATACTCTTCGGACAAGCGACACACTTACGCCACTCCTTATTCTTCAGGGCGAATCCCTCGAGGAACGGAGACATGTACATCATCTCACTTCCGAGACCGAGGATACCTTGCTTATTTTTGTCCTGATCTTCTGTTGAAATGTGCTTGGTAGCCCTCGGTTTAGTCCCGCCGGTCAGACTGGCATTGTTTGGCCCAGTTATCTCTAGCACGGGCTTCTCAGTTTCGGGGTTTGTATCCGTCTGGAGAACACGCGTTTTCCGTTTCATAGGATTCTCAACTCCACTGTCAGGACTCCTGAGAGCATCGTGGTGTTTATTGTATCCAACGACATCAATCAGAATCCTGCCATCCACCTGGACAAAGCGAGTTAGCAGGTCATAGTTTATCTACATATAGATATGGATATATATTGATAGAGACCTACATTGTGCTTGATCATCCCATCTTTGGCCTTGAAGAGAGCGATACCGGTGTAAGATCCGTAAGAGAGCCCCTGATAGTCGAGCGCTTTCCTTGCTCGCTTTATCAGGCGTGACTTGACAGCCTCCGGATCTTCATGGAACCTGAGTGGGTAGAAGGGTAGATCCGTGATGGGGATATTTCCCTTGAAAGAGGGGATTATATCCTTGTACTCCTCCCAGACGTATTCCTGGCCGTCAAATTTCATGATCCTGCACCGTAGGCGCATCACAGACCGTGAATTGCACTTGAGAATATCGGTGCCGATAACTTTGCCTAGAGATTCGCACTCCCCTTCCCAGATGTATACCGGGGAGCCAGTAGGAAAATAAGCCCAGAGCAAATCGGACGAAGCCAGACCGCTGGCCTGTAACAGCTGGACACGACTTCGAGTTTCGGCAAACATGTCGTCCATCAGGTTTAGGAGGAGCTCGAGATGTTCGCGTAAAGGGGTGCCTTTGCCTGCACTCTTGAGCAAGGCCGCAATCTCGTCCGCGTTGAAGTAGAGCGGCGCAAAGGGGGTGGTGAACTCTGCCGGCTCTGTCTTCTCGAGGTATATCTCATCCTTCTCGACGATATCCTTGAGGGCAGCTACTAGCAGGGGGCTCTGGATGGTAATCTTGAAGTACTTCAGCGTAGGACGGCCACTGATGACGGGCTTATCCAGGTCCACGATCTTGTACACTCTGATGGCTGCTCGGTCCTGGGCCTTGGAGGCAGTCTTGCTGAGCTGCTTGGGGGGATAATCCACCCACGTCCGGTGCTCTTCGCGGCTGTTTTTGGACTCATAGAAGATTTTGATAAGGGCGTCTGCTCCCTGGGTGTTTTCTTCAGGGGCAGCACCCGCCTTTCGAGTCTGCGAGCGAGGCTTGATTTTGTCGTTTGTTCCAAACGCCTTGCATCGCCATCGCCAGACGGCCTCGGAGACGTTGAATCCCATGCTGAAACTATGGACGGTGAACAGCTGTTCCAATGGAGGTTTTGATCGCTGGGCGTTTGGTGGTGAATGAATGATATTCGGTAGCAGTGCAAGTTAACTTAAGTACAACAACGGCAGAGCAAAAGACAAAAGCTGGGGAAGCAGCCGGAAACAAGAGAAGAATTCTTGCAGAGAATTTCTCTTTAAAAAAGGACGGATTGGGTGAATTCTGCAGAGGTTTTTATGCATGCAAAGGAGCTTCTGGCTGCCTTAGTGGCCTTCTCTGTGTGAGCCTGTACCGGGCGCAGCAAAGCAGGCAGCTTTATATCCAGCAGCCGGTTGAGTAACCAAAAAGAAAACAAAGCCAGGCACTGCCTCTAGGGCCCCTGCAGCGAGTAAGTAGTAAGTCTCTAGCTAGCTATATTCACTCCGTTTGCCATAGTTTGTTACTGATCGGAACAGGGAGATGGATAGGCTGAGAGGAGTGTGGCTTGACCAGCAACCCAGCAAGGCAGCATCATTCAGTCGATGTGCATAACTACGCCGTATGCTGAAAGCCGCCAGGCAGCAGAGGCGCCAGCCGAAGCCATCACAGAAGAGCCCAAGGTTAGTTATGTACCTACAGGCTGAATCTGCTTGGAGCGATGCGCCTGTCAAGGTGAAGAAAAGGCTGCCGGCCTTTGGCCCCTGAATCGAAGAACGTCGACGGTCTCGCCCATTGAACCAGCCAGCCGAATCTCGTCTATTCAGGCCCTATCAGATCCCGTTCCCGCCTCTAGCTCGGAGAAGGAGTGTGCGTGATGGTGAGGATTCCAGCTTGCGGCTCAGTCCAGCAGTTCACCAGGCGCAGCAGCCACAACGGCTCTTCAAACGAAGGTGCAGATCTTGGTTAACTATAACTACGGGGTACGAGAGGGAACACATGCCTGGGCACTAGTTATCTCGGAAGCTGCTGGTTTGATGAAGGATTTGAAGAAGGATGATGCACAGTGCTGGACGATGTTGGATCTCCTGCCAGTTAACTAACAATCAGTTACTGGCTGCCCCTGAGTAACGACGGAGAACGCCGTGAAGAACGAACCAGCTCGATGAATCTGGGGATAAAATGCCAATAGTAGAGGGATGTATTAAACACGTCGCATCCTTCAAACGTTATGGTGGGTTTCCATGGACTCTCCGCAGCTTGCACACACCCCTGTGGACGCTGGGCCAGAGGACGGGAGTCTGCTCGAGAAGACCAGGGCAATGGAGCGAAATGCCTCCACTCAAGGGAGGACTGCATATAGCTGCACATATACGCTTCGGGGGAGATGCGTCAGGGAGTCTGTCACCAATTTATGCTGGTGTTCTGTTCGAAAGCAGTTAACCGAGAACTGTAAGAGCTATACGACCAGCACGATGCTTTAATGTTACTTTTAAATGACGGCAACCTGCAGCAAGAGATACCATTCTGGGATGTGCAGGATTCGATAATCATGGGGCGGTTATCCGAATCAGCATCTGGTGTAACTACGACTGCCGTTTGTCGTCTCCATGACGATTCTCACCGTCCATCATCCAGCTTGATGGAGACATCGAAACGCCTCTTTTGGCTGGCGGCTGGATAACTACCCGACAAACTTCGCCCGACGGATAGTCTGATCCTCCATATTATCTGCATCGCTGGTGATCTCGTATCCCTGGAGGGTGGATCCCAGTCTCAACGCAGCAGCAGCAGACATTCTAGCGCCACACCAGCACGGGAGAAAGCTCCCCTGTCGCTGCAATTGAGGCCCTGACTCTAGACTGACTCGACTCCACTAGCCAAGGTGCGTTCGAGGGATAACTATACTCGGGATAGCTCCGTTGGGGAGAGGGGGGGCATGCGATGCCAGTGTCTGGTTGTTCGATGCACGACTATATCAGTGAAGATGTCCCCGGCCAGCCTGCGCAGGGCGTTTCGCCTGGTTTCTTGAGATAGATAGGATAAGGATGCAGCCATGATCAGTCGATTCGCATACAGAAGCCCCCGGAAGGCTGCTCGGCTTTGTGGTCGTTTATCGTCGCACAGTGTGGTTCTACGCGGCAGACGTACTGCCGTTACAGCCAGTGCACCAGCGGCATTTGACGAAGAGACAGATGTTCTAGTTATAGGGAGCGGTGCGGGAGGCTTAACTGCTGCCCTGAGAGCGCAGTCCCACGGCCTTCGGACGCTGGTGGTCGAGAAGGAGGAAGCGCTGGGAGGGACATCCGCGTACTCTGGTGGTGCCATGTGGATTCCAAACAGCCATCTATCTGAAGCCGCTGGTGTAAAGGACAGCAAGGAAGAGGCTCTCCAATACCTCGAAGCAACCATTGGAGATGTCGGCCCTGTGTCGTCTCGAGAGCGCAAGGTTGCTTTTCTCGACAATGGGCCTCGACTGGTTCAGTTCCTGGAGAAGGCCGGATTCCAATGGCGCCTGGGAACAGGGGGATGTCCCGATTACTTCCCTGAGACACCGGGCAGCTCAATGTTTGGACGGACGCTAGAACCGATGATCTTTGATATGAAGAAGCTGGGGTCCTGGAGGAGTTTGGTTCGAAAGCGTCCTGGTCCCCCTATTGCTGCATATGTGACGGAGACCAACAGAGCTCTCAAATCAGGGGCTTCGTGGACGGACTTCAACGCTCTGCTTAAGATCGTCCTGCGTCAGGGACTGCTCACTCTGTTTGGCCAGGCTCCCTCGGCGATGGGCCAGGCACTGGTATCCCAGCTGCTGTACCTGCACAAACAGGCCGGAACAACGATACAGCCTAAGACAGCGCTGGTTGACTTGATCATGGACGGTTCGACGGTCGTTGGAGCCACGGTCAACCACGATGGCCGGCAGAAGACCATCCGGGCCTCTCGTGGAGTCCTTCTTGCCGCGGGGGGTTTCGCTCACAACAAGCAACTCAGGGAGAAATATGGTCCTTCGCCGGCCAGTGTTGAATGGACAAGTGCCCCCCCCGGAGACACAGGGGACGCTATCACCGCTGCCATGAAGGTCGGAGCAGCTACGGCACTGCTGGACGATGCCTGGTGGGGACCGACTGTCCTCTGTCCGGCCCTCGGGACGCCCATCTTTGCCCTGACCGAGCGAGCTCGTCCGTTCAGTATCATTGTTGATTCCTCCGGGTCGAGGTTCATGAACGAAGCTGAACCGTATACGGATGCTGGCCACCATCAGTACGAACGACACCAAAAGGTGAACGCCATCCCAGCCTGGCTGATAGTTGACCACTCGTTCCGCAAACGATACAGCATTGGTAACCTGTTCCCTATGCGACCTGATCCAAAGAAGGGGCTCAAGGAAGGATATTTATTCAAGTCCGATACCATCCAAGACCTAGCAAGGCAGATTGGCGTTGATGCTGCGGGTCTCGAGAAGACGCTCTCTCGATTCAACCGGATGGCCAGGGCCGGAGTCGACGAGGACTTTAACCGCGGTGTCTCTGCGTTTGATAATTACTTTGGAGACCCCCTGATAGGACCCAACCCGAACCTGGGGCCGATCGAGAAGCCGCCGTTCTACGCTGTTCGGATTGTTCCAGGAGACTTGGGCACCAAGGGGGGTTTACTAACCGACGAATTTGCGCGGGTGATCAGGGAGAGTGACGGGAAGCCGATTGAACGGCTGTATGCTGCGGGTAATAGCAGTGCAAGTGTGATGGGCAGGACTTATTCTGGCGCTGGCGCTACCATTTCGCCTGCCATGACCTTTTCTTTTATTGCAGCGGATCATATGGCGGGTCAATGAGGTCTGTTAGTTGTTCTTGGATACATTTAGATATAACCCACTAGATAGATATTTGGAGATGGTTCCAACCCCCTATCTGGACACACTACCCTATCAACTTGATATCTCCCTTACACCGCCCCTATATCAACACTGTCAATTAAGAGTCTAGCACATACGACCACAGGAAGTGGAAAACAGAGCTTCCCGTCCGCTCAGCTGTACTTAAGCCACTTGCCGGTCGGTTAGTAGTTGGGTGGGTGACCACCAGCGAATCCCGACTGTCGTATGTATTTTTTGATTTTTACTCACCCTTCTTTTGCTATTTTGTTGCCCATTTAGTGGGATTTACCTTGCTGCTTCTCTATAATACCCTTATGAACCCATCTCCGCCTCTGTCACTCATAAATATGCTTGCTCGTCACCTCAAACGCGCAAAGGGCTATTCTCCGTTGGGTGGGTGACCACCGGCGAATCCTGACAGTCCGCATGTTTTTGACCACCCGTTTTTTTTTATTCTTTTTTGCTATTTTTGTCTGGTAAAAAGTACTGGATACTTATTATTTACATAGATGACTGCCGTTTGTAGTTGGGCAGGTAATTTTAATCGCTCTGTTTTCTTTTTATTTTAGGCATGTACTGTGATAGACGGACACTAAGACTTGTATTTCCCTCCTGGCGATACTGGGATTTGAGGTTCAGCTGTCATTATTATTGGATCCTGATCTAACAGTAGTAAAAAAGTGCTATAACTAGCTTGCTACTATGCCCATATAAATAAAACTAGATGTAAGTATAACCGTATTTATATTATATGATACTTTTAAGTGCCTCAGTCCTTTATCACCGGCATAGTTTTGGAGGGCTCATTAAACTGTAGGCGTTGAAGCCGAGTGGTCATTCACTATTCAGTCAAGCCGTTTGATCTATATGACTATGAAACCGTTGAGACATATCACATATACGCACCCGGAGAGAATGCATCCCCAAGCCAAAATTGCACCGGTTAACTGTCTGCCTGTTTAACTAGCTATCGCACATCGGAGCTTTCCTGGTCTATTAGTGAGAGCATCCCGCCAACCAGACGGAAGCTCCCGCATACGAGGACCTTTGCCTCCTTTGTGCCGCCGTCGATCTGGTCGACCATCTCGACAGCCTCCTGAAGAGATGGCAGCACGGCGACCTGAGAATCCGCATCAAGCTTGCGCCAGTAGTCCGCCATCTTCTTCTGAAAGACGAGGCTCTTGAGATGCTGCGGATCAACGTTCTTATCGACAAAATCTGCAAGGATAGCTGGTGGTTAGCGCTGCAGCAGGCGTGAATGGACCTCAGGCAAATACCTACCAACTTTATATTCGTTATCTTTGTATGTGATGTTTGTGCAGAACAAGACATGCTGAAAATTCAAGCCCATCTGGTTGTATACAACATCATGCACGGTGTTAAGGAGCCCGTCAACATCCCGGAGATGAGACTGCTGGTTGAAGATGAGGATTCGCGGCTGGGTTCTACATTATCTGGATGGTCAGCGACGGCGAAATATGATGTCAAAAAACCGACAGCAAGACAGCAAGAAAGGTCAGGAAGAGCAAAGGAACTGACGTGTTCTGGCAAAGACGGCCAAACCAGGAGCTGGCAACCTCGAGACTCTCATGAGTATGCGCGCCGTCGAGATGCCACTGCTGTCCATTTCTGTGTATGAGCTGGCATCGTCCGCGCCATACGGTTCTCTCAAGACCCTGGACAACCTGGACTGGGAGGTTCTCCAGATCAATACCTGGCGCAATATTGAGTTTCTGGAGTATCTCAGACGACAGAATCACTGCAAGGGACGCGTTTTTCAGCTGGAACTCTTCAGCTGGCTTGATATTAACCTGCCGAAGCGCAGGTATTATATCAACAAGGCCTAGGGTAACCTCCTTTTCCAGCGCCCTATTCTTAAGTACAGCCATGGCGTCAGGGACCTGGGTCACAGTAAAAGCCGGACTTCCGGTCTTCATGATTCCTGCTTTGTGCCAGGCAATCTTGTCAATGGTATCGCCAAGTGCAACGACATGGTCAATCCCAAGAGAAGTTATTCCAGCGACGCCAGGCTGCTCTATAATATTGGTTGAGTCCAGCTCACCACCAACTCCAACCTCATAGATGGCAACGGTCACCTCTTCTCTCAGGAAAAGGTGGAAAGACATCAGAGTCATGAACCGGAAGTAAGACGGCTTGATTGCTGGGTCGAGGCCCTCCTTCACCGCTGACGACTCTAGAGCATTCCATACCTCGAAGAAGTACTTGGTGAAGAGCTTCTCAGATATTGGCTTGGAGTTGATCTGTATTCTCTCACGTACGGCCACAAGATGGGGAGACGTGTACATTCCAATCTTTTCTGGGGCCCCTGTTGTTGCACGGTACTGCTCGAGGATGGAGTTGACAAAAGCACAGGTTGACCCCTTTCCCTTGGTCCCGGCCACATGAACGATATTGAGGCGGTTGAGATCTTTCGTCTGGATACAGAATCAGCATAACTAACCAGTTAACTACAGCCCGACGACCATCGACGGAATCAGACTGAGCCCGATGATGATATTGATATTATTACCGAGTGGCCTACACGCCGGAGCCATTGGCGCATTTGTTCAACATCAGAATCACCCAGCTTCTGCGCTAATTGCCTTCTCTCTTCCAATTTTTTAAATCCCGTTTGCGTCGAGTTCAGCCTTTGAACGGCATCCTACTTAGGCACGATTCATGAGCTGAACCCTGGATAGTTAATGGTTCGGGTTTGGATGAGAAAGTGGCCTGCGTACATGATAAGTCGGGTTTTCTACAGTTCCCTCCATTGCTCTGACCCAGCCACCGCCGATTGAATGAATATATCTTCGAAGCCAGGTGTTAGATAGTCGAAAGACCATCACTGAATGTCAAAAAGCTGTTGCTGGCTCAACTGGCATCCACGATATATATTTCGTCGACTTCCTAGCCGCCGGGCTGACTCACATGATGTGTGCTCCCCTCCTGCTATCGGTGCAATCCTTAATCCTTGCATCTTAATCTAACCACGGAAGTGATATGCCGCCGACAAACGAATCAAATCATTAGTTAGTTAACAAGCTGGTTCACACCTCAAAGCGAAGAATTATTAACAACCAGCCAGCTCTAACGCGGGTGTTAAAGGTGGAGTTGAAAACTGGCCTGCATCTACCGGAAGCCAGATAAAAGAAAACACTGCCAATTGTAACCTCTTCAGCAACGGTTTGGCTCGCTCAGGAGTTAACTACCAAGTTAACCCCCTTGGCGATTGCTGGATGTGCCTGAGTTACGGAGTACAAGCTAGTTAGTCACTTGAGACACCTGCAGCTGCAGGAGTGTTCGTGGGCGCTTAGCAAAAATATGGGCGCGGAGCCAATAGAAGTCGTTCAGCCAACTTGGGGGCTAGGGTCGGTGGCTTAATTCATGGCCTCTGGCAAGGATTCTGCAGCCAGCGTTGATGTGTCGACTTCCCGCAACAGCATGCATTCTAGGTCCTCCTGCCCACTCAGAATACGTGAAGCCGTTTTCACTGAGGCGCCAGCCTATTTTTATCCTCTAACTACCATGGAGCTATATAACAACCGTGGTCGTTCTGGGTTTATCAGGACGTGTTCCCAAACACATTTTAATTCACAGCAAAGTCCAGCATCCACCTACCTGGAAGGGGACTGTTATGATCAGATCTGATCGTACTTTAACTGCGTTTTCAATCAATAACTAGCTAGCTATAGCAGTCAGGATGCTGACCAACAAAGGACTGACGGATTCATATGGATTGACGGTGCTACACTCCCCCGAGAAGGCTGAGGATGTTGTCTTAGAGTAAGTCATCCTCCATTCTACCACTTTCCTTTTGTGCTGCACAGCTAACTGTCTGTTCAGTCTGGTGGCCGTCCATGGGCTCAATGGAGATGCATTTATGTCCTGGAAACACAAGGACACCGGAGTGATGTGGCTCAAAGATTTGCTGCCTGCAAGCCTACCAAATGCCCGAATTATGACGTTTGGTTATAATTCTAAGTTCAACAACTTCACCGCAGATCAGGACCTGAGATGTATTTGCGAGACTTTACTTGCTGATATTGTTGATTTAAGAGTCAATGTAAGTATGGTCTGATATCACTTACATCGTCCAGTAGTGGCTAACAAACCTGTTTGAGGTGCCATCAACTAGGCCGGTGGTATTCGTCTGTCACAGCCTAGGGGGTATTATTGTGAAAAAGGTATTAAATTTTTTATTTTTCTAGACTACTGCAACTCTGGTATTCTGTCTGCTAACCCAGCAAGTAATAGGCGCTTTCTATCAGAACTGTTGATGCTCGAACCAAAATCCAGGATTCGACATACGGCATCCTCTTCTTAGGTACGTGTATATTTTGAGACTTGGTTACATCTTTTTGAAAGAAGTAGCGCTGAAGTGAAATAGCTACTCCGAATGATGGAAGTGATCTTGCGACAACAGGCAGAGCAATCGCCAAATTCGCAACAATGATATCCCCTCTCAATCCAGCCCAAAATTTGCTGGATATACTTCGCGTCGATTCGAATACTCTTCTTGAAATTAGAGAAGATTTTCTCCAACGAGTGCCGAAGCTACACATTGTATCGTTTTATGAGATATATTCCACATCCATAGGGCTTTTCAACACGCATGTATGGTTGATATATCTTTGTCTTGATCATTCGCGGTACTAATGACGGCCGTAGATTATCAAAAGACGATCGGCTAGGCTTTTAGTTCCCGGAGAAGTCAACATCAATTTATATGCTGATCATAGAAATATATGCCGGTTTTCATCGGCTGATGACCGCAACTTTCGTCCGGTTGTTTCACGCCTGATTCAATTCTACGAGGATATCAAGGGACAAAAAAAGACACCAATATTATGCTCCCCCTTAAAGCCAAAGGGCACAATAACTCCCAGGATAGGGACAACAGAAAACCAGGAACCGATCTTTGAAGTACCGTTCGCCCGTTGCATTACTTTTCAGGGACGACAAGATCTGCTGAGCGAGATGGAATCATACTTTGGACAATCTAACTGCAATAAGCCGCGAATTTACGCAATATCTGGCTTAGGTATGCTCCCATACCTACAAGAGACCTTTGGATTAAATTACTAACGTTCAATAGGGGGTGCAGGGAAGAGCCAAACGGCTGTAGAATATGCATTTAGAAATCGTTCAAGGTACAAGTCTGGAGTCGCTTTTTTTAATGCTTCCTCACAGACGACGCTGGTTACAGATTTCCACCGAATTTATGACATGCTTCCACTTGGTAATGCTTCGGCCAAAGAACCCAACAAAGTGGACTATATCAAGCGATGGTTCTCCAGGCAAACAAATCGTCATTGGCTTTTAATATTTGATGGAATAGATAACTTGGGGTCTGTTAAAATCACAGACTACTTCCCAAATGCATCCTGGGGCCACATCATACTCACTAGCCGAGACCAGGCTACTCTTGGGGCCATTTGCCCTGCAGGACAGATAATCTCAGGGCTTGAAGAAAACGCAGCCATCCAAGTACTTTTTGGAAAAGCTGCCATTAATAACCCAACTGAAGATGATGGCAAAGAAGCTAGTATAATTGTCCGGCTACTAGGATACCTTCCCTTGGCTGTTGACCAGGCTGGTGCTTTTATCCGGAGACGCCAAAAATCGTTGAAGGATTATCACCGGCTTTTTAAGAATAAACATTACGAAGTCCTCAAAATAAGCCCGGGCATAGGAGACCACGAAAAGACGGTTGCAACGGTCTGGGAGCTTAACTTCCGCCAGCTAGAAAAAGACTCTCCGGCTGCCTCCCATCTGCTGCTGTTGTTTTCCTTTCTACAAGCCTCTAATATCCCGGAATCTATGCTGCGGAGCGGCTGTTTGACTAAGAAAATATGGGGTGAGGATGGCGAAGTCGTAGATCTTCGTCCGGAAGACGCAGGCCTCGATCCTGAGCTTATCGACCTTATTACCGACGAGATGAAGTTTGACGAAGCAATTGAGAATCTGCTGGCCTTTTCTCTCATACAACTAACTATGAGTAGCCGAGGAGGAAGAGCTATCTCGGTCCATCCTTTGGTTCAGCACTGCGCTACTCACCGGGTGTCCCTCGATGTACAGCAAAAATGGCGGACGCAGGCGATTCTGCTAGTTGCTCAAGCATTCCCTTATGGGGAGTATATCACTGAGTTGTAAGTTGTCACATTCTGAACCACATTCCCTGTAGCAAAATGCTAACCATCCGCTGATGATAGTTCCGGAGACACTGGACGGGAAATACTTGAACACGTTCACAACGTCCTTCAAGAGTTTGACAACGTTGAGCCCAAGTCGGAATTATACCCAATACTCAAGAATTCATTTTGCACGTTGCTACTCTCCGCTTCAAAATATAACTCTGCTTTATGGAGACGCGAAAGCCTGGGTAAAGTCAGGGATCTTCTACATGGCAGCGAAGAACACTACTTACAGACGTGGGTTGCCCATCGAGAGAGCAAAATACTGCGCTTTGAGGGCGACCTGGCGGGCTCTAGTGCAGCACTGGAGCAGCAAGTCAATAATCTGAAAACACAAAACTTCCAAGTGGCCTCTAACCCACGGTGGAATGCCCATCTAGGACGAATCATCTCCTCCTATGCTGAAAATTCGATCCTTCAAAATGGATGCGTGCATGCACAAGAAGCACTTGAAGCTTGGAATCCTCTGAACCCGAAAAATCCTTCATCAATGGAAATCGCCGTCCTAAAAAGCCGTAATATAAACCTGGGGAGGATTCTCAAAAACCAAGGGAATTTTGAGGGGGCACTGCCATATTTCGAAGAAATGTTTCTGGATGTTACTGATCGGCATTGCAACGAAAGCGAAGGTTGGCACATGGCCTTATTTGCCAATCTGTCAGACTTGTACTGCGAATTGGGGCATCCGGAGAAGGCAGAAGCTGTCTTGAAGAAACAACTTGAGATAATCTACATGCGCGGGTGGGAGAGTATCAGTGGGGGAGTAAGGATACAGCTGGCTATGGCGGAAAGCTTCATCCGGCGTGGCTTGTTTCAAAAGGCTGAAGGATGTCTGTTGAAGCTGGTATCACTTTGCAAACCTTCTGAAAAGATGACTGTCAGCGCCAGAACCAACAGCTTTCTCGTATGGACAGGGCTTGCGAGAGTATCCCATCTTCAATGCCGTTGGAGCGATGCCATTGACCGTTGGCACCGTGCATTGGAACTTGTTGAAAGTGCTGGGTGGGTAAAAAGTTTCAATCATGGGCTTATTCTACACTCGATAGCCCAAATACAGTTCCGCATGAAGAAAATCGACGAAAGTGAAAAGACGCTCCGCCGTGCAAAAGCAAGTCTTGCTGCCGATGATAGAAAATACTGGATTGTTGGCCTTGGGTCTTACTGGTATGATTATGTTGTCTGTCCGCTGGGAAAGGACGGCCCTGATCCTATCATCCATGGTACACCTGGAGAACTTGAGGTCATTGCTTCGAAATCTGAGGTGGAGGAAGATACCCTCTATGAAGAGCATATGGATGAAAAAGTGTCCCATGAAGTTAAAAAGAAAATGGATGTCGAAAAGGGGTGTGTGGAAAAGGAGATCCATGCTGTGAAACTGTGCAGTAAGCAGGGTGACGTGCAAGAAAATCCAAAGGGCCTAACTCGGTCTTTCAGTAAGAGACTATGGAATGCTTATAGAGGAAAATGAATAACGTCGGCACTTTTGTTATGGGCATCAAGGAAATACATACGGAGAAGTGGTTGGTATATATAATTTTTAGATTTATAATATTAGGTAGCCGAAAATATTAATGTCGGACTATTTCATTCATTATTCTGCCGTATGTTGATGATCTTGCTTTTTTGTATATTCTTCTTGCTATTTTTCGTCTGGTAAAAAGTACCGGATACTTATTATTTATATAGATGACTGCCGTTTGAGGGTGTCATGCAAGATATCTTGCAGTACACGGTTGGCCCACTGCAGGTCCACCGCTTCCCGCTCCCATTTAGCTATATACTGTACCGTAGTTCTAATGCCGGCCTCCCAATCGACCGAGGGAGCGTAGAAGCGACCTCTAGCGGCTGCTAGGAGCAAAATAGCGCATGTCAGGGCACGTCTGACTACAGACCAAGTGGCGCCGTGACGGTGGTTGTAGGAGCATGCAACGATGAGGTTGGAGCACGACTGTAGGCTTCTCTGGGCAATGGGCACTGCCTGCGGGTAGTAAGGGTCGTCGGGGGTGTGGTGCAAGACGTAATGAAGGAATGGGCGTTGCGTCCATTCGAGGCATGTGAAATAGCGGCCCTTGAGTAGGAGAGCGAATTCGCTGTCTGGGGTTTCGAGGTCGTCGAACTGTAGCGGAAGGGGAATATGTTGGCGCCTGTCTACGTTAGACAATGCAGGAAGACGACAGTGAAAGCGACAAGGGTATTTACCACAGATCAAGCTGGTCTGAAAAGGAGGTGAACTGGGAGAGGAGGAGGGCGAAGTTGTGCGTGGACCACCAGGACTCTTGCCGGCAGTAAAAGGCCTCGAGGACGCTGTTCATGATGCGCCGCAGCGAGATCTCGGCCAGGTAGTAGAACCAGCTGCTCTCTTCTGCGGGCCCAGATGCACCGGTAGGGGGAGGCATGGATAGGCCAGAGAAGGAGCCGGGATATTTGAACTCGATGATGCTGCCACGGGGCAGACGCAGCTCTGCCCGAAGCTCACTATGAGTTGTTAGTATGATAGTAATTGAAAAAAAAAAAGGAGTAGAGAGTGTACCACTCGGTTTTGACGCAGAACCAGTAGAGACGCTGCTCTGTGTAGCTGGTCGTGTTCTGCTCTACGGTCGGACGAGGAGGGAAGTTGGCCTTCCGCCAGAGATAGGCCTGGTATTGAGCGCAGGCGTGCTGGAAAAGGGGCCAGGCGCGCAGGGGCTGGAAGATGGACTTCTCGTAGATGCCCGCATAACAATAGCACTTGACGGCGAGGACTGAAGGGTCCAGCGTACCTAGTCGCTTCCTGGCTGCAGCGTAATAGGCGTCCGAGACGGTGCGGGAGGACGGCACTGGGGAGGACGCTGACACTGATGCCCTCTTGCTGTAGGGGACATGGTTGGCATGAGGCAGCGAGCCGAGAGCGCACGCCAGCAACTAGTAACTATCATTAGCTGCTATAACTAGCTGTAGAGGGTATCAATTGGCAATGGATCCTTACTACGAGACATGTCCGGCCGTCCCAGCCAAAGCCATGCTCTGATATGCGGCGGGCGTCTGCCAGTAGCTCAACGGGGTCGAGGACGGGATTCCGCTGGTAAAAGGAGTCGAGGAAGCGCTGGCACAGAGGCACCGCATCCACCTCGTCTATCCCTCTCCCTATGCCTATGCCTATCCCTATGCCTGTGCCTATGCCGTCTGAGTCGAAGCCAGCGTCGGACTGTAGTAGAAACGAGCTCACAGCTTGCACCGCGGGAAGACCGCTGAAGCAGCTCCACGACAGCGACGACTCGCATGCAATCAAAGCCGCCGCCGCCTCTGGAATCTCCAGCTGCCCGAAGCCATCGGCCGTGAAGTCGCTTCTATCCACACCCGCCTCTATATGTACCGACGCTGACGCTGGTTTGATGTTGTGGTGAGAAGGGGAGGCCTGGGGAAGCGCCTCGAGCAGCGCGACGGCGTGGTTGATGCGCTCCAGCAGATCACTATGCGACGGCTCTACCGTCCTGGAAGCAACTCTGTCAGTAAGAAAGAAGATATAAGATATAGAGATAGCTAGCTCAACTCACGGAGAGGTTTCTGTGTAGGCGCAGGCGACGCCGTTGGCCGCGCAGAAGCTGCAGGGCCGGCGGTTGTCGCACTTTGTCTTGCGCGCGCGACACGCAAGGCAGGCCGTTGTCGCTCTCTTGCGCTTCTTCCTCTGCTCGTCTCTGCCTCTCTCGTCTCTCTCGCTCATCACTCGCTTTCTCTTCTGCTCTGCTCCCTGATATCCGATGATTAGCTGTGGCTCAAGAGTCCGGGGTATGGGGTTGGCCGGGGAGGTCGGGGAGAAGGCGGGAGACTTTGGCTTGCGAGCGACGGCTTGAGATACGAACGACCACCAGCTACCGTTGGAGATGCATGCGATGGAGATATATAAAGATGGCTACAGATGCCTTGAGTAGAGATACCAGATACCAGATACCAGATACCAGAAGAGAGTCATTCTATACCTAGTTGAGTAAGATGGCTGCTATTGGAGACCACTTTGCGGCCGTCAGGGGCGCCTTCAACCGCCGGCTTCTCCTGTCCTGCGCCCTCATCGCCTTCTCGCAGGTCAACTTCGGCTTCGACCAGGTCGCCTTCTCGACGACGCAGGCGATGGACGCCTTCGAGCGCAGGTTTGGCGTGCAGAACCAGAAGACGAAGAAGTTCGCCCTGGCGCCGGCCTACCTGTCCATGCTCAACGCCCTCCCCTATCTCGGCTTCCTCTGCGGTACGCTCTACACCCCCTATATCTTTATACCATATCTTTGTCACTCACTAATAGAGGGTATAGGCCTGTTTGTTGGCAGCTCCGTCAGCGCTCGATGGGGCCGCCGCATGGTTATGTTTACCATGAGCATTCATGCCATGATCATGGTGCCTATCACGGTCACTTCGAGCAGCAGGGAGCAGATGCTGGCTGCCAGGGTGCTCAACTGTACGTCTTTCTGTCTGTTTAGTTGGCTGTGTGGACGGCCTAGCTGATAAATATCTTTATAGACATCTATCTCGGCATGGAGCTGGCTGTCGTGCCTGTCTTCCAGGCAGAGATTGTGCCGGCCCAGGTGCGAGGCGCCGTCGTGGCTACCTACCAGCTGTGTATCTATGTATGTAGCAATCCCGCATCGAAGAGGATCAAATGTGGCCAAAGATGCTAACGCTGTTCAGGTCGGTGGGCTTATTATGAGCTTGATATGCCGGGCTACTATCCGTCTAGACGGAAACGCACAGTGGCAGATCCCCCTGGCGCTCTTTGGATTCGTCCCCCTGGTCGTCTCCCTACTCATCTGGTTCATTCCCGAAGTGAGTCTAATATTCTTCAGACATATTATCCCGTCATGTCATACTAATATAATGGTGTAGTCACCAAGATGGCTGCTGGTCAAGGGCCGGCATGAAGACTCGCTCAAAGCACTGCGGACGCTGCGTGACGGCCGGTTCACGGAAGACCAGATCATGGCCGAGTACACCGGCCTCAGAACGAGGCTGGGCCTCGAGTCGACGCAGCAGAAAGGTAGCTATGCCGACTGTTTCAGGGGAACAGACCTGCGCCGAACAATCATTGCCATCGGCGTCAACGTCTTCCTGCAGGCCACGGGTCAGGTCTTCACGGCTCGCTACAGCGCCGTCTACATCAAGTCCCTCGGAACCGTCGACCCTTTTACCATCACCATCGTCAACCAGCTCGTCAACCTGCTGGGTGTTACCATCTCCATGCTCCTCGTCGACCACCTCGGCAGGCGGTAAAGTCACCCCTTGTTCCATATCTACTTCTCAGGTGCATAACTAAATGTGTTGTAGACCCCTTCTATACGCCAGCAGCATCCTTCAGACCATTGCTTGGTTCGCCATGGCTGGCTTAGGTACTCCTCGAGTTCTAACGCAGGGCATGCGGTCTGCCATCGTTGCTCTCATCGCTTTCTTCAACATCTCCTTCTGCATCGGCTGGGCGCCGCTCTCCCACACTATCGCTGCCGAAGTGCCGTCCTCCCGTCTCAGAGACATGACCTTCCGCACCGCCAACGCCGTCAACCTCATCATGCAGTAAGCCTTCCCCTCTAAAGCTAATGTCCTTCAATGGCAAGTAGTGGCTTGAAGTTAACGATCCAGGCTCGTCATCACACTGGTCATACCCTACCTCATTGACGACAGGTATGCCGGCCTCGGGACCAAGATCGGATACCTCTTCGCTCCCCTCTCCATCCTCTCCCTCATCTTCGCCTACTTCTACGTCCCCGAAACGACGGGTAAGGCCCTAGAGGAACTCGACGCCCTCTTCGCCGACCGCGTTCCCACCCGGCAGTTTCGAACAGCTGCAGTTGGTAACCAGGCTAAGGACGCCGAGGTGGAGGCTGCCACCAAGAAGAAGACTGCAGTGGCTGATCTCGTTAGTTAATGCCTAGAGCTTCTTGTTTAACCCCAGAGAATACGTACATATTAAGTTTTTAGAGCCCCATAACTCTATTTATTCTTATTTTTTTTTTCCTTTTTTTCTATTCAGATCGGGGAGATACCCCTTGGTCCCCCGACATCTGCATCATCATCATATACCTAGGTAATAAGTTAACTGAGAGAAGACAACTGTAGAACTAGTTATAGATCGTGCAAGTCGGTATAAAATTCGTGTATGAGCCTGCAAGGAGGCTGCCCCTGCCAAGTGCTTCGGGGTTGGAAACGTTTCGGGGGCGTCGGGGAGCAGACAAATAGTTATGTTCCGGATCCTCCAAAGATATAACCGCGGTAGCTAACGGGTATATCGGATATCAAGTATCGGATATAGAACTAGATATATAACATTGCGATACTCAATGATACTCTTCACCTTCACCTACAGACTACCAACACCATGACACGGCCGAATTTTCTTATCATTGTTGCAGATGATCTGGGCTTCTCAGACGCAGGCTGCTTCGGCGGCGAGATCAGCACGCCCAACATCGACAGCATTGCGCGCGGAGGGCTGCGATTCACAGACTTCCATGCAGCTGCAGCATGCTCACCGACAAGGTCCATGCTCCTGACCGGAACTGACAACCGTAGGCAGAAGTTCCCCTGGGCCCAGTTCCATTATAAAAAAGGGTTTACTTTACTGACTTGACGATGCAGACATCGCGGGGATTGGGACAATGTTCGAGAAGCTGCGAGAGTTTCAACGCGGGAAGCCTGGCTACGAGGGGTATCTCAATGACAGGGTCGTTGCACTGTCAGAGCTACTCCAGGATGCTGGGTACCATACCATGATGTCAGGGAAATGGCATCTGGGCCTAGAGCGAGACCGTTGGCCGTGCACAAGAGGGTTTGATAGGTCATATTCCTTGCTGCCGGTAGGTAAACTCTGCCTGGCCCTCTGCCGCCATGCAGGGGATCGCTTGACTTTGAACGTGTGGTTAACTGGTCAACATAGGGTGCTGCCAACCACTACGGCTGGGAGCCGCAGTTGCAGACAAAAGGCGAGAACCTGCCTCGCATCATAAAGCAAAACCGAGTCTTCTATGTAGAAGACGACCGGCCAATAGAGCCCCAGGATCTGGGTGCGGACTTTTACTCCACGACTGCGTTCACCGATAAGTTGCTCGAGTATATGGGCGACCGCCAGAAGGGTCTGAATAATGCAAAGACTAAGGAGCAGCCCTTTTTCGCATACCTCGCCTACTCGGCCCCCCACTGGCCACTTCAGGCGTCCGACGAGGACATCGCCAGCTACAAAGGACAGTACGACGATGGACCCGAGGCCCTCCGTCAGCAGCGCCTGCAGAGCCTCGAGAAGCTCGGCATGATCCCTCTGGGTATAATGCCACATGATGTGCTCAAGTTTAGCGACCGCACCATGTCCAAATTTTGGGGTGAGCTGAGTGAGGAAGAGAAGAGATACTCGTCCCGCTGTATGGAGGTCTACGCTGCCATGTTGCAGGCCATGGATAGGCAGATTGGGCGTGTGCTGGACCATCTACGGGAATCAGGCGAGCTGGAGAACACGTTTATCCTCTTTATGTCTGATAACGGGGCCGAAGGCTCCCTCCTCGAGGCACTTCCTATTATCGAGGAGGATGTCTTTGACCACATTGCGCGGTACTATGATAACTCCCTTGAGAACCTAGGCAGACGTAACTCGTACGCATGGTACGGTCCCCACTGGGCCTCTGCCGCTACAGCACCCGCACGCCTATACAAGATGTTCACAAGTGAAGGTGGTATCCGGGTACCGTTTATCTGTAGCTATCCTCCTCTGATGGCACAAAGGGCTGGCACCATTGACCATTCCTTCTGCACCGTTATGGATATCGCCCCTACCATCCTCGAGCTTGCAGGAATCGCACACCCTTCGCCAACATACCAGGGACGCGACATCATGCCCATCCGCGGCGCTTCCTGGGTGTCCTACCTCTCCGGCACACAGCCTCAAGTCCACGCTGAGGACCATGTTACTGGCTGGGAGCTGTTTGGCCGGCAGGCAGTGCGCAAGGGGGACTGGAAGGCACTCATGATACCAGAACCGCATGGGCCAGGCGTCTGGCAGCTGTACAGACTGAGCGAGGACCCGGGTGAGACACGAGACCTGAAGGAGCAGAACCCTGAAAAGCTGCAGGAGCTGCTGCAGGCATGGGACCAGTACGTGGTCGAGGTTGGTATCGTGGGAGAAGCGATGCAGTATGGCGTGCTGGATGCGGATGCCAGTGAAACCAGTAGGAAAGAGAAATCATAGCCACTCCAGATATATATTGTTATATATATGAGAGACTGCTATTCAGTTGTATATATATAGACATATTTATCCTGTAGATACTTAATATTGACACATCTCGCTCTCCCTGGCCGAAGATGAAGCCTTACTTTGCTCTCTTGCTGTGTTGATGGATATCAAACGAGCAAATGACCCCGATAAAAGTGGCTGGCATCACTTGTGTATCCCTGACTAAGCTGTCTGCTGACTAAGTCAGTCCTGCACGTCACGCTTAACTTTCATGCAAGCCAAAGAACAAGACGAAGAAGACGAAGACGAAGACGAGACGAGACGAGACGATCAATTATTGATCGAAGCTGCAGAAGCTCTCGCTGTTACTTCGCCATCACAGCCTATTCTTACCAGACAGCATGGCGACAGCTGTTTCCTAGTTTCCTCTTTTCTTCACTGTTCTGTTTAAACGTTTTTCTCTTGTTGGCTCATTAGACGGCTCGTTATCTTCCGATAACCAGTTACGGCTGCAGGGCCTCAGGACTCGCCGGGAGTACAAGGGTCTCCCTCTTCACCAACACAACCACCGTGTCACCATAGGAGGGGATAGTTATACACACGAACATTATATTCATCGTCGAGTGCAGCTCTTATCATGGCATTTCGTCTCCCTGACCAGACGCCGCAGAGACTACGCCCGTACCCCGGCTCTGGTCGTGCTTCGACGTCACCGCCAAATCTACCCCAGCCACACGCCAGAGCAGACGAGGAGGACTCGCAGGAATGGGTGCTCTTCTCACCCGTAGAGGCACGGTCTACGGCTACCCACAGCCATACTGCTTCGACTGAACGGACGCCTCGCTTGAGTGATTTTGAGTCCTTGGAGACCGCTGCCCAGTCGTCGGGTCCGCTTGATAGCGAGCGACATGACGGGGATATAGTAGATCAGGACGGGCAGGCTCAGGATGGAGGCCTGCCGGAGGATGATGTCACGGAGCTGGATAGTCTAGATGACGGACTCCAGGCGTTTCGAGACCCACAGCTAGACCAGAGCGGAGGTCCGGCGATGCTACCTACCCATGATGGGCTGGGGACGTTTTCACCCTCTGGGGCAAACGTGCAGGAGCAGTTGTGGCAGCATGAGCAGTTCAATCCCAGGAGGATTGGCGAAGCAAGACAGAGACGTACCTCAAGCATGCAGAGGCATCTGGATTCTGCCAATGATTCTCACCCCATGGGTATTGGGATGGATCGGGAGAGGTGGCAGAGGATCGAGCAGTGGCGCATGGAACAGAGTAAAGTGCTGCTACAGGAGATTGAAAAGGAGACCAGACGACGCAGGCAGAGGAAGCAAAGGGCGCAGAGCAAGGGTTCTGATGCAACAACACACCCACTTCGATCTATAGCATCGGATGATACCAATACTACCTCAAAGACCGATGCATCACTTACCGCTAGTCAGGCAGCTGATGCAACAACTCCTAATGATGCAACTGACTCAGATGAATCGTTCTGGCAACGAATTACTCGCAGAGTGATCAATGGTCTCATTGGAATCGACGACTCTCTTCTTGCTGTAATTTTCGGTGAAGCACTAATTTCTGACTTGACTGATGATGATATCAACAGCGGCACTTCGCCTCAAAACCATCCGGATAGCTCGCTCACTGGAAACAGATACCGACGCAGCACATCTTTGACAAGGGATGGCTCTATTGTTATGGATGAATCTATTACTAACGATATGAATATGAACTCGTCCACAAGAAACGACTGGTGGGAGGAACGTCTGCTTGAACGGATTGCTCGAGAACTTGGTATTCTCGTCAATCAAATCTATGAACATCCCGGGGCATTCACTGCATATATGCGAACCAACGTTGATCCATCCACTGAATATGCTGGCATGCCCATATCACAGCCTACAGCAACTCCAACGGTGTCAGCCGTTACCTCGCGGCGTGAATCACACAGCAGCCATGACAACACTACTTCCATACTATCCCCTACTTTCCTCCCAACATTACAAGACGCAGCTACATCCAGACACGCAGCTCACTGGGGCATCGAAGAAGATGCACCTACCCATGGAGGCACTGGAACCGGCCATGACCTCTCAGAATCTGAACGCCGCGAACGTGACCGTGAGTACTGGGAACGAGAACTGAACATCAAAATGGTGTTCCGATACCTTCGTAATCGTTTCGTTACAACAGCGACTGGAGACGCCAGTGGAACCAACAACAGCACCAGCACTAGCACCGCCGAGCTTACCCCTGCACAGCATAGAACCCAACGACAACGCCAACATGACCCCATCCGTGCAGCGATTATCCGCCAGCATCACCCGCTAGTTGCTCGTGCAGAAGCAAACTCGCGTTTCCGCCAACAGCCAGCACGTATCTATCGTCATCACCACCACCATGTACGTGGTACCGCCAGTCCGAGCTGTGCAAGCCAGAGCCAAAGTACTCGCAAGTCCGTGTCAACTAAACGAACCGGCTCTAGCAGGCATTACTGGGACATTGGCGGGAGTGCTGGCAGCAGCAGTGCTCCGTTAGCTGTAGGCGGCGGCATGGGTAGCTGGGGAGACATCTAGGCTGGCCGTGGTGTGTGCCTCGCACTTGTTTGTTCATTTTGTTAATTGAATTGACCTGCATTGAATTGCATAACTACCTACGTGAAGCTTTGAGTGCCTACGAGGATGTCGGCGTTTTTTTCAGTGTGATGTGTGCCCTGGAGGGATGATGGCCTTGATTATTTTTTTTTTTTTACTTGACTGGAGCAGCTGGCCTAGATGGGAGTCTCTCCTTTACTCGTGTTGTTCTTATTCTTATTCTCCTTTCCATCCTTAGCATGAAACTACTAACAAATCAGAGCTTTAGTTCTGCAGCATTTGGTGGCTTCTCTGCTCATTTTACTCACATATCTTGCATTTATGAGTGTGAACTAATATTGCATCATCTATCTAGTAATAATGGATATGGACGATATAATCAAGTTTGATTATTCAAGTTTCCAGGCATAGCCAAATACCAGCAGTATCAGCATAGAACCGTGAAATATTTCACTCCAACATTTATCCATTTCCCATTTTACATAGTCATCATCGATACTTAATTTAAGAGCAAAAAGGATAATTATTATGCTCATTTTTTTGTCATTATTTTGATTCATTTATTCCTTTGTGAGATAACTGTTGTGTATTGCCTCGATCAAAACAAGCAAACAAATCGAAACCTCAAGCCCAAACCCGCCTTTGAAAATTCACGCTCATGCTCTATGCCTCCTGGGAAACATTCTCATAAGCCTCTGGGAATCTTCGCATGTTGTTCTCAATTGGGCCCTTGTTTCTCAAGAACTGCACGTAAGCACCGTCGATCTTGACACGTCCCTCCTGTCGGAGACGGACGTACTCGTCTCTTCGAAGGGGAGTGAAGCCCCAGTTCTTGGAGACGATGATCTTTTGGCGACCAGGGAACTTGTACATGGAGCGGCGGAGGGCCTCGATGGCGTGGGCACGGTTAGTGTCACGGGTGCGGACGGAAAGGAGAATCTGGCCGATGTTGACACGGGCGACGGAGCCGTTGGGTTTACCGAAGGCACCACGCATACCGGTCTGCAATCTATCGGCACCAGCGCACGACAACATCTTGTTGATACGGACGACGTGGAATGGATGGGCACGGACACGGAGGTGGAAACCTTCCTTTCCAGCGATCTTGACAAGGTACCTGATTGATTCCCGGCATGTTAGTTTTATTATTTCTTTCCTGGTACCCGATCAAGTAGTGGGTAGAGGCCGGAATATATGGTTGAGTGCTTACTTGTTGGCGCAGATACGGGCAGCTTCAAGGGCTTCAGCACTCAGCTGTTCATATTCGTTGGAGACCATGTGGACGCAGAGAGGGAAGTCGTCGACATTGGCCTTCTTACGTCCAAGATCGAAGATTCGGATCTTGGGGTCTGGGACACCACGGTTGAATCGGGACTTGGGGTATGGCTAGAAATGTCAAGTTAGCTTCAAATCCTGAACCGTATCATTTCCCAAAACGCTGCCACGTCCGCATCTGAGATCTATTTTCCACCATCTCGTATTCCTTGTAGCAGCGAATTCAAGCGCAAATTCACGAAATATCCAGGCATCCATCTCTTTCTCCTCCATGTATGGTCCGTAGCCGCGCATGATAACGGGGAGCATCTCAACAGGTTCAACCCACCTTGTTCTTGCAGTAGCGGTAGCATCTTGCTGGACGGCGCGCCATCTTATCGGATCGAGCGTGTATAACGTGCACTTCCTGCGAACGACAAGGCTGGAAGAAGTTCCGGTGGTTGTTTTATATTCTCGACGCAGCAGAGAAGCGAAGAGAAAGGAAGAAGTTTCTCTTTTCCTTTTCGGGGTGAGAAGGCGAACACACACACCGAAAATAATTAATAAGCGGGTTGATTTCCAAGCAAGCCCTAAGCCCTAATCTGGTGCCCGAAACAGGCAACTTCCAACGTCACTTTCTGTCTTCATCTTCATCTTCATCTTCATCTTCACTCTTCATCTTCACTCTTCATCTTCACTCTTCATCTTCACTCTTCATCTTCACTCTTCGCCTTCACTCTTCGCCTTCATAACAAGGAAGATGATGGACCCCTATAAAAATGATAAATTGAAGATCGATGGCTAATATTTAACCATCTACCTACATACCAGCTCGGTCCTGTCTATAACTAACTAACTACCTAGGTACGTACCTAACATGTCCAGCTTCGTTTGAGATGACTATGCCCGGTAGGCCTCTACTATGGCCGAGCTGAGACACCAATCGTCGCTCGAGGGTCTTATTAACCTTTCCTCTGAGCAACCGCTCTCTGATTGTGAACGGCAGCGGGCAGCGTACAGACTCCAGTCGATTGTAAACCACTTCAGACAGGAGGAGCTTGCTGAGGAACCTGCTGAAGAGGAAGACTCACCTCAATACAGTCGCTCGCTGCTCGTTCACTATAGCTTCGAGTATAAGTAACCAGGGCTCTCCCGGGATGCCTTCCTCCGAGCGTTCTTTGATTCTATAGATGTCGGCATCGCCACGGGTCATCTCCCGCTTGCCTCTCAGCAGTACAGAGACCCCAGGCTCACCAGGAGCCCATCCCAACGCCCGAGAGGATTTTAACACTCCGTCGCTCGTGTCTCATCCGTGACCAACACCAAAGTGTTATTTCCTGTACATTTGATGTACAGGAAGTCATGAATCAACTGCCCAGACATGAAAATAGCACTAAAAATGACGCACATAGTATCATCAAACAGAACGTCAACCCGATACGCCGACTACTCCCATTGGAACTCCTTTAACCGAGGAAAGTTCCCAAAACTCCAGCCAACCCTGAGAAGGATTCGTGCGCGCAAAATAACAGAGGCAACCAGCCAATACTGGAGACTAAGAGGATGCGGATCTGCAAATGAATCGGCGAAGTTCGATCCATTTTTACATACATATGAAAATCAATTCGGAGGTTTACTTTATTATTATTATTGATGAGTGCCATGCATCGTCGTCGACATGAAAATACTGAATACATACCTGGCGAGAACCACAATACAAGATTGAAACCTTACTTTGCTCAGTTTGTATTTCCTATCTTTCCTGCCACTCGTGAGTTATCTTTAAGCAGGATAGGCGCCATTCTAATGGTCGGCTTTTGCTTTGAGCCATTGCTGCGGGCATTGACATACGCGATGTAATTTATAATCCGCCAAAAGCCACCTGATATCACACTGGTGTTTGATTAGACGCCGATGGGTTGACAACAGATATGTAGGCACGCATTTTAGCCGCTCACCGAGTCAGCGCACATATTTTTCACCTATCTGGCGCCGGTGAATACATCGACAAGGTACTCAGGGATATCAGATGATCCAAGAGCCTGTGCTACGGAAACTACCGAACTTGGAAGAATTGTAAGACCGAAAATGAGTAGCTGGTACGGTACTCTTGTGAGCGTGAAGTCTTTCTAACTATCGCAAGTGTTATTGGGAATCACTGGGTTTTATAATGCAGAGGGAAGATATATTTCTGTTATTCCAATAACACTATGTTTAACAAGTTCGCCCGAAGTACTCCGTATAGATTGCTCGAATCAATTCTCTTGACAACGTTCGGTTAGTCGTGAGTGGCAGCCCTGGCTGTCCGGTTTTAAACACACCCGCAAGTGTCAAAAAACACAAAATGATGTCAATCTGACCTGTTGAAAACACATGGACCATATCAAAATAAAGTAAAGGACCAGCGTGAAGTGGGGATTTCTCCCCCCCTGGACCATGCATCCCGAGCCTTTGCCGCTCCCGCTCTCCACTCCCCGACTTTGTGTGAAGCATGGTGATATGGTGATCAGAGATGCCATCAGCTAACCCCTCCGTTCCAGAATCCACTCAATTTTCTGATGCCAATGAAGGGACCAGATTCTTACATGATAATACGAGCATGAAAAGAATTATTTTAAATCGGCCTTTCTCAGCTCGGCGATGACGTGTTTTGCGCCATTGTCACACTGTCAAACTCGAATGATGCTTTCTACTGCCGGTATCCGCGACAGCCAACTGGGCTTTTCACATATTCGTCTCTTCGAACCCCTCACTGTACACGAAGTCAAACCAATACCCTACTAAAGTCAGTTCGTGAGTCTCTATTTCGCTTAAGAGAGGTAGGTGAGGATTCGCGGATCAGGTTATGGCTGACATTATATATAAGATGCTATGGATAATGACGATTTTGGAACAAATTCCGATCTACTGGCCCGTATACGTCGATCGCCTATGGGCCCGGACAACCCTATTGATACCACCTCAATCTTAAAGACTTCATACCCTCTCTTCCTTATAGTGCAGCAAGGATAAACCTTCAGCTATACCCTAGCACTGCTCTGAGTCAGGCGTGACTGTGGTATATCGCATTGAGACACCAATTCGTACATATTCACAAGATACTCCGCTGGATCTTTAACGAGATGCATGCATACCCGGCAGCTAGCCCCCGTCCTTATCCTAAAATTTCATCTAAATCATTTGTCAAGCCGGAGATGCTTGCTGTCAAGGATGCTGCTCGCACGACAGATATCCAGTAGTTCCTATTGGATATGTAAGCCCTCTCTTCCATCCATGCCGTTCATCTTCGTATCTAGAATGGTTGAACTAGATATTCCTACTCCCCCCGATAGGTCGACTGTCGTGAGGGGTATTTGTTGCATCCTCACCTGTCCTTGCATCCTGTCCTATTGGTAGTGTCTTCAGCTGAGTTCAGACACTGGCGGGGTGAGTGTATCTCAATGTAAGCAGCTAACAATGAAAGGAATAAATATCGAGGTGCTCCCTGTGATACCTGGGTTAAATGCAAAGAGCCACTACACGGTCCTCTACCCAAAACTGACCTTGCCATTCAGCATTCAGCATGTCGTCCACGTCGTCCCCCGGCCCCAGTCCTCATGATATCATTAGCTCCTATTTTATTGGGCCCAAGGCGGAGAATCTGGATAGCTTCCGGACCAATATTACTACCATTTTAGATGAGTTACGGGATGCTAGACTCAATTATTTTGAGGAAGATGAGGTATTTGCCACAGATATACACTTTCTTTTGCGCTGGCTATTAAATCACAATACTAGAAATTCATCGCGGAAGATGTCAGAACATCAGAGAAGTACCAAGGAATCGTCAAGCAGTTCAATGAAGCCGTCAGAACGGCTGCTCGGCTTTTGGGAAAACAATCAGTCCCGTTCTGGTCACCGAGATATGAAGGCCACATGTGCACTGACTTGACAACCCCTGGCCTTCTTGGATACTTCATGACGATGATCTACAACCCGAACAATGTTGCTGTGGAAGCAAGTCCATTGACCACAGTGATAGAGTTAGAAGTTGGAAAGCAGCTGGCTGAAATGTTTGGATATAACATTGACCCGAAGAACAAGGACCTTCCCCTGTCATGGGGACATGTTACATCCGGTGGCAGCGTGGCAAACTTAGAGTCCATTTGGGTTGGTATGTGCATTGAATTCTATGGAATTTATCCTAACATGACATTTCTAACCCACTCAATAGCACGCAACTTGAAATTCTACCCGCTCACCCTGTCCTGGGCCATGAAAGAAGGTTCGCTTTGGTTCATTGCGGATAAATTTAAGGTCACCCCCTGTGTTGGTGATGAGAAACTGTTTAAAGATCTTACTACCTGGGAACTGCTCAATCTGAGCTCTCACACGATCCTAGGTCTGGCTGACTCCCTACATGAACAGTTTGGCATTACGTCCAAGTATCTTGAGGAAGCACTGAACCCATATAGCATTCAGACCGTTGGAAAAGACAGACTTGAAGCCTACTTTGGTATAAACAAGCCTATGAAGTACTTCCACTCTAAGACTAGGCACTACTCATGGCCGAAGGGAGGTGGTAGGTGAATTCAGTCCAATTGCTTCTCGTTCCTAGCTGACGGATTCTAGCCATTGCCGGCCTCGGATCGGGGAACATGCATGGAATAAAACTTGACTTGGACGGCTATATTGCCCTTGAGGACCTTGAGATGGAACTCAACCGCTGCCTGAGGGAACAGCAAGCAGTGTTCGCGGTGGTGGCTATCATGGGCTCTACTGAAGAGGGTGCCGTAGACCCGCTGAAAGCAATCATTGATATGAGGATGGACTTCCAGCGGAAGGGACTATCATTCCTAGTTCACGCTGATGCCGCATGGGGAGGGTACTTTAGCTCCATGATTCCCAAGGATGTCAAGCTTCCACCAGGGGCCGGAGGTGGAAGTGAGGGTGGCGGTAAAGATGCTATAGACATTGTCCCGTCGCTTCCGCTCAAAGAAAGCACTCTCACTGATATGATTGCACTCAAGGATGCAGACTCCATCACTGTGGACCCCCATAAAGCAGGATACATCCCTTATCCTGCTGGCAGCTTGGTTTACCGTGATGGACGAATGAGGTTCTTGGTGACTTGGAGTGCCCCGGTTCTATCGCAAGGCTCTACACAAAATATTGGAATATATGGCGTGGAGGGCAGGTAAGACTCCCCTTAGGCAATAGCCATAGCGCCTACTTTTTGCAGTTAAATATGGATTACTTATGGCCCTGGGCTATAGTAAACCTGGAGCGGCAGCAATGGCTACCTGGTTCTCAAACACAACCATTGGCCTCGACCGCAACGGTTACGGCCGCTTGCTAGGAGAAGCAGCTTTTACGAGCGCGCGGGTAAGACAGAGGATATAACTCACCCTTACTATTAATTCATTTGACGAATGCTGATAACTCTCTCTAGTTGTCTGCCCATTACGCTGCTATGCATTACGAAGAAGAGACCGACCCTTCCAAGAAGACAAAGCATTACATTTGTATCCCCTTCAACCGGCTTCCGATGGAGCATGCTGGCTATGATTCCTTATCACCTGAAGTCAATGCGCGGAGGAAATACGTCCAGCAAAATATCCTACACAAGTCCAATGAGGACCTTATGAAGAACAAGGATGACATGAAATACCTTCGTGATCTGGGATCTGACCTGAACATCAATGCTTTCGCACTAAATTGGTACCGTGAGGATGGTACTCTGAACGATGATCTAGAAGAAGCTAACTACTTCATGAAGAGAATCGTGGACCGCCTTTCCATTACCAGTACTGCTGGAAACCCGAGGGAGATCCCACTTTACCTAACTTCAACCCAGTTCTCCTCCGAGCTTTATGGAGAGTGTGCACAGAACTTCATGAAAAGGTTGCACCTTGCCCCAGCAGCTGAGGACCTGTTTGTTTTCCGCAATGTGGTGATGAGTCCCTTCCCGACCCATAAGCGGTTCATCTGCTCTTTAATGGAAGTTTTTGAAAAGGTGATTGAAGATGAGGTTAAGAATGTCTGGGAACGAAACAGACGAGGCAAATACCAAAGCGTTTTTCTGATGAGAGGCACTGATGAGATATTTTTGGACTATCATACCAGCTTCCACCTGGCCACCCGGCGCCAGCAGATCATTCTTGCGGCTCAGCTTGAAGATGAAAAGGAAATGAAGGAATATTTAGAGTTGAAGAAGCACCAGCCCGGAGACATAGCCTTCAAATCCGACGATTCATTTGATTTGGAAGGCTTTGTTGACGACATCAAGAATAACAAGCAGCCAACCCTTAAGGGCATTATTGGAATCCGGCAGAAGGACAAGTAAGTTCTACCCTCAGCTATCTTATTTCTACAAACAGGAGTAACTAAGGAATGTACTGTTATTAGGGTGGTGAAGAGTATGGACTGCATTATCAAGGCGACTCGCATTATCAAGAGTCGTCCGCTCAACTCGTCCAACCGAGACCACAGCTACCCAGAGCACAACATGCCATTTTATCTGTACGGGACAAAGAAACAGCACCACATCTCACACATGCTTCTCAAGTCACCAAATATTTGTCTCTCCGCCAGCAACGTGAAACTAGACGCCGGGCTTGACAAGGTGGTCCATGACAATATCAGTCAAGGACTGATCCTGACGCTGTGTGATTACCGCGAGGTGACGATGCAGCCGTTCCCCGAGACCAACCAAGCAATCAAGAAGGACAAGCACTTCTTCTTCGCCAAGGGCAAGGAGTTCGATGTCAAGGTGTTCAGGGACCCGAACGCACCCATTGCCTCCGGGCCGGGCCTTCTCAGCAACCTTGCCACCCCCATTGCCAGGGGGAAGATGACGCTGGGCCAAGACTGCCATGTGGATGTGGAGTCTCTCAACCATGATCCCTTAGCTAAAGTGGCTCTTCCATTCCATCCGTGGGAGGAGCTGAAGGAGCTTGAAAGAGTCCTTACGACAACCACTACTGAGTGCGAGGAACAACAGCCTCAGTCTGAGAACGTTCAGCTTGGAGGCGTTCAGCTCGACGCTTCTATAGCCATCCAACTCGCTGCTTCTGGAAGTCCTCCCTCTGGAGGTACTGGCACTCCTGAAACGTCTCCTTCTGACGTTACTGACACTCCTCCTGGCGGTGCTGCATTCTTAACTTTCACTGTTCCACGACCGGGGTTATTGTAAGATGTTTCTCGGTACGGAGCACGGAGATGTCCTGTTTGGTAGTGGCCGTATGAGGCTGCCAATAAACAAAGAGGCACAGGAGGTCTATCCCGTCAACTGGTTAGCTAACTCGATAGCGAGTAGTTCAAGTAGTTCTTCTAAATATCAATATCACCGTCGTGCTATTAGCTGTAGTTACCATGTAGCCCCTGACTCCAGTAACCACCACCTCGCATGGCTAGTTACAACTGCGCACCATCGCTACCTCTTCTATTCTCTCCCCGTCACATCATCCTGCTCCTCACCAACATCCCGTCTTCACGTCACCTTCATGTCACCTTCACCTCGCCGTCGACGTCTCACTTCAGCTGCTTCAACGGCGCCTCCTTTTAATCTCTTCGCTTAGTCAGCTACCCGCTACGGTGCCTCTGATTGGTGCGGCCAGACGCTGCGCTGTTTTTTTTTCCTTCATGCGCTTTAATTACGGAGACGCAGCCAGGAGGTGGATGAAAAGAGGCCAGCGGCAGCATCGAACTTCACGCTGTCACAGACGACAGACGGACGGACGGACGAGCAGACAGACGAGAGGACGACGCGAGACACGCCATGAGCAGCGAGTCGGGATGGCTGCATAGCTTACAAGTGACCATCCAAAAGCACGGCGCAGCATTCTGTTAGACATCTCGATACATGAAACTACAGCAACCGCAGATATAAACAAGAGAAAACACGGCAGCCTCTCTGTGTGTCTTGTCTTGACTCCTGACTGTTACCAGCGTGCTACGGGGCTTCTCTAGACTCGAGCCGGCCTGAGTTGGCCTCCTACGTGACCTGTCTCGACGTGCTTCGTGTTACTGGTACAACTCGAGAACACCATGGCGAGCAAAAAACCATCGTCCCCTACGCCAGCTGGCCGCAGGACGCCCTCGACCGATGCTCAGACGAGCCCAGGCGGTGCTCGAAAGGCCTCTTCGCAGTCTCCTGCCGCGACGACGAATGGCGTTGGCCGCTCACCCTCTACCAAAGGGTCACCAGGTCCCGTCTCAGCCCGTGCCGCAGCCGCGAGGAGGGCTGGGTTGGGCCGATCCAACCTGAGCATGAGCAGCGTGCCACGGAACTATCCCCATAATAACGAGGACGAGGAAGCTCGCGCAGCCAACACGGCCCTGATCGAAGATCTCAAAGAGCAAGTTCAGAAGGCAGAGATTGTCGCGGATCAGTATCGAAAACAGCTCGGCGTGCTGCAGATGAGGCTGGACGACGCAGTCAGCGAGCAGACCCGGCTCGAGGAACAAGCACATGAGAAAGACGGGCAGATAAACCCTCTGCGTGACGAAATCAAGGAGCTTCAGAGACAGATCAGGGATTTGGAGCAGAAGCATGAGACCGAGCGTGAGTCGATGATGGCAGATAAAGAGAACCAAGCAAAGAGGGAGGAAGAGCTTGAGGCTTCCATTCAGCGGTTAAAAGAGACCATTGCTCAAAAGGACCTTCGAATGGGCGTTGACGGCGAACGCAATCTATCTCGCTCTCGTTAGTATCCCCCCTTTACATTGGGCCCCTTTTTTATCAATTACATGACTGACATAAAGGCAGCGAGTTTCCGTAACCGCTCTTCGCCAGACCTAGAAAACGGACAGTTCGCCCCGTCCTCCTCTCAGCTTCAACGCAGTCCGTCCAGAAACAACTCAAAACTGATTCTTCAGAAAGACAAGCTAATCGAGTCACTACGGCTCGAACTGGCTGAGGCGCAGATCAAGATCGTCGAGATGGAGAACCTGGGAGGTGGCCGCCAGCAAGAACTAGAACGCGAGCTCCTCGAGGCCCGCATGGCCAACGCCCGTCTGATGGAGGACAACGAGAGCTATCAGCTTCTGCTCAGCGAGCGAACCCTCAATGGGGACTTCACCAAGGGTGACTTTATGCATGATGCCCACCCGCCTGCTGATACGAACGGGACCAGTGGTTCTTCTCTGGCCGACGAGCTGGATTCCATCGGCGAGGGAGGCGAAGACAACGAGAAACGCAAGCTGGAAAGCGAGCTGAAGAGCTACAAGGACCAGAACAAGGCTCTTAGCCTGTACATCGAACGTATCATTGGTAGATTGCTACAGCATGAAGGCTTCGAGCATATCCTCGACAAGAGTGACGCCGATAACTCCGGCCCCAAGGGTGGAAACAAGGACAAGGAACTGCCTCCTCCGCCTCCCACTGAGAAGGATGAGGCACAAGAACAGCAATCGTTCCTTCAGCGTGCCAAATCCGTTGTTTCTGGCCAACCGGCTCGTCCTAGCACCAGACAGAGACCACCCAGCCAGCTCACTCAGTCTACATCTACTCACTCTCCTCCGCTAGCCTCCCCTCAAGAACCGCCCACTCCATCCGCCCACGAAAACCCTGACACTGCCCCTAGAATTCCGCTTGGACGCTCTCGCACTGTCCAGCATCGCCGAACAAGATCAGATCAGCTGGACCATAGCGGCGCCGCAGCTGGAACAGCAAGCGTAATCAATCAGATGTACCGCGGCCCTCCAAGCGGCCGCTCCCCGTCCGCTGGCCCCATCAGCCCTGGTATCAGCCCATCCCTATCAAATAACGGCCCGTTCTTCGCCCCCGGCGCGGCATCTAAGCGTTCATCCGTCGCCACTGCACCAGGCGGTATAGGGACCTCCACCTCCACGCGGAGTGCTGATCGTCGTTTCAGCAGCGCTGCAAGCCTCACAAGCGATCGAAGCGGAGATGTTGGATCCATGGAAGGCGGCGCTGCCTCGGCCAGTCCTCCTCGCTCTAGTCCTGGCATGAACAACTATACCGGAGCGGTGATGCAGCAGAGCAAGTTGCGTCCGCTACGCCTGGTGCAGGAGAACCAGGAGATGGATGCCGACTCCCAGGCTGATGACGCTGCCCGCAAGAAGGCGAACAGAGGCAGTTGGGCAGGATGGTTCAATCGCGGCAGCTTCACGCTGTCTGATTCCAGCAACTCGCGGCCATCCTCCTGATCCCTCTCCGGCCGCGCAGCCGCTATTGATTTATGCCTCGCCTTGAGAGAACGATCTATTTCGAAATAGTGTATTAGATATCCCCTTATTTGATGTCATTTACTATGTTATTTTCTTTTTTAGCCCCCCTTTTCCCTTTGTCACCTTTCATATGTGCCCTTATGTGTCCTCATCCCCCCTGCTCCCTGATGCCATGTTCTTTTCATAAATATATTCTTGTCTAATGCCTTTGATTCAGGACTGCAATGCAAGCTTGGCTGCACAATTTGATCTGTCTATATCTATACCCATACCATGCCTATTGCCCCATCCTTCTTCTAGCTGGTTGCTGGTCTTGCATCCCATCGCATCGTATCGCCTTTCTTGCTTCCCTTCGTACGACACGTTATATCCTTGGTATATCAGTTTTGCATATGACCTACTACCCACATTCCTGGGCAAATGTGCGGAAAATGAAACGGCAGTTCTCGTCTTCTTTGCGCGGTGGAAACATCCGCACCGTCTATAGACAGACGTATGTTGGATAAAACCATTCATAGCTGCAGTACTACGGTAGACGGCTCCTTTTGAAGCCCCTGAGCCGGGTTGGGCGTTGTTTGACATTGCACAGGTCGTACTTGGATGTGACTTGAGCAAACAATAAGACCGCAGTGTAACATATTGGCATTTAGCCGTAAATCTGTCCTCTCGAGGGTTGTTCATAAGGGGATAGATGTGCCAGTCCCTATTAATATTAACCCCATCACTATTTAACAAGCCATATTAAACATACTACTGATAAAGACGAGCCCCGAACGAAAGGAGATAATATCAGAATGGAAGAAAGGCAAACGATATGGGATGGGCTACCGGATGTGGAGGGTTATATCTCGACAAGACACCCGTCTTCGTTTTATAAACGACAGCACCATCATGAAGAGAGACGGGCGTTCACTACTGGCTGGATGTATCAAGCCAGCACTCCGACAGTTGTTGATATTTGTAATATCCTCGATCCTGGGCCCCCTCCACTCCCTCCACTCGATACACCACCCTGGACCCGAAGTTATACCACGGAACCCTTTGTCTTCCTTGACTTAAATGACGGGAGTAGAAGGACAGTGCCACTGAGGTTCCAACCACCTCCAGCTCCGCAGTTTGGTGGCCCAGCCCATTTTATGACCGGGCATGGACAAGGTTGGGGCGAGAGGGGTACCAGCGAGCATATGTTTGTTGACGAGGACGATGACGAGTACATGGTTGAAGTCGACGGAGAAGACGATGGGTCAAGCGTGGAGGAGATAGGTGATGCCGAGACGGTTATGGATGGTCATCAGGGGCCTGGTTTAAGGGGCTCGTTTGAGATATTGATGAGAGCGACGGGGAAAAGGAAGATGGTGAAGATCTACCGCTACATGAGACGGTGAAGAGACTGAGAGAGGAAGTTGGGGAATTAACGGCGCAGATGAGACGTGACCGCCTTGAATTTGAACGCCTGGGGAGTACCGTTGCGGAGATAATGGAGTACCTTGTAGAGGAGAGGCAGGGGAGTAAGCGGGAACAAGAAACCGGAAGCCATCACTTTGATGGAGGCCAAACCCGAAGGCCTAGCATGGACAACCCGCATCCAAACCCGCCCAAGTCTATCGAAGATTACAACACTGCATGGAAGGCAATTTCCGAGAGCAAAGACATCTCAAATGATCAGCATTCAGTCATACCATGGCCGACTAGCAGCCTCAGGGCAAGCCTTCTATCCCGACATCAACAGCAACGACGAGGGATCACAAATCATCGTCGACTACCGAAGGAGATCAGTGAGGATATCTTTCAGCTCAGGAAGTGGAATGCTTTCTGCTTCTTCGTGCAGGCATTCGGTCTATACCCAACCTATATACATGCGGATGGTATCCGGAGAGGGATGTCTGCCCCTGAAGAGCCACGGGAGGGTATAGTGTTTGATATCCGGATACAGGGGGCCTCACGGGCCAAACTCAACGCCCTAAAGGCACAGATGGTACAGGACAAGCTGAGATGGCATCCGGACAGGCTAAAGAGGCATGCTGGTGGATTCACGGGGGATGAAGAAGAGGCCGCAAAGGCTGTTCTGAGCGCCGTTCTGGACAGTTCAAAGGCATGCAACAGATGCTTAGAACTGGTAGGCCGGGGACGCTAACAAAAATTTGTAACGTCTATGGAACTAGGCTTCTCATATAATTAACTTGATATGTCCTGTAGTAGTATGTTATGGACGCTACTAGAACTAGCTGCGCCTTTGGCACTGGCATTCAGCAGTGTACGGGTATATTTGTTGCTATGACAGATATCAGGTATATAGGATATAAATATTTTTACATCCAAGCACATATTTCAGTACTTGTAAACTCATCATCACCGTCGTCGTCTTTTCTGCTTTTTATGTCAAAAAGTCGATATCACGTGATCCAATCTTGACGCCAGCAAAGCCGAAGGCGAAGAAAGAAGACAAAACAACGAACAACGAGACAGCAACCACCAGGACAAGACAAGAAGAAAAGAAGACGAAGAGAAGAAAGAAGAATTATAGACATCGAGCCAATATGCTTGCTCCACTCTCGTTGTTCTCCGTCAATGCGGTCCTGATCATGGCCACCGACGACAGCTCGCGGATATTCGCAAAGTACTACTCAGCGCCGCATCCCCCAGCTGGCGCAGCTGCAGACTCGACTGACTATCCCGGTGCGAACCCCTATCCGGCCGTCAAGGAACAGAAGGCATTTGAGAAGGGCCTGATGGAGAAGACGAACAAGCAGTCAAGTGATATAATACTGTACGACAACCGCGTGGTCGTCTTCAAGTTCGAGGGCGATGTCATGCTCTACGTCGTGGGCAGCGCGGAGGAGAACGAGGTTATGCTCTATAACGTGGTAGTCACTCTTAGAGACTCGCTCAGTATATTGCTAGGGTATGTGCTCTTATCCTCATTACACAATGGGGGGTTAAATATAGCTAACTGAACTATACAGGGGGTCAACGGATAAACGCACCATTATCGAGAACTATGACCTTGTATCTCTTGCAGTTGACGAGATTATCGACGATGGAATCATCCTCGAGACGGACCCTGTCCAGGTTGCCTCCCGTGTTAGCAAGGCTCCTGCCCAGGATGCACCAAACATGAAGAACATAGATCTATCTGAGCAGGGACTGTTGAACGCCTGGGAGTTTGGAAAGAGACGGCTTGCGGAACAGTTACGACAGGGTCTATAAAAGCGATTCTGCACTCCCTTTTCCGTCATTCTTTTCTGCTGTCTGTGTTTCATGACTTGAGGAGATTCGGCATAGATCTCTTTTGCTTTGCCTTTCCACCATTTTCGTTTTCACGCTCTATCTTTTGGTGGGCATAACGGCGTAACGGCTGATTCTGAATGAATGTCTATTCTTACATGTTGTCTCGCTCAAAAATGAGTGTACGTTTGCCAATGGCTATAATTATGTGTCCCATCTGGGCATATTCGGCTGGTACTCCTGGTCATTTTTGGTCTTCTCATCCCTCCTAACTTTCTACATTATATTATTCTTTTTTTTTTTTAGCCACGCGACTTTCTACCATCACTCTCCTTACTATCAACATCGCATCACACGATCCCAGATCCCCCTCTATATACATACTTGAATATCCCGCTGGGATTCTTCGTTTGATAGTTATCAACTTGATCGTGTGCTTTGTCAGCCCCGCCTACGTCACTTTTTATTTGTTCAATTTGGTTACTCATTGCTAGCTACCAAAGGCGTTTCTTTGCGCAACCTACGACGGACGAGCAGACGTAATCAACAATGAAGCAGAGATATTCTTCCTTGGATGTAAAGGTACGCACTGCTCTTATACTCTGCCCCTTCTGTGCTAACTGCTTCTAGGTCATCAGCCGTGAGCTTTCCACTAATATACTTGGCTTGAGAATCGCAAACATCTATGATATCTCCGGGGTATGCGCAAATCTCTAGTTAAAGCCCCTGAAAGAAGCATTTAGTTCTAGCTGCTAATATATATTTTCCATAGCGCACGTTTCTTTTCAAACTCGCCCTCCCCGATATAAAAAAGCAGCTTATAATAAATGCCGGCTTCCACTGTCACATTACGGAGTCATCTCGCACAACCGCTGATGCGCCCTCCCATTTCGTCAGCCGGCTCCGAAAACTTCTCAAAACTAGAAGAATCACCGGTGTCCGCCAGATAGGAACAGACCGAATCATCGAGTTCGAGATCAGTGACGGCCTTTTTCGACTATACCTCGAGTTCTTTGCGGCGGGGAATCTTATTTTGACGGATGCAAAGTATGGCATCGTTGCGCTTCTACGCCATGTCGCCCCCGGCAGTGATATCGAGGAGGTCAAAGTTGGTATGACGTATAAATTAGAGAGCAAGATGAATTACAACGGCATACCTCCTCTTACCGTGGAAAGGCTTAAGTCGGCCCTTAGCAAGGACAACGGCTCAAAGGTGTTGAAGCGCAGTTTGTATTTCGGATTCCCAGAATACCCTCCTACACTGCTTGATCATGCCTTCAACGTCGTTGGGTTCGATTCAAAGCTTCAGCCGGCGCAGATATTGACAGATAATAATTTGGTTCAGGGACTCATGGGGGTTCTTCAAGAGGCTGATCGAATCAATAATACTTTGTCTTCGGACTGCCAACACCCTGGCTACATCATAGCGAAGAATATTGCGCCCTCAGCTTCAGATGGTGGGGATAGCACGCAGCAGGCACCTGTGACTGAATTTAGGGATTTCCACCCTTTTGAACCCAGTCAAACGAAAGACCTACCGAATACAACCACTCTTCGCTTTGAAAGCTTCAACAGTGCTGTTGACAAATATTTCTCTTCAATAGAGGCTCGAAAGTTGGAGTCTCGCTTGACGGAAAAAGAGGATGCCGCACGGAAGAAATTGGAATCCACCAAGCGAGAGCATGAAAAGAGAGTGAATGCTTTAAAGGAAAAGCAAGAGTTTCACGTCCGAAAAGCGCGTGCTATCGAGACGAATTTGCTTCAAGTGGAGGAAGCAATGACTGCCGTCAATGGTCTAGTGGCACAGGGTATGGACTGGGTCGAGATTGCTAGGTTGATTGAGATGGAACAGGGGAAGCGCAACCCCGTTGCCCTATCTATAAAGTTGCCTCTTAAACTGTATGAGAATACGATAACGGTTCTATTAAACGAGGAGGTAGCTGAAGAGGAAGAAGAAGAGGAGTCGGATGAATCTGACGAGGAAGAAGACGAAGATGATGATGATGGATATGGTGATGATGAATATGAGAGGCCCAAGCAGAAGAAAAGGTTGGTAAACCCTCAAAGAGAAAAGAAGGAGAAGAAGGATACTCGCCTAAGCATTGACATCGATCTGGGGATTTCTCCATGGGCCAATGCTCGACAATATTATGACGAGAAGAAAATAGCGGCGGTAAAGGAAGAGAAGACACTGAAGGCTTCTACGAAAGCTATCAAAAGCACTGAGAGGAAAGTCAAAGCGGACCTTAAGATGGCTTTGAAGCAGGAAAAGCCGGTCTTACGCCGGACCAGAAACCCGACGTGGTTTGAGAAGTTCTTCTTTTTCATCTCCTCGGATGGTTATTTGGTTATAGGGTAAGTACAAGCCGCCTTCAGCGATATAATTATCTACTGTTATATGCTAACATATAAATTAGAGGAAGAGACCAACAACAAGACGAAATACTCTTCCAACGATATATGAAGAAGGGCGATATATACGTGCACACTGATCTAGAGGGAGGCGTTCCTTTGATTATCAAGAATAAACCCGATACCCCTGACGACCCAATCCCGCCCAACACAATATCACAGGCAAGTGCATACACTGTTGCTTCGTCAAAGGCCTGGGATACCAAGGCAGCCATGGGAGGATGGTGGGTTCATGCCTCGCAAGTCTCGAAGATGACTTCTACAGGCGATATTCTCAAGGCCGGCCATTTCATGATCAAAGGGGAGAAAAACCACATACCTCCTGGACAGATTGTGCTCGGATTTGCCGTATTATTTCAAATTTCAAGCCAGAGTATTCAGAACCACGCGAAATCACTGCCAGCTACGTCAGAGGGCGATGTGAATAATTACCAACCCATCTCCAGTGCAGCCGATACAGCACAATCTGATCGTGATGAAAACGTTCCTTCAGAGCAAGAAGATGCACACGAGCCAGGTTCAGATGGCGAGAAAGAGGAACTAAATGATGACAAGGCTGTATCGCTTGAAGAAAAGGTGGAATTCATATATTTTGAGGACGACTTGGATCCAGACTCGGCGCAAGTTCATGAAACAGAAAAGCAGGAGGCCTTGCAGCCTGAAGAACAGTCAGCACACGGTTCATCTACTATTGCGGAAGAACCCGAGGATTCAAACGAGTCTGAAGATGAAAGCCAGTTAACTACGCCGTCTGCAGTTCAGGAGTCACGGCCATCAACCCCATTAGTTATCAGTTCAGCAGGGACACAGAAATTTAGACCGCCCGTCCGTGGTAAGCGAGGAAAGGCAAAGAAGTTGGCTATGAAATACAAAGATCAGGATGAAGAAGATAGAAAGCTTGCACTCCGCCTACTAGGATCCGCTGCTGGAACTTCCACTCCCGCTAACAAACCGAAAACAAAGGCCGATATCGAAGCTGAACGTGAAGCACAAAAGGAGCGACGAAGGGCCCAGCATGAACGCGCTTTGCAGGCTGTGAAACGCCAACAAGAGGCGTTTACACGAAACTCTGTCGAGGATAGCACTGGAGAAGAGCATAAGCTTGACTTCTCCATACTCCCTGCTCTCGTTGGAACCCCGGTCGAAGGTGACGAGATCGAAGCTGCCATCCCCGTGTGCGCCCCTTGGACAGCTTTGGGACAGTACAAATACCGTGCGAAACTGCAACCTGGAAAGATAAAAAAGGGCAAAGCGGTTAAGGATATCCTTGGTAAATGGATTCACGATGCAACTGCCTTGCAAGCGCGGTCTTCTGGGAAAAAACCAGGAGCAGCAAGTACGGGTGGCCCTGATGAGACCAAGGATACGTCCGAGGAAGCTGATCAAAAAGCTGAAGATACGAACGAGCTACTTTCTATGGAACTAGATTGCATTAAAGCCTGGAGGGACGTTGAGGTCATGAATACTTTGCCTGTTGGTGGATTCACTATCGTTTCTGTAGCTGGTGCTGCAGGTTCAAGTGCGAGTGTTGGGCCTAAGAGTGTGGAAAGCAAAGGAAAAGGGAAAGGGAAGAAGGCTGCTAAAGGGGGTAAAAAGAAATAGACAAGCCCTTTGTTGGGGCGTGGTAGCATATGCATTATATATATGCATTATATAGATAAGGGTTTAAGAAGGTGAAATGACGAGTGCAATTATGTCCTAGAAAGTCTTTATCTTTACGTCTGTGTCCCGCCAGTCCTTCGAATCTATCCCTATAAATATGCAAACCGACCGGCCAAATGCTCGTTTAATACTTTTTAAACCTATAACTTCCTGTCATTTCTTCGTAAGCATGCATTTTGGCTTACTGCGAAATCTTTACTTCTTCCTCCGCTGCTTTCCGCAGACGATTCATCACGGCGGCTGCTAGGTCTCCTTCAGTGTCTGATATTCCTTCGACATAAATAACAGACACATTCCTCTCGTCAAGACTGCGAAGGGCGGAAAATAAGCCGCGAGCAATGGATGAGGTGTCCTCCCCCAAGTATATGTCAAGCATATTGGTAGGCTGCGAAGAGGGATTGATTCGGTCACATTCAATCGGTATATCGAGAAGCGAGGACTTGGTTTCACAGCTTGCGCCATTAGATAGCGACACTCGAGTGATTCCTAATCCCTTTTTCCAGGTTTTGGTCCGAACAATGCCGATAGAAGCTGGCGCTTGTTCCAACTTGGGCCCTTTATTAATATCTGCAATTATTCTGTCTGTAACGGAGGCGGTGTCTCGACCAGCTTCGAAAAGAATAACTCTTGCTTTGGGGGAATAATGCTTATATTTCATCCCTGGCGCCCGTGGAGCAGTTTTGCCTTGTAGAGCTCCATCTTTATAACCGATTTGAACATCCTCCCAGCCAGGACAAGTTCGTAACTCGTCAATTCCAACACCCCCCGGTCGGAGGATCGCAGGAGGAGAACTGAGTCCATCAACTACTGTGCTTTCAATGCCGACTCCACAGGGCCCGCCGTCTAAAATCATATCGATTCGTCCCTGTAGATCCGTAAATACGTGTTGTGCAGTGGTGGGAGAAGGTTTTGTAGAAGCATTTGCGGACGGAGCAGCTACCGGCTTGTCGGAGAGTGCAATAAGAAGTCGTGCGAGGGGAGATGAAGGCATTCGTGCAGCAAAGGTTGGAAGGTTTGCAGTAACTTCTGGAGCTAAAGGCAAATGTGGTGGGTTTGGGAGGATAATGCTTAAAGGTCCGGGCCAAAATCTCTCCATTAATGGTTCATATATTTTGGGAATAGGTGATGTAGTGATAGATTGAATAGCTCCATTTGATTGCTTCGGGTCCACGAGAAGTCTTTCCAGTTGGTCTCTAGAGCTGACATGGACAATCAGCGGGTTATCAGATGGCCGCTGTTTTGCCTTGTATATTCCTTGAACAGCCCCACTGCGAGTTGCGTCTGCGCCCAATCCGTAGACTGTCTCTGTTGGAAAGGCTACGGGAATATCACTAGCCCGTATTGCCTCCGCAGCTTCGATAAGTGCCGTAACTTCTGGTCCACCCTCTCTAACCCGTGTGGCCCATATCTCGAGAACATTCTCACCGGGTAAGCAGTCTGTAAAACTATGGACGGGTAATATCCGAGTAGCCCGTCCATCAGTTTGTTGGTCAATCTTCTCAGGCATGGCTACTATATAATCATGACCGGGCAACAGGCTGGCAACGGTACTATGTAGCCTGACAGAAGATCCCTCACAGCGCCCTATTAAAGAGCAAAGGGCACGAAAAACAGTATATTTAGCCGTGACCGCAACGACTCTCTCTAGATCCTTCAAAATGAAGCCAAGTTGTGCTTTCGTAGATCTAAATACTTGGGTATATGCGGGGAGCTGTAAATAATATTTGGGCTGAGTCACGAATTTATCATGCAGGTGATGTTCGAAATTTGCAGTGCGCGTAAAGGTGAATGTTGGAAATGAGTATTGAGTAGTTATAACATCAACTTCAAGGGTATATTCTACTTTATTGGAAGCAGGAGAGACACAGGAATATTCAAAAACAAAAGAAAGAACTCTAAGCGTGTGTTGAAGCTGAATCATTTCGATATTTTTTCTTATCGCGCAGCATTTGATATCAGTCACGTGATAGATAAGGATAGGTCGGTTACATAATAGCTACGTCATTTGTTTGCGATGCATGGAGTCTCAAGATGAGCATATGTAATTGTCCGTTAGTTTATAGGAGATATATAAATAAGACTTTCATTGGGGTGCCTAGGTCTCCGAATACCGACATCCAAGGCCCTCATGCTCGCTCCAATGATAGATAATTTTGCACTCACTTCTTCCTACGCACACTGGTCCGCCACTGTCTTCGATGGGGGCAGAAGAGTTTAGGGCTGTCCTAAACAAGGAGGCTTCCTACCTTAATCATTCATGAAGGCCGTCAGTTGCCTCACCGACTGCGCAGATCAGAGCACCTCCGCGCTTGTGTAGTACACTATTGGAAGAGTTGTACAGGAGCGTACAGTCCAGCTATTGGGCCTGGATAGTCGCGCGACGCGTATAGGCAGGAGGGACATGAACCTCTGTATACGGGAAGATTGGTGTAACATGGACTCTCAGCCTGTTGCACCTTGAACATATGGAACGAGATACGGAATACTTCCTACAGGAGTAGGCTCAAATCCATCAATGCACCTGCAGGAATGTGCATCCTCATGGGGAGTTGTGGTTTAACCTAGGAAAGAAAAATGGGTATCATGTATATTAATTTTTTGCTTGCTCCCAGGCAGTCAGGGGTGGTTATGTCGAGGATTCGCACCGACGGGGCCCATCCCATAAAGCAGACCAGTCCAGTCCATCCACCGCTGAGTTTCACTGACTCTTGACAGGCTTCAGGCCACCATCTTCGTGACATGACATCCAGCTGCATCGGTCCCTCTGTTGTGCAGTATTAACGGGATACAACGAGCAAGATCCCGTGTCTCTGTGTCGCTTTCTGTTGGTTTGTTTGGCCTTAAACAATCAGTGGAACGTCAAAAATTCCCTTTTTCGGGTTTTGCTGCCTGTCTCTGTCACGTGAAGCTAAACATTATTACGCCATGTATTCTGATTACATAATCTTTGTATGAACTCAATTTGAACCTCAAAAAAAAACATCGAAAAAACAATGAAAAATGTCAAAAAACGTCAAATATATATATATATATATATATATTGAGAGATCAGGAAAAAAATCCACGATTAATAAAGAGGGAATCTGCTATTGTGTTTCTGTTGAGATGATAAGATTCATGCGATGAATCAGCCCGTTGAAGGCTCGCTTATGTATGAGGCTGTTTTCCCCATCCAAAGCCTATTGGTGGAGGGCTTCATAGTTTCTGTCGTGTCAAGGCAGCCATGTTGAGCCGCAATCAGCCACTGACAAGGGCCCTGGGGGAGGGTATAAAAGGGAGGACATCTTGCTGCCATCTCAGCTCCCATTCTATTCATCATCATCATCATCTCTCTCCTGTATTTATCTCTCCCATTTCTGCCTGCTCCAGCTACTCTGTCGATACAAATCGAGTATTGAAGTGTCAAGGACGAAGACGACTATTACCTATCTACTCTTCCGCCTGCAAGTACTAGCTGCTGCACCTATACGAGCACCATAGTCATGACGTCCTACGAGGTCAACGCCGTCGAGTTGTCCCTCCAGGGAACTCCCACGAAAACTGTTACGCTGGCTCCGGAGCGGGCGACCATCGTTCGTGAACTGGCCGATGTGCCAATCAAAGTAAGTATATACTCTTCGTAGCTATAGAGTGTTTAGTTACGCTCGTCTTGTCTTCTTGCTTGTGGTTATGTGCTAATCAGTGGATAATAGCCCGGCCCAAACAAGATCACCATTGTTGGATTTGATTCTAGAGTTGACTTCGACTCACTTCGAGTAACTGGCCATGGACCTGCCACTATCACTGATATCCAGACTTCGGTGGCTCTTCGTGACGAAGACTTTGATGACGTTTATCCTGAGGAGGATAGCGTAGGAGAAGATATTGACTCCGAAGACCCAGATGACAACTTTGGCGTCGATAGGTCGGAGCTAGACTCAATCATAGCAGAGATCAAGGAGATATCTGCCAAACTTGCTTTTCTCGACAACGAGAAGATATCGTCAACTCAATCCCTGGCCTTTCTTGATTCCTATGGTAAAAGCATGAACGCAAAGGATGTTGATGCCACCAAGGTGGCGGAATATATCGACGTCTACCAGAAGAAAAGAGCCGGCTTGCGCGAGATCTATGAAAAAGCGGAGGCACAGATCACCGAGCTCAACGAGAAGAAAGAAAAGCTTGAACGGAAGAAAGAGCGATTGGAAGTAAAATTTACTGAGGAGAGAGACCGAGCGGCAAAGCCATCGCGCAAGGAGAGAAAGGCAAAATTGAAAGAGAAGGGGCTGAAGGAGAAAAAGAAGCAGGAGGCCAGAGCTGACATCTCGAGCTTCTGGAATATCTATACTGGTCGTGTTACCGTTCACGTTGAAGGGCATGGTGCTGGGGTCACGCCTGAGAACAGAAGAGAATCTGTTTCTTCTGTCAAGAAGCCTGATGTCAACGAAAACATCACGCTATCGCTAACATATGTTACATCGGCTGCTCGATGGACTCCACGGTATGACTTGATGCTAAACACGCCAACATCATCTGGAAACTTGGTCTATCGAGCCGAATACTACAACAGGAGTTGTGAGACGTGGAAAGATGCCACCGTTATCCTCTCCACATCTCAGACTACCTTCTCAGGGGTCGATGAGAATATCCCTACTCTGTTGCCATGGAATGTGGCACTCAGAAAACATGAGGTAATGGAGCTAGAGACCGCAACTGACACATTGCCAGCTAAGAAGATGAGTAACTGGCACGGCGCGCTGAGGGCCAACGCAGAAGGCATGGAAAGGGTGCAATTACGCAGGGCAAGGGCTAGGTCTTCAGATGCACCGGTATGCTATCCTAATCGAACCTTTCCGAGCGCTTCCACGGCACCATTTCCGCCACCACCTCCACCTCCACCTGCAGCCATGGCTGGCGGGCTGTTTGGCACTTCAGTCACTTTCTCCGCAACTCATGAAACTGGACAACAACCGCTGACAGTACCTCAGCCACAGGCACAGCAGCAGATGATGCAGCGAATGCAAGCACCGGGTGTGCCACGTTATCATGGTTTCAGCGATGTAGCTGATACCCAACAAGGCGCCCAAACTGTTCGGTTTGGGGGGGTTGCGCCGCCCCATCCTGGCGGAAGCCATGACGAAGATGAGGATGATGACGAAGATTTCCATTTGGATGATGATGCATCAACCATCCAGGGCCCGTCCAATGTTCTTGCATTTAAGCAGTCGTCTCGTCATGACTACGGACTGACCACCACATATAACGTGCCTGGATCACGTACCCTGCAGCCATCCTCTCATGTTAGACGGCATATCATTGCAGAACTCGAGCTCTCCTCCGTCACATTTTCGCATGTGATCATTCCAAAACTGAAGCCAGCAGCTTTCCTAAAGGGAAGAGTAACCAATACGTCGACTACACCTTTCCTTCGGGGCAAGGCCGGCCTAACCGTCGACGATGCTTTCCTGGGCAAGGCAACTATCCCGAACTGCAATCCCGGGGTCCCATTCAATCTCAACCTTGGAGTTGACCCAGCTATCCAGGTGATATACTCCAAGCCCAAGGTTAGACGCGCAACCACAGGTTACTTTACCAAGGAGGACTGTGCCATCTTCACGCGCATATGCCGGATCAACAACACCAAATCTTCACCGGTATCCTTGGTCGTTCTCGACCAAATTCCTGTGAGTGAAGACGAGCGGATTCGAGTCCGTCTACTTGAGCCAAAGGGCCTTGACAAGGGAGATTCTGCAAAGATTGGAGCAGAGGTTTCCATCGATCCCAAGAGGGCCAAGGACTGGGGTAAAGGCACCGTCTACATCAACAGAGATGGCGAGGTCAAATGGGTGATCAACCTACAGAAGACAGTCGATATTAGGCTCGTCCTTGAGTACGAAGCAAAGATCCCGAGTGGCCTCGAAGTCGTGGGCCTCTAATCGCCATGCCCATCTACGGTCGGCAATGAATAACGAATTCCTTAATCAACCAGTAGCTTTAGGTAGTACTAGTTAGTATCTTCAATCAGACTGATGACATTTCCTAAATCTCTCTCTTTATGTTATCTTTCTCTAGCTCAAAATCGCTGTTTTGATGCCTTTTTGATTCTTCGTGAGCAGCAAAAAAGTTGATGATGTTGCCGGATTTCAATTCTACGCACGCTGATTGGCCGAGACAAAAAGCGACGCCCATGTTTCTTCGACTTTCGTCCATCACCAACTTCAACGTCGACTCCAAGCATCGTCCTCAAGCGCCAAACAGCAGCGAGGAGAGCCATTGTCTGCATCTATACCGTCCAGTGGCCTTCTGAAAGTTGTCTTGATCTGTGTCTGCTGCGATGGCCTCGAAACTGCTTCCCTTCACCCTCCGGCAGGCCGGCCGCCAGTCTCTCCCACAGTTTGCTTCACGGCAATGTCGAACATTCACGACTGCATCGCCTCTCATGAGCGATGTTCTCCACGTCGTAAGTGCTTGATACGCAATTTGAATTTTCCTGGCTGTCTTAACTGGAGAAATCAAGTGCCGTTATGACGTTCAATGGATGCTGATGTTTGTATCTCTGGAACTTAGCATCGAAACACTCCCACCAACAACCCAACCATTCCCTTCAAATTCTCCCAGGAGAACCTTACCGTTATCGATGAAATCCTTAAACGCTATCCTCCTCAGTATAAGAAGGCCGCTGTCATGCCTCTATTGGACCTTGGACAACGACAGCACGGATACACCAGCATCAGCGTGATGAACGAGGTTGCGCGCATGCTGGAAATGCCACCCATGCGAGTATACGAAGTTGCTACCTTTTATACCATGTACAACCGTGAACCAGTCGGAAAGTACTTTGTTCAGATATGTACTACCGTATGTCTGCCCTTTTCGTTATTTGTATAAGACGTTTTTGAGGTTTTCATCTAACTCTGATGTGCACTTAGACACCATGCCAGCTCGGTGGTTGTGGAAGCGACAAGATTGTTAAGGCTATAACGGAACATCTCGGCGTATCATCCCACGGCGCAACAACTCCAGACGGCATCTTCACCGTTCTTGAGGTTGAATGTCTCGGCGCCTGCGTTAATGCGCCAATGGTTCAGATCAACGACGACTACTACGAGGATCTCACACCTGAATCCACCATCCAACTACTCGACGCTCTCAAAGCCAGCGCCGTTGCTGCTGAGAATGGAACACAGTCTAGCGTAAAGATCCCGGCACCTGGCCCCTTGAGTGGCAGACAGACTTGCGAAAACAGTGCGGGTTTGACAAGCTTGACGGAGCCACTTTGGGGAAATGAAACGCTGAGAAAGGACGGAGAGTTGTAAATTGGGATGAGGTTGGGGATGAAGCGTGTTTTCATTACAATATGAGCATGACGAAGACTGAATCTTCCTAGATGAAAAGCAGGCGATTCTTCTTATCATGCTGTCTTTCTATCTTTTCCACCTTTTTGTACAGTACCTTGTACCGGTCAGTTATGCTGTCATACACTTTGCATTCGACTTGCAGTGAGCCTCTAAAATAGATGGGAGACTTAATTGACAAGATCACCAAATCCATGCTCTACTAAAATCGCTCATAGCCTCAACTCGTGAGACCATAGAACTAATATAAACCCTAGTAAGGTTAACACGCATAACATAGATTTATTGTAGACTCGAGGACAGCCTGGAGATAGTAAAATCATATATGGCCCTCAATAGCAAAGAAATACTCCAAGCTATAGAAACTGGCAACCCCTTAACTACTTATCGTCAAAATCATCCTGATAGCTTTCAGCATTTGATCCTTCCAACGGAAATCCTCTCCAGTCAACTTCGTCCATGTCTCTGATCTCGCTCTTTTGTACTGTGATAAATCTATCCCCTCTCTTCGCAAGGTATTGTCTTCTGCGCTGCTCAAAAATGTTTACTTCAACCGTTTTGAGAGCCAAAACATGGTAAATATGGACATGTTTTAATTGACCATACCGTCGTGAGCGTCCAATTGCCTGAGCCATCCCAGAATCATAATCATACTGTGATTGGGCAACCAAAGGACCAAAAAATATGATGTGATTTGCATTTTGTAGGTTCCTAAAACACTTAGTTAGGCACGTTTAAATATGTCAATGATATAGGGGCAACTTACAACCCTGATGCAGTGACATCTCCAAGATTCAATATCAAAACTTTGCTTTTGACAGATTCCTTGCCATTCTGAAATTCAGATATTTTGCTGGCTGGAGCGCGGTCTCCGGGCTGAACGACTATGTATGGTATACCTGCAGACCCCAGTGCCTTTGAAGCAGCATCCATCAACTCGGGGAACTGAATGAAGAGCAAAACTTGGTCATCCATAGGGATCTTCTCGGGCTCCTGCAGCAAATCAATAACTGCTGTGAACTTTGAGCCACCATATTTTGCCAACTTCTCTGTAGAAGTATTGCACTCAGAGTGGCATAGGTCAGTCCATCTGATAATTCGGTACTCTTGAACTGTTCCGCCACAACCCTCTAGTAAACATCTTTCATGGAGCTTGCAACGCTCAATACAAGATTCACAGGTGCTATGACCGCATTCCCCTAAAATAGTGAGCATCCTAGGGTCTTCTCTCTCCACACTGCAACTGTAGCAAATGAACTTAGCATTAGGAGGTGGGTTTTGAAAACATCGTACAGCATGATATAGACGTAGGGCTCGTGTGTGCGCTATTGTTTCATAAACAAGGCGACGCAAACTGTCTGTGCAGTAATTAAGATCACTGATAAGTTCTGTTTGATTTTTGGGGAATTCAGGCCTTGGATTGTCTGGGTTCCGCTTTTTCTATAGATAAAGTAAACGTTAAACGAGTGGTTGAATAATATCGAATCAGGGATTGTCTTACTTCTTGTGTCGTAAGGTAAAAAATGCTACCATCACCGGGACCAGATCTTGATTTGGCCCTTTTGAAAAGCATTTTGATACCAGCAGTAACCAGTAGATCCCCAAACCTGTCCTGTTCAACACTTTCCAATAGTCTATCAAAATGTGCTGTCCCTTCATCCAGTTGCTTATGAAGCCATAGTCCTCTTCTCGCTCTGGACTCAATATCGGCTGCGAGACTGCCAATTTGCTTGCGTCTAGTTGTAACGAGAGGGTTGTCATCCAGTGGTTTCTTCTCATTTGGTTTCTCTGGTAACGCGGTGCGAGTATGAGAAGTAGCATCACTGTATGTAAACAAGGAGCAGCGTTTACACAAAGCTTCTTCCGGGCCGCTGCTATTTCCAATAATTGCATCTAGGCGAGCTATTTCTTCGGAGTCGTATAGCCCGCGTCCATGTTTTCTCAATCTCAGGTTTTGCGACATCAATTGCATAAAAAGCTCAAGGTAAACTGCACGTTCAGCTGCTGACAGGGATATACTAATAATATGCTCAGTCCAGGGGATATCATCTATATCAGGCATGTTCTATCCAAGTCAGTGTATGCCTACATCCTCAGGGGAAGTATTCACACCTTTCTCATAAACTTGTTTAGAAATCCCTGAGCGATTTCATGGCGCCTCTCATGCCATGCGGTGCTTCGCCGGGTCACTAAAGGCTGAAATTGTTCCACCTCTGTTCGCATTAGCAGCCTTTACAAAGATAGGTCCGTCAATAAAGCTATCCTACCTGTTCTATCGCGTTGGATAGCCCGCAATCTTTCATTCTCGACTTTCCGGCCATCATCTTCATCAATACCTAGGTTAATACCAAGGAAAGGGGAGAAAGACTTAACATCAGCAAAGTTGTTGAGCGGAGGAGTTCCGGACAGAATCCATTTTTTCCTGGATGGTATGGCCAGGGCGGCAGCATAGTTTCTGTCTTTCGAATATGTGAACTCATCGATGATAACTCTGTTGAACTCAAACATATGCAGCAATGGGGAGCGAACGCTTCTCCAGTCAGTAGTTGACTTACAAAGGTCGAAGATTTCAACGGAAACATTTCCTCCATCTTTGCAGGCTTGGGAACCTTTCTTTGACTTTCTAGAATCCAACCGTGTCTCTGTTCCTAGGCTAACTGGAGAAACCTCTCGCTTTCTTTTGCCTAGTTCAATAATTGAATCAATGGAATCAAAATTTCCATTCTCTGTGTTTTTTGCAGCTGTTTCCTGAATATTAGAAATAGCAGTTTGACGCATCTTTAGAAGATGCTCTTGAAATTTTTGTCCCTTCAAACGCTTTGAAGGCTTGTACTTCGACAGACCATCCCCTTGCCGAAGTTCTTCTTTTCTAGCATGGATGTTTTTCAAGACTGATTGAGCCCCTGAAGTAAGAAGTCGATCCACTTGTTCGGATAATGAGCTAAGAGCATCCTGGAGCCATTCAACAAAAATACGCCCCTCCCCCTTGGGTATCTTAGGGGCAGCAGCAAAACACTCCATCATGGTATAGTAAGCTGTTCCCTTCAGGATTGAAGTAGATACCAAGACAATATCAGCTTTCTCAAAATCCCGTATGGTTGTAGAACCATGCGAAGAGTTCGTCTTAACTTCTAGAATCCTGTAGTTATCCCCCAAAAATTTGTGTATTTCCCGCTTCCATTGGTCAAAAAGGTGGCCAGGAACCAATATCATGGTTGCCTTGATTGGAATCTGGCCCTTGACGGACATTGGAACACTAGCGCTATCTTTGATGTATTGTATGTCAATAAGCCCAAGTGATATTGCAGTCTTCCCATACCCAACTTCGTCTCCAAGAATCCCTCCGAGGACCATCTTCTCTGTTGATGCTTTCCCTTCTGCCCTCCAGTTGATGGTAGGTAAAAGTGCTTCGACCACTTCCTCTTCCACAAAGGCTGGAGCGCCATCACTCTCTTGATCACACATCCATTGAAGCGAACGTAGCTGTTCTAGCCGTAGAGAGTACTGCCTAAAGTTTGGAGGTTGGCAGCAGGGTATATCCAATTTGTTGTTTCTCTCTAAAAGTTTTGGTAGTCGACGCGGAATGAATCCTGCTGTATCAATACATAGCCGCCATTGCAAAGATACGTTATCTCTGACACCCAGGTTACCGACTGCCCTATGAAGAAGGCTTAAGACATTTAGGCAAACCCGAAGATGAAGAATCAAATTTTCATCAAGAGTAGTAATACCCAGGAATGGCGCAGGTCGGCTCTTTATGCTTCTCTCAAAAGCGGCAGCATCCTCCGGATTCTCATATGCGTATACACGATCTTTTTCATCTAGGGCCCAAGCTAGACGAGGCTTGGTAGGAGCGCATGTTGAACAGGATAGGTCAAAACTAAGACAAGAGCTTTGAATAGTCTCCCACCTCTCAAATTGCGTAATACCAATTGCACTTTGCAAAACCCACGCAAACTTCTTGAGCATAGAAATGGATTCTGACAAATTTTCTGTCTTCACCGTTCCAGGTATTAATTCCAAATCGGTTAAGTCTGCTGGAACTGAACATTGAAGTATAGTGGAATAAGAGCTGTCACAAGTGACACTGCAAGAAGCAGAAATCCCCAAAGGCCTTGGTATAGAATATTGGGGAGGTGGAGATGTTTGGTAAACATTCAAAGTAACACTCGCAAATTCCCTCCACTTCCGGTACCAACATGGAACAACGTCTTGCTCATGGTTGAGGTATAGCGGGTTCCAATTCGGCCGAATTTCGGCTAGTGTATTGCGTGTCTGTCCAAAATGAAGGCGTTCATGTTCAAGTGAGAAAACCCAAGAATCCAACTGATGAGGTCCAACCTCTGTAGGGTCCAAAAATAAATACAGGGAACTGCCTGAGGAATGCACGCGTTTCCTCAAACTTCCGCTGGCAGCACAACAATCCGGCAGCAGTTCGTAGGCTCCACGGATATCGGTCTCCAAATTCTTCATGTCCTCATCCTTTGCATCTATATGAAGAATCGACCATGTTTTCAGGTTCCGAAAGTTCGGGTGTTGTAGGCCAGATCGAGCTGGGAGAGAGTCAACTAACTGACCACCCCCTGTTATTAAAAGATCGAACTGGGAGCTGACTGGTGATCCAACTAGCCATGTCCCCTCAAGTAAGCTCGTGGCCTTTGGTGTCATTTTAGCAATAGGCCGGGATAGCATTTGTCGAAGAGGTGAGTTGCTTGGCTCTATTTTTTGGGGTATGGCATAGAGCAGCCATTGAAGACCGAGAGACGTGCAGCTTAGTTTGAGAAACAGCTTTTCGCCTTCGTAAGCAATGATCCAGCCATTTTGCCTCACTACACCTTGAAACTTCAGGACATCACTAAGAGAATGTCTAATTGTGTCTATGAAGGTATCCCAAGCATCGTTAATGTGTGACGGCGCAGCTGCCTCTCGAAATCCCTGAAACACGTCAACATTTAAACCACTGACTTGGAGGCGCATGGGCAGCCTGGTTTTGACTTGCGTCTGGAACTCTACCGGGGGTAGACGCTGCTCCAACTCATCCGGCTCTACACATCTGTAGGAGTGTGTAGGATTCTTTCCGCATTTTGAGCATGCTGTATGCCCACAATGTCTGCAGGCCAGAATAATATCTGATCTTGTCCCTGTCTGACCGTCACAGTAGCAAAGACGCGCAGTTCTGATGCCAAGTTGGTATAATTCCCCCACTGAGATATCATTTTCGCCTGTTGTCTTCGCTAAAAGCGGTACCATAGTATGACATGGTGCGATTGAATAATGTTGGGCAACGGCCTCAGAATCAGAATCGTCATAATGGGCAGTTGAGAGTGGCAAGGCTTGATACCCAAGCGTTAGGGCCGTGATAATGGCAGCTCCCACTACTGTTGAGGTCATTGCATTTCCTGCCAAATCATGCAAATCGCGTTGTCCATCGTTACCTATCAGAAGTCTGTCGATTGGAATTCCCTGAAGGGCGAGAGCTTCAATTCCCAGAAGAGGGCCACCTCTAGAAGTAATGAAATGCTGTCCGCGGGGGGTTAAGCAGCCGGCAACACCGGAAGCTCTCTGGTCTAACTCTCGATCAAGACCCTGAGAGAGGTCAATAACTCGCGATTTAAAGTTGATGTCATATCCCCGTGCAATGGTCCGTAGGAAATTCACGTCAAGAGTATCCCAAACTCGCTCAGTCTGGGTTCTGCTCCATCCGTGCCAATAGAAGTCTGGCATTTGACATGTGCCATTGTCTTGCCATTTAGTCAAAGGTCGCTTGTCCCCGAGACCTTCTCGCATTCTATACCCAAGATGACGCGCTTTGTATCTTGTCCAATCCACTGCTTGACGGTCCTTAGTAGAATTGATTGAAATATCGTTGATTGCATCTTGGAGGCGGATATCATCGTGGGATAAAAGAAACTGGGTTACTGGTGAGCTTGCCGGTCGTTCCAATTTCTTCATCAACAGTGCAAAGGCGGATAGCTTCTTTGACTTCGCCTCACCCACAGGCTCTGTCACCATCTTTCTCTGATCAATGCAAATCATATACCCTCTTTCCCGGGTCTGCGGAAGATAGTAGTTTTTGGAATCAATTTTCATGTGGTAGCCATTGTAGTCAATTTCCTGCAAGATGGTCTTGATCTGCTCCCAGGGGGCAGAGCAAACATTTTCTAGGACAACTAATGCTGGTCGACATCGCTGCATATACCGAATGACTCCATAAAAGGTGTGGCCAGATTCTCCCATCTCCTCGAGTGTTTTCCGATAAAAGTTGAGAGCAGAAAAATCAACACAAGAGAAACCAACCACTAGGAGATCGGGATCTGTTGGTACCCTTCTCACTGATCCGAATGCGGTAGTTCTATTCAGAATGTTAATATCTAATAAATTTCTACAAGAAGGTGTGGACATACGCCTCTTCTGCAACCAGTTCATTGACATCTCTGAAAATGATTTCAGGTGAAAAATTCCTCTGTATATATGATTGTTTAAATGCATCTATCTCAGCACTAAACAGATGGTGGAGGCGGAATGTTCTTCCAGTAAGCTCTCGAAGGCCTGAAAGCCCCATGATCAGCCAGACGAAGCACAAGCAGGGGAGCTAGACATACTGTTTCGTATCATTTCCAAGGCCAAGAGAGGCGACTCAGTACCTGAGCACATAGTAGCCACGCGTAGTTCGCGGGCGCCGATATGATCCAGGAAGGAGTCAAAACCATTCTTGAGAGCCTGGGCGGTGAGGTCCTCGAAAATGTCTTCGATTTTGTGTATTGGTGGAAGAGATCTATCAAGCCCTGGCTTTGGCCGTTCACCAGGCAATGCCGTATACTTCCCTCTGAGTATCTCTGGGGGCACTGATATCAGCAAAGCTCTGACCTCGTCTGATACCGCTTCAGGGACTGCAGGAGGAGTTTGAACGTATTTCTCGTCCGTGCGAAAATCGATTGACGCGTTGGAGAGTGATTCAACATCCGTATCAGAGGTCCTGGGCGAGGTGATGCCGCTGTTTGACACAGAAGATATCGAGTTTGACGCATCTGTCTCGCTCAGGGGACGGCATTCCTCCATTATATCCATCCTCAGGGGGAACACTAACACCTCTGAATACACTCGAGCAGGCGCACGACGCGTAAATACCTAGAGTTCCGAGTTGCAGTAGATTTAGAGCTAAGCAAAATGAGCCAGGTGGATGTGTAGTTTTGAAATGAAAGACAAGAAAAGTGAAGGCCGAGATGATGTACCGCACAGAATGTATTATAACACAGCTTCATAGTACTTTAGCTGGAAAGCTCCATATTAATACACTCGGAAGCATTTCATTGTTACTAACCAATACTTATATCAAAGATGTTAGATATAAGAGTATAAGAGTGTATCAGGGCAGATGGAAGTTAGTAGAATATAGGACTAGTCCTTTAAAAGCCTAGACAATGGCACTCTTCTTAAAAGATGCAAAGTAGCACTGTATATATGTTGACCTTTCTAGGGTATTCATATCGAGACATAGCCATGGATATCCCATAGTCCTTCAATGCCACTTGGCATCCAATATCCAAGGTCAGCATTTTCAGACATTAAGAAGTAGCTCAAATATCTTAAAGATACTAAAAAGTTGTGGCTCCATAGATTATGGTATATATATTGACGAGCCTGGTCTCCATATTCATAGAGCTGGCTAGTAATTATCCAGATGGCAACATCCGGGGTTGTCGAGTTTTATTGGATGGAATTAAGCAAATCTAGAAGAAAAATGGTAATGACAAATGACAATATATCAACTAGGCTACGTTGATATAATAATATTTATCAGATACCAGGAGACTCTGACGTTGGTTTGATCGTATCGAGTATCGGAGATGTTGATATCAAGATAAAAAGTTTTAAAAAATAAATATAAAACAACTAGTTAGTTAACTAACTAACTAGTTAACCAGTTAACAGAGTCACGTGAATTATTTATGTCTGATAACCTTTAGTTAGATAGTGGGTTTAAAAGAATTTAAAAAGCATCAGGAGAATCAAAGTGTTACAAAGTGAGATGCTTTCATTTTGCTAAATATAGTGTGATAGATATAATATTAGAGAAGGCATAGATAGAGTATGGATAGTGATAGTAGTCAAGGCAGATGCACAAAACGCATCTAGGTAGCATTATGATAATCTAACTATCAATCTTTGGGAATCACTCCAAGAACACCATCATAACAATGCCAAATTATTAAACCGCCCAGTCCACCGTTGCGCCAAAGAAATCGAGTCATAGATGGAGTAGTTATACATGGATAACAAGCAGGCATGCAGCATACTTAACCATTTTATGCCGTCCAAAAGCTAATTTTTTTCTTTCCTAATTCCAAACAAGAGCGGGTTGCAAACTACCTCATTCCACCCTGGAGCAGTTGCTGTCTCAATACCATGATTTGATTGCGTTCTGTGGGCGGGAGAGCATCAATCGCTGCCTGGGGCATGTTGAGTACTTGCTGTAGTAACTCTTCTTGACCAGGAACCTGTGCTACCGGCGGGGGTGCCTGTTGCTGAGGTGCAGCTTGTGGTGGTGGTGGAGCAAATGGGGTAGCGTGTAGAGGAGGTGTTGCTACCTGGCCAGGAGCCGGGGGGTATGGTTGGTACTTCTGCTGCATCTGAGGTGGTGCTTGTTGGGCCGCTTGGGCTTGGGATGCTTGGTCTACAACCGAGCCTAGCGTGTTGTAGTCAACTAAATTCATGAGAAGAAGTGCTTGGAATATGGCATATGCAAGTTGAGGAGCTTGTCTCAGTAGTTCTGTTGCACGAGCAGGGTCTGCCATAACTAGTGATTTCATCTGAGAGAGAACGTCTAGAAGTTGAGGGGCTGGAAGCGAGGATAATGTCTGTGATATGGCGTTGGGACATGTCAGGTTTGGAGGCAGATCGGCCCCGGGGGGTAGAGCTGGTAGCAGAGGGGCTTGTGAGCTCTGTCCATCTTGCCCGGCACCGCTCGACACGCCCGGCTGTGATTGTTGTGAATAATCCGGCGGCACCGAGTCTTTCTCATTGTTGTGAGGCCAGTCAACTCGGATCTTCCGTCCCATAACTTCGTAATCGTTCAAGTTGCGAATGGCAGAAGCAGCTGCATCTGCGTCTGCGAAATCTGCAAACCCATATCCCTTCGGCTTTCCCGTCTCAGGATTTATCATGAGCCGGAATTTCGTCACTGTCCCTGCAGAGCTGAGTATATCTTTCACTTGTTCCTCCGTGAGATCTAAGATATCAAACTAGTCAGCACAAGATGCTTGAAGCAGCGAGGGAAGAAAAAAAAGGTGAAGGAGAGCTTGATACATACTGTATGGGATATTCCCGAGGAACACGCTCTTTCCCGACCTTTCTGGAGCCATCTTCTCGTCTTTCTGCAGTGTGCCAGTCCAGTAGAGCCTTCAAATCAGCAGTTTTCTAGTGTCCGGCAGCGTTGTCTTGTCGACGTTGTTTTGCTTGCGTCGCGCCGAAGTTCGAGTTGGTCGTCTGTCCAAGCTTCCCTAATCGGGACTAGCGCGGTGTCGCTGCTAGTTAACTAAACTAAACTTCTTCACTTTCTCCAGACGCTGAAAGCAAAGACGACGAAGACGATCAAAGACCGATTGATTGAAAGGAAACACAGCAACGTCTGTCGCGCTTTTTATTAGACACCATGGGAGACCCTCGCGAGACCTGGCAGAAGCTGCAGAACGCCATCCAGCAGCAGGGACGGAGAGGGTTCGGTGCTGGCGGTGGATTCCCGGCCGGCGGAAAAGCCTTCGGTGGTGTTGGTGTCCTGATTGCGCTGGGACTTGGAGGCTATGTGCTTTCGAACTCTCTATTTAACGGTATGTGCCGTCGATTGAGTAGTATTCTGTGGAATCCTGGCTGATTGTGGTATGTGGTGCAGTTGACGGTGGTCACCGAGCAATCAAATACACAAGAATAGGCGGTGTTAAAAAAGAGATATACAACGAAGGTAAGGCAGCTCCGGTCTCTTCAATTTGAGCTACCTACAAACTAACTTGCTACCAGGAACACATTTCCAAATCCCTTGGTTTGAAACTCCTATAATCTACGATGTCCGAGCGAAGCCACGCAATGTTGCATCTCTTACTGGCACCAAGGACCTTCAGATGGTCAACATAACCTGCCGTGTACTATCACGACCGCGAGTTGAGGCTCTTCCACAGATCTACCGTACCCTTGGAACAGACTTTGATGAGAGAGTCCTTCCATCCATTGTCAACGAGGTTTTGAAGAGTGTGGTTGCTCAATTCAATGCTAGCCAGCTTATCACACAGCGAGAGAGTGTTGCTCGTCTTGTACGAGAGAACTTGGCTAGACGTGCTGCACGCTTCAACATAATGCTTGATGATGTTTCTCTAACGGTATGACTTCTTGGAGCTGTGTCTTTATCTCCTTTCGTTTTCTCTTGCGTTATTTGCGTTATTTGGTTATGCTAAACGTTGCTCTAGCATCTTGCCTTCTCTCCCGAGTTCACAGCTGCCGTTGAAGCCAAACAAGTTGCCCAGCAAGAAGCCCAGAGAGCCGCTTTCATCGTCGACAAGGCCCGCCAGGAGAAACAAGCCACCGTCGTCAGAGCACAGGGTGAGGCCCGATCAGCCCAGCTTATCGGAGATGCCATCAAGAAGAGCAAGAGTTACGTTGAGCTACGGAAGATCGAGAATGCTAGAAATATTGCCCACATCCTCCAGGAAGCCGGTGGAAAGAATAAAATGTACCTTGATTCCGAAGGTCTGGGTCTAAATGTTACCGCTCACGGAGATTCGTCTGATTAAGTTCTTGAGCATGGCATGGTCTCCTAAACCTCTGCATAGCTGGGCTGCGGCGTTCACCAGAGGTAAGGGGGGAGGTTTGGTTCCGTTCGAAGCTTGTGTATAACTACCTGTACCACTTTATTCTACTCTACTATATGTTCAAAATCTCCTCAATCTCCTGTACGAATGCTAAAGACATGCTTCGGTCAAGATAGCCTTGTCCGCGTCTGTGGAATAATTTAATCAACGAGAAACGCGTTATCAGCACCATATAAGGAAGTAAATTCAACATAGGCTGATTGTTGGATAACTACTCATTTTTCCGGCATGTTTAGCAGCCAGCCAAATTCTTACTCCTGATCGATGCCTGGAGTTCTTAGCAATTAACCACACTCATGACCACATAAAAACAACCAGGCTATCCATTTACTGCTGACAATGCAACTTGCTTCTCCCATATAGTCAACGATAAAGAATTCTTGGGTTACTTATTTAAGCAGCCGGATTCTTTTTAAATATTGAGGTTGTTGGATTGCTAGTCGTATCCCACCAAGTGGTGTTATACCGCAGCCTTGCATCAACACAAGCATTTGACAGTGATACCCATGTCCTAATATCTAGCCTAGGAGACATAAATACGGGAAGATGCTCCAGGTTTTCTACACCTCTAACCAAACCGCCGTTTGGCCAACGTGGATACTCTGGCTTATCCTGTCGACACCCGGGGTGCCGTCCATTCACCATGGCAGATATAGCTGGACTTGTTCTTGGAGTAGCGGCGCTATGGAAAACAAGTGTTGAAATTTTTGACGTTATTGATTCTAGTAAAAAATATGGACTTGACTACGAAGTTCTTCGAGTGAAGCTAGAAGTTGAAAGGCTTCGTCTTCTAGCTTGGGGAGAGTCCGTGGGACTCAATTCTGTCAACGGGAGATGGACAAGCGTACACATTCAGTTGCGACAGGAGTCCACCAGGAAGACCGTCCTCGAGTTGCTCGGCGCGATTCAGCACTGTTTTGAGGAGTTGTCTCGGTTTCAGGAGAGATATGGGCTTCGGCCAGCGCCAGCAAAACACGACGATACGGTGACTCTAGATTCGCCAAACAAATCTGGACACCCATTTGAGTTCCTTTTTAAGAAGGCATATCAAAATCTTCGGCTCACTGCCGATGAGCGCCAGATACGTGCAACGATGATTAAAAAGGCAACTTGGGCAATCCATGACAAGAAGAAGTTCCAGACGATGGTGACAATGATCAAAGGATTCAATGACAGCCTGACAAGCCTGTTTCCAGGGGTTGAATATAAGACGATAGCATTTATAAACAAGGAGATAAATCAAATCAATGATGCTCCTCCGCTGAAGTTGCTGCGAGAAGCAACAACAGTTGACTATGAGGATATCTCTGAGACAGCAAGCATTCGGTTGGATACTCTGGAAACAAATTCTTTGGCAGGGGAGACTATCAAAGGACATCGAGACGTTATTAAAGACCGTAATCGAGGGGGGCTAATTATAACAATGATGTCTGGTTCTCATTTTGGCGATATCTTTACATTGGTTTTCTGGAGCGGTACAAGGTATAGCTATAGAGATGCTGAATCAAAGAGCTTTGCGAAAAGCATCCACCCTTCCTTCGGTGAGCTTACAACATTCTACTATTCTTTGGAGAGGATTCTAACTAACCTACGGCCAGATTTATATCGAAGTAAGCGATTTATTATGAAGAGAGGCTCTGATCCAGACAACTATGGTACTCAGGAGGACTACGTTCAATTTGATGTTGAAGGCGACCCTAGATATGAGCATGCCTCTCCTGGCACGGTTACAGTTGATGGTCTAGCCTTGGAAGCTCAAGATTACGAAGGAAAAAGCTATGAATCTAGTGAAGAAGCCGGTGCCACCCATTCGCGGAACGTATGCCTAGTACCGTCCTGGAAGCTCATGGATCATATCTTGCATTTACAAGGTGCTACCCCAAATTTAAATGAGCCTGCTAAGTTTGAGATGGGAGTTGAAGAGCTTTTTGATAACTCAGAGTGAGCCACGAGTTCCATCCCCGGATAAACAAACTATCTCATGAGTATAAATGTTTATTACTAGCAGTTACTTACCCCTCTGTGTTTACCTTAGATATTCCAAAGAGGAACTCGACGACCCTATCAGGACCATATTATACCTATATACCCATTTAAATGATACCAAATCTCTTACGGACTTCACCTTGCACTCGGGAGTTTTCCAGATAGGCATTCCTTTAAAGGATTTCCTTTACCAAATTGTTCTTACGAACAAGCTTGCGAAGGAATTGAGTAATAACTCAAGTGCGCCGGTAAGCGGATTAACTCCCCGTGTACTAGCTTCTCTCATTGTCCAGGATCAATGGCTCGCCAACGTACACCTGTTCAGGGGTCCATGTTCTGGTAGTAGAGAGGCCGCAAATTCACGGCCTGGAGAAGAATATGGATCGGAGATATCCTCTACCACTCTAGTGGGGGATGAGCATTACGCAGAGGTTAAAACAGCTTCTTCTATATTCGCGGGAACTATACCTATACCTAGCCATGGACTAATCAACAGTGGTTTATCCCATTCCAGTAACTACGATATTAAACAAGAGTATTTTCACGCTGACTCTAAGGTCATTGACCAGCAGTTGAGTGGCCTCCTTGCGTTTGCAGAACATCTGGAATGGGAGTACCTGGACGAAACTAAGGAATTTGCGGAGCAAGCTTCCTGGGGCTATAAGAGCTTCTTCCGAGTATCAGGTCTTGTCACTGATTGGTCTTATGGCCTCACACTCCCTGGAAAATGGATGTCCTTCAAGATCATGGCTACTCTAATTTATTCTTCTCCATCTACCCGTCAACTTGGTCCTGCTCAAGATTATGATGACGGGGTATCACTACCTACTAAATCATATTTCCGACTTCGGACCGTGATGGGAAGAGTTCTTGGCTGCCACCCAGATTGCAAGTCTGTCTGCGGCTGGATAGGTCCTTGCCCGCCTATTAATTTTATATTGTCACGGCCAGCTTCAGCAAGTGTGGAGCCCAAGTATATCCGTGTCAAAGCCGAAAAGGTGCCTCCATTGCGATATCCGCCCCGGACATCTGGGCATGCAATAGACCAAACATACTACCACTACCAGTTCAAATCTATGGGGCAACAGGCAGATGAAGTGACCTCCGAGTACATCAAGTCCATCCATGATCCAAACCAATGGATAGCACCTCAGCCTCCTCTCCAACAGTCCTCAGTGATTTGCATGAAATCTATAAACCTTGAGCCTTTGCACCCAGAAGATATGGGGCAAGGGATTGTTGAACACACGGGGTACTGTAAAAACCTTGAATATCAAGCGAGCATAACCTTTGAGACAGACGACAGCTTGTTGACTTACACGCTCCTAACAAATCCCATATTTATCTCCCTTCCGGCATGCAAACTAGTGCCACATGGAGAGCAACATCAAGTCCATTTTAGGGAGCTACATCGGTTCTCTCGACAACATGTTTATAATGTGACGAGATTGAAGGGGTACACAAGCACCTTCTCTGAAGACGATGCTAAGAACGTAATGGTCATCAATGCAACAGGTACCGGAGATGCTGAAATGCTTGCGAGAGCATGGTGTGCGGAGAGAGGAAAGAATGCAGTTATTAGGAGGCCTGGAGGCCCTTGTTATACTTGCGCTGTGCGGGCAGCGAGTAAGGGGGCCCTGGGAACGGGGGTCTTAATATGGGTTTCTTAATTATCTCATGCACTATCTGTGAAATAGCCGGGTGGAGAGGTTATATTTTATTACCAGCGTATCATGAATCCGATATCAGATCTATAAAAATTTTGTGAAGTTGAAAAACTTGTAACTAGTCTTGATGTCAAACGCTTTTTTTTTCGGTTTAAGATCGCCAAGTGGTGGAAAGAAAATCCAAAGTTTGATTCAACAACCGAAAAATCTACACCACAGCATCAATTCCAGCCTGTCTTATGGTTATATAGATATTCAAACATGGAAGATCCAAATGATGCAGCCATTGGCTCTATCGATGTCGACCTTGATACCCAGGAGATACTACTAGCTGCATCGCAGCACGATGTTGCAAAACTGCGCGAGTTGATTCGCAACAATGCAAAGGAAGAGAACCCCGCCAACGCGAAAGACCCAGAGACAGGGTATACACCATTGCATGCAGCCATAGCAGCATGCGAGCCCGAAAAGACCAATGTTACGAATGGAGATGCCGCTGAGCATACTACAAGTGAGCAGGAGACGATAGATGGCGGGGTAAAGACCGTGAAATTCTTACTTCTGGAGGGGGCTATATGGAATGATCTGGACGCCAATGATGAGACACCCGGATGTATGGCTAGAAGGCTTGGCCTTACGGAGCTATACCAGCTGATGGTTGACGCTGGAGTGCGTGCAGAACTGCTATTAAACCGGCTGGAAGGATATGAGCCGTTGGAAGACGAAGAGGAAGAAACCGAGGCTACGGAAGAGAAAGACACGAAGAATGATGTTGCTGAAGGCGAAAAACTGGCCGAAAACGCCGAGGCCGCGGCTGGGGAAGAGGGTGTTCAAGACCCAAGTGTTAGCAATGAGCATTACCTAAGTTCCGGATTGACATTCCAGGAGAATAGGTTGTTGGATGGAGACAAGAACGGAGTGATGATGGCGTGGGAAACTGGTATAATGGAGAAGTCGGCTAAGGCATTGCTCTCTACACCGGGTCTTAGGGTGTTGAATGTCGGACATGGCATGGGAATCGTTGACGGAATTCTACAGAGCCTGAAACCGAATGTTCACCACATCATCGAAGCACATCCAGCTGTGGTAGCGGACATGAAGAGCAAGGGATGGCATGAAAAGGACGGAGTGACCATCCACGAAGGCAGATGGCAAGATATCTTACCCAAACTTGCCGCTGAAGGGGTTATTTTTGATGCCATCTACTATGACACTTTTGCCGAGTCGTACTCAGATTTCCGTGACTTTGCATCAGAACACGTAATAGCATTGCTCGAACCTGAAGGAAGATGGAGTTTCTTCAATGGAATGGGAGCCGATAGACAGATCAGCTACGACGTGTACCAGAAGGTGGTAGAGATGGACCTGATGGAGGCTGGATTTGACATCGACTGGACAGACATCGCAGTGCCTTCGCTCGACGGCGAGTGGGAGGGCGTCAGGAGGAAGTACTGGGTTATTGAAAACTACAGGCTGCCGTTGTGTAAATATTCTGAGTAAATCCTCATCTAGCATATAGATATTGCTTGCTCCCTCGATCGCCTTACTAGCCTAGCCGACCAACTGCTCAAAATCAACTGGTCGGTCCTCCTTCACATCAAGTCAGCCCGGCTAGCTCAATCGGTAGAGCGTGTGACTCTTATACTCTTATAACAAGTTTATACTAGTTCGCCATCACAAGGCTGCGGGTTCGAGCCCCGCGTTGGGCTTTCTTTTTTGCTCTTTTTTTATCATTATCACTCTTACCTACTTTTATGGTGCGAATTTGGAGTTGCTTATTTTTGATTCTTATTTATAATACAAGTAATTCATATATATTTCTGTTTTTATTTGTCTTCTCTGTGCTATTAATTATCCGCTCTTCTGGTCTTTTGAGCTATGACTTTTGTGTGCGTCTATTGGCGCGCTTACATAATAAAATCACTTAACGCGCTTCGCGTCCCAAAGAAAGAAGCGCGACGATTTCGCATCAAACAAAATCTTTTGAACATCCAGCTGTTCTTCACCAGTCAAAGCAACAACTTCTTCATGACTGGAATGACTTCACGTTGAACGCCCTTTGCTGTGATTATAATCGATCATGTCTACGCCTTCGTCGTCACGCCGCCGTGGACGTCCATCACGGGCGTCTGCTAACTCTACTCCCTCCAGGGGCACTGCGCAACCGCAGGTGGTTATCTCCAGCCCCGCCCCTTCTCGCCAGTCTCAGAACAACCTAGACCAGACTACAACGCCTCGAACAAGGAGAATAGTTGACAATGGAGTCCCTTCTTCGTCGCCAATCTTTTTTCAGTCATCGCCAGCGGGCCCGGGGGCCGCTGCCAATGCGCTGCCAGATCGAAGCTCACCGATGCCCTCGTCTCCTTTAGGTGATCGTGAGACAACTCCACGGCCTACTCGCCCGTTAGTTGAAGGTGTGTTTTACGACTTCCCTGAAGTATCAAGTGGCAGCACTAATTCCCGTATAGACTCTTCGCCCATAAGATATATGCCTAGTTCTAGTCCAGGACGTCCAGCGAACAGCCAAACCCGGCGGAATGATATACCTACCAGTAGCAGTGGCTTGTTCCTTCGTTCTCCCAACCCTAATGGTATTTCCACTCGAAGAGGCGATATCCATTCGGATGCCTTCTCCACCGCTGGTTCTGGACGCAGGACGCTCTTTGTGGATGAGAGTGGTATGCCAGTCCGTAACGGCGAGCCGCCATCTGATGCTACGTTCTCCAATCTCAACCCCGATACATCCGAGGCGGAGGCTCTAGGAGGTAACTCTACACGAATAATATGGGGTACCAATATCTCTATCCAAGATGCAATGGCATCGTTCAAAAACTTTCTCTACAATTTTGCCAGGAAACATCGTATGGCCTATGACGGTGCTTCTGAAGCCGAGATCCATGCATTGGGCCCGTCCGCTGATGAGAAAGAATACATCAAGATGTTGAACGAAATGCGACAGCTTGGTGTGACTGGTCTCAACCTTGATATCCGAAACCTAAAAGCTTTTCCACCTACCGTCAAACTCTGGCATCAAGTTCAAGCTTACCCTCAGGAAATTATCCCAATCATGGATCAGTGTACCAAGGATGTCATGATTGGGCTAGCTGAGAAGGAGGTAGAGCTAGCTCGACAAAGCAGCCAGCGAAGGCCGGGGCCAGCTACAAGAGACGTTAGCTCTGCTCCTGCGTTTCCCACCTCAGACGCTGATGCAACCGTTGATACCCCCGCTCAGCAGGATACATCTAATATTCTCGCGGACGTTGAAAGTAGGACATATAAAGTCCTTCCATTCGGCATGGACAAGTCTATAAACATGAGAGATTTGGATCCAGGCGGTATGTTTTAAACCCCTTTGCAGGCAATTTTTTTTTTTTTTTTACATCCTTATCTAACGATCCGTAGACCTTGACAAACTTATAAGTGTTAAGGGTCTCGTCATTCGAGCAACGCCCATCATCCCTGATATGAAAGAAGGTATATATCATTCAATCTACTCACTGAAAATCTCCAATACTAAGAATATTTGCAGCATTTTTCCGATGCGATGTATGTTTCCATTGTGTCAGGGTCGACATTGATCGTGGAAAGATTGCCGAACCTACACGCTGTCCACGAGAGTTGTGTGACACACAGAACTCAATGCAGCTGATCCACAACCGCTGCACATTTGCCGATAAACAAATTATCCGTCTTCAAGAAACACCAGACTCTATTCCTGATGGTCAAACGCCCCATTCAGTATCACTTTGCGGGTATGATGAGTTGGTCGACGTATGCCGGGCTGGTGACAGAATAGAAGTTACCGGTATCTTCCGATCCAACCCAGTTCGAGTCAACCCGCGACAACGAAGCACAAAGGCGCTTTTCAAGACCTACGTTGATGTCTTGCATGTTCAGAAGATAGACAAGAAGAAGCTCGGAATTGATGCGTCAACGGTGGAGCAGGAACTCTCAGAACAAGTTGCTGGAGAAGTTGACCAAGTGCGGAAGATTTCACAGAAAGAAGAAGATAAAATCAAGGAAACCGCAGCTCGCCCAGACGTGTATGAGCTGCTGGCTCGATCACTGGCTCCCAGCATTTATGAGATGGAGGATGTCAAGAAAGGCATTCTCCTGCAACTCTTTGGGGGAACAAACAAGACTTTCCAGAAGGGTGGAAATCCCAGGTATCGAGGAGATATCAACGTTTTGCTCTGTGGAGATCCCTCAACATCGAAGTCACAGCTGCTGAAGTATGTGCATAAAATTGCACCTCGAGGAATATACACTAGCGGCAAAGGCTCCTCGGCAGTCGGTTTAACAGCATACGTGACTCGAGATCCAGAGTCTAAGCAACTGGTGTTAGAGTCTGGCGCACTGGTTCTTTCAGATGGAGGCGTTTGTTGTATCGATGAATTCGATAAAATGAACGACGCTACCAGATCGGTTCTTCACGAAGTTATGGAACAACAGACAGTATCGATCGCGAAGGCTGGCATAATCACCACCTTGAATGCAAGAACCAGCATTCTTGCCTCAGCCAATCCAATTGGAAGCAAATACAACCCCAACCTTTCCGTACCCCAGAATATCGACTTACCCCCCACTCTCCTTTCCCGATTCGACTTGGTGTACCTTGTCCTTGACCGCGTGGACGAGCAGAATGATCGCCGCCTGGCAAAGCATATGGTAGGGATGTACCTGGAAGATGCGCCTGAGACGGGCTCTTCTGAGGAGATCTTGGTAAGACTCGGCCGTTCCGTATTCTGAAAAATGAAACAGTACTAATTTAGTTACAAGCCCATTGAATTCCTTACCAGCTACATCACGTATGCAAAGACGCGTATTTCGCCCAAACTCACTCCAGCTGCAGGAGCGGCGCTTACGGATGCATATGTTGCCATGCGTAAGCTAGGAGATGATATCCGAGCAGCAGAGCGCCGCATCACCGCCACTACACGTCAACTGGAGTCAATGATTCGTCTTTCTGAAGCTCATGCGCGTATGAGGCTCTCTGAAGAAGTTACAGCGGGCGATGTGGAGGAGGCGGTCAGACTGATCCGATCTGCCTTGAAGCAAGCTGCCACAGATGCGCGCACAGGACTGATCGATATGAGCTTACTGACAGAGGGCACAACTGCACGAGAACGCAGATTACGAGATGACATGAAAAAGGCCATCCTGTCAATTGTAGACGAGCTTGGCGGACGCGCTATAGGGGCTCGGTGGGCTGATGTGCTGAGGAAGCTGAACGACAGCTCCGTTGCTGTTGAGGGAGCCGAATTTACAGAGGTTGTCAAGTCGCTGGAGACCGAAGGCCTGGTCAATGTTGTTGGCGAGGGTGCCAGGAGGAGCATCCGCCGTGTGTTGGGGACTGTCTAGATCATAGAGCAGATCATATATCTTCCTTCTGGTGCCGCCGCTCTACCAGTAACTAAACAACGCCAGTACCCATTATATCTGCCAAACCCCGTGTATATACAACAAGGCAGGAGTAAATAGGCGCCCTAGTCTAGATGCTTACTAATCCTTGACGTCAAGTTAGAGTCGGATAAACTATGTGCCCGTGCCCACAGGGCGGCAACCTTGTATACACGTGACCGCAGCTCTTATCCCGATTGGTGGATATCACCTGACCCGCTTATCGCAGAAACTTCTTTTGCTTCTTCTGCGGTTTCGATTCGCCTGCAATTCCTCGTCTGGTGGCGACAGCCGGCGGTGGGGATTTTCACCTGCGAGGAGCTAAGCTCAGCTTGGTGCAATCAACCAAGCGCAAGGTATCCTAGTGTTAACGTGCAGGCGACTGATTCTCTCTGCCCCGAGAACTTCTCTCCTCCTCCTCCTCTTCGCTGCCCTGCATTCGTCGAGCCTTGCAAGTCCAAAGTCCGGACACTCGATTCTGGAGAGCTCGCGGCCGTCAATTGGAAGCTAACGATGAGGTACGTCGCTTGGTGCCTTCCTCCTATCCCTGTATTTTAACGTTTCTTTCTCCCCAGCCGTCGCTCGGTGCTTGTTTTCCTGGTGGACGCTGGACGAAGAGATTTAAGTAGCTGATGATATCTGTTTTTCCCCTTCTTTCTTGCTATAGGTTCGGGCAGCAGCTGCGTTCGTCGCTTATCAAGGAGTACGCCTGGCATTACATTGCCTATGAGGACCTGAAGGATGCGTTGAAGACGTCATTTGAGACTGAACCGACGCCCGAAAACCCTTCGCCAAAACGCAAGCCATGGACCGAAGAGGACGAGAGGCGGTTCGTCGCTCTGCTGGAGAGCGAGCTCGACAAGGTCTTTACCTTTCAGAAGGTGAAGAGCGATGAGATCGTTCGACGCATCAAGGCTAGCGATAAAGAAGTGAACGAGGTGGTTGGGCGACTTGACCGGTCGACTGCTGCCGGCGGTTCGGTGAGAAACCGCCAGCCTCCTCCCTCCGACGAGGACTTTTTGCTGCTCGAGGAAGACCTGAGTGATGTTATTGCAGATGTCCACGACCTTGCAAAGTACACGCAGCTGAACTACACCGGTTTCCAGAAGATCATCAAAAAGCACGATGTAAGTGTTCCTTTTTCCCAATGGGGTATGTTTTCCCTCTTTGCTGATCAATGGGCCCAACGCCGAATTAGAAACAAACCAGTTGGTGCCTCCGACCAGTTTTTGCTACTCGATTGAGAGCAAAGCCATTCTTCAAGGACAACTACGATGCATTCGTTGTCAAACTGTCTAAGCTGTATGATCTTGTCAGGACAAAGGGCCATCCTGTGGAGGGAGATAGCGCTGCCGGAGGGTCGCAGCAGAACTTCGTTCGACAAACCACCAAGTACTGGGTCCATCCCGACAACATTACTGAGCTCAAGCTTATAATCTTGAAGCATCTGCCCGTCCTTGTGTTCAATGCTTCAAAGGAATTTGAGGAAAGCGATGCAGCCATCTCTTCGATATACTACGACAATCCCGAGACCTGGGAACTGTATACTGGGCGATTGAAGAAGAGTGAAGGAGCTGAAGCTATTCGTCTCAGATGGTATGGCGGCATGGAGAACGACCAAATTTTCGTTGAGCGTCACCCCCCATCGCGAGGATTGGACCGGAGAGAAGTCCGTCAAGGCTCGGTTCCTATCAAAGAAAAGTACGTCAATGCCTACTTAGAAGGACGTATGACTGTGGAATCGATCTTTGAAAAGGCACGCAAGGAAGGAAAGAAGAGCGAAAAGCAGATCGCGGACTGGGAGCAGCTAGCTCGAGAAATCCAGTACCGTGTTATCACCCGGCAACTCGTTCCCGTGAACAGATCGTTCTACCATCGAACCGCCTTCCAGCTTCCTGGCGATGCCAGAGTTCGTGTCTCTCTAGATACGGAACTCACCATGATCCGAGAGGACAATCTTGATGGCCGCCAACGCTGCGGCCAGAATTGGCGCCGAATGGATATTGGAATCGACTATCCATTCAAACAGCTACCCGCTGCCGATATTGAGCGCTTCCCTTACGCCGTTCTTGAAGTCAAGCTCCAGACCCAGGCAGGCCAAGAACCCCCACAGTGGATTAAAGAGCTTACTTCAAGCCATTTAGTCGAGGCTGTGCCGAAGTTCAGTAAATTCATTCATGGAACCGCAACGCTCATGCCGGAGCGTATCAACCTGCTGCCCTTCTGGATGCCCCAGATGGATGTTGATATTCGCAAGCCTGTCACTCCAGGATTTGGTATCGAACGCCCCGTGCAATCTAACCAGTCCACTAGCGATGACATGCTAGAGGATGATGATTCTGATGATGAAGGTGGAATCCGAGTAGATGGTACAAACGGAACCACTCAGGCAAATGGCGCTGCTGGAAACGGTATGCAATACCATGACAGTCAAACGAACGAGGCCAATGGATATGCTGCGAATGAAACCCATGACATGGTTGCTCCTGGTAACCTCCTTGATATCGAGGAGCGCATTGCTGCTGACGGCCTCCTTGGCGGCAATGACTACCCACTATATGATTCTGAGGACGAGTCTAATGCCCAAGACGAGTTGGAGGAGGCTAGACAGGTTGGTGGCTTACAGTACTACTACAAGCTTGCCAAGTATCACCTCAAGTCTGCTGGCCGCAACACCATCTACTACTTGGGCTATATCCGTCCGTTCCCCCAACCTACTGAGCTGCCCGAAGGTGCTGGTGGTGGCCGCAACCGCCGTATCCTAGGAGATGACATACAGGTCAAGAGGTTTAAAGCCCCCAAAGGAAAGAGTAAGTTAATTCGAGCTATTCCATTCACTTGTTTCATTACTAATGCCATTCCAGGAATCCATGTACCAGTCCGAGTTGAGCCGAAGGTGTTCTTTGCCGTTGAACGTACGTTCCTCTCATGGCTCGAATTCTCTCTCTGGGTCAGCGGTATTGCTATCACGCTTCTAAATTTCGGACACGATAATATCACCATCATCACTGCTTGGGCGTTCACCGTTATGGCTTGTCTATTGCTTGTCTACAGCTTCCTGCTCTACATGTGGCGAGTTGATAAGATCCGCAAACAACGAGACGTCAAGAGCGTGTACCATGAGAAATGGGGCCCAACCATCCTCTGTCTCGGCGTGGTCGTCTCGGTCATCATCAACTTCTCCTTAAGAGCCAAAGCCGGCGGACTGTTCGGGCCTGGTGGAAGTACTAATAATACCGGTACGTTGGTGATTGCTAGTAGTAAGTAGTGGCTTTGCCAATGACTCCAGCGAAAAACCCTCTGGCACGGCTATCCCAATACCTATCTATATAAACGCTATATGATGGATGATGATATATGGCTCATATACGCTCACTTCCGCCATGCGAATATACTGGAAAAGCACTACCTCTTTCTGTATCCATACATTTATGTACATGTTTGTTCTGTACTCCCTTTTTTATTGGATTTGATACCTGTTTTCTATATTTCCTGACTTCTGCGCTTGCTATACATGTCTGTGGTTTTGTTTGACAATGTCCTATTTATCACTGGCGTTGATAGCGTTTTTTTCATAGCAAGTTAAAATAAAACATCGTCTTTTCTACCACTTTTCCAATGATATATACCATAATGACTTTTCATTGAGAGGGAAAACTAGATGGTAAAGTGTACAGTAAGATTCAAGGTATAAAAAGAGCTATCTAGAAAGTTCTACCTCCTTTTAATGCTAACGTCAATGTTACCCAGGACCCATGCAGCAGTGAAGACCGCAAGCACAGCGCCGAAAATGCTCAATGGCTTTCTGAAAGCAGCGAAGAAAGGGTAGTCGTATGTTACCTAATTGCCATGTTTAGTTTAGTTTAGATATGCAAGGATAAGAGTATGGCGAGATGGGTGTACGTACGATGATAAATCCATCCTTAGCTTCATCTCCAACCTTGGTAGTGGAGAGGTTCAGGACAGTTCTCCCCTTGGTATCTAAAAAGGTCTTGTGGAATGAAATCTCAGAACGGATATGGTTGGGAATGCCCAATCCGTCAACGATCTCATACTTGACATTCTCAGCTCCCTCGGGCAGGATGATGCGGATTTCGACGTCTTGGTACTGAACGCCCTCAGGGATCTTTGGGCCGTCGATAAACGGCACTTTGAGCACGTAGGACTCGCCAGAACCGTTTTTCTGTTTGCGCAAAACGCTGGAGAGCGGGTTGTTCCAGCCAATCTTGAAGCTGTACTTCCAGTCACCGAAGATGGGGTAGCGAGGGCGTAAGTCCAAGAGGCCGAAACGTGTTTGCGTGGACGGCAGGAATCGGCTGGTTGAGACGTTGCCGATGTCGTCGATGAAGTAAGGGTCAACGGACCCCGGAGCAAGGGGTACTCTAATCAAGTTCAAGGCCACACTCTGGGCGTTTTGGAACTGTTTCTTAGTCCATTCGACTCGGGAAAACTGCTTGGTCAATTTGGCGGCATCATTTCTGAACCAGAACCGGTCCTCGGTGGCCATATTACCGCCCCAATGGGATATCTCAATATCACGCTCGAGACGGGTGCAGGTCACTATTGATCTAGTATGCTCGTAGCGGACGGTGACGGGTGCACTGCTGCCCGGCTTGACTTCCATATCGTACGGGCCATAGGTAAAGGTGCTGCCCTCACGCTTGGGGTCCTCCTCGGATTTGAGAGTAGTAGGCTGGGTGTAGTCCGGGACATCTGTGACACGGAACTTGATGGTTGTCTTCTGCTTGCTGGTGGTGTAGGCGGACGGAGCGAACTGTGGGAAGGTATACGAGAGATATTGCTTGCCATCCTGCTCAATGGCAGCCGGGACAGGAGTGAGAGCAGATTGCAGATGGTATGAAAGCGTTATGGTCAGCTTTGCAGCGGGTTCGAGGGGTTGATGGAGGTGTACGATGAAGTATTGATGCGAGCTATACACGCACACACACACACACACACTGTCAGCACGATCTTTCTTCCCCTACGCTTCTTGGACAGGACTCACCTTGACGGGATCTGCTGTGTCGACGTGACTCTGAACTTCTTCTTCTCTGCTGCGTCCTTCGGCCAGCCCTCGAGGCCGCCAACTTTGCTGCTGGTGTCTGTGGGAAAGGCCACATAGTACTCTGACTGCGGCTGGCGGCCGACATTCTCGACCACAACGTTGATCGACTCCCGCACATAGCTCTTCTCCAGGTTGATTATGCGCACGAGATTGGTATTCTGGAAGACCTGCGGCGGCCTGAAGTTCTTCGGTAGGACCTGGACGGCGGGCTCTGTAGCTGTGGTGTTTGCGGCCGTCGCAGCGAGGGCGCCGCACGAGAGCAGCAGCGCGGCGAGCAGCTTCATGGCGGCGACTGTGAGCGTCCAACGGCCACCCGAGGCCTGCCACTGTCAAGCAAATACGGTAGGATGCTGAGTCGACGTCGCCGTCGTTGTCGTTGTCGTTGATGCTGGGTGTTGTAGATATCAATCACCAACCTAACTAGCTCGTTGTTACTAGCTGGCAAGACGACACTAAGCTCGTTAAGCTGGCTGCGGCGCCGGGCAAACTCCGGTCGAAACAGCAACAACCGAACGACCAGGGACGAGGACGGGCGGAGATCAGTATAAAAGGGACGGCGATGCTGCGGGAAGTGCGCAGACGAGAAGAAAAGGATCTCTGATATGGTCACCGGCTGGCCGTCTCGCTGCTCTACTACTCTGCCTCTGCCTCTGCCTCTGCCATGACTACGTCCGTCTTGCGCGCCAGAAGGGCGTTCGCCAGCAGCTTTCTCAGAGCGCCGGCATGGAAGGGAGCTCGTCAGTACAGCCGGCCGGCGCTGGCGGGCTTGGACAGGTTCCTGAGGGTGTCTGAGGAGGTTCAGGATGCCATTGCTACGGGGAAGCCTGTCGTTGCGCTGGAGACTACTATCTACACTCACGGTACGGAGCATGACGATGAGAAGCCCATTCCAAGAGGAGAGATTATACTGACTGAAGGCTGCAGGATTCCCGTACCCTGATAATGTGGACCTGGCCATGCGTCTTGAGTCCATCGTGCGGTCGACGGGCGGCGTGCCAGCTACGATCGGGGTCATCGACGGCGTTGCGCGCGTCGGGATGAACGAGACAGAGCTGACGGAGCTCGCGTCCACCCCGCAAAGGACAAAAGTGCACAAGGTATCCCGCCGGGACCTTGGATATATTTGTGGAGCTGTAAGAGAAGCCTCTGTGCACGGCGGCTGCGGACTAGTGCTGACGCTGACCTTTGCTCTAGGGGATTCGGGGGAACCTGATGAACGGCGGAACTACGATTGCTGGAACGATGATTCTGGCCCATCTGGCGGGAATCAAAGTTTTTGCTACCGGAGGTCTAGGTAGGTCATCCTATTTGACTATCCATATATGCTGTTGCGGTTTGTGTTTAATAATATTATTATGATTGCAGGCGGCGTACACCGTGGAGGAGAGACCACCATGGATATCTCAGGTGAGAGATCCTCTCAAAGTATAGGAAAGCAAGGTTGATAAAATGCTGACATTGCACCAGCCGACCTCACTGAACTTGGTCGTACACCCGTGGCTGTTGTCAGCTCTGGCTGTAAGAGCTTCTTGGACATCCAGCGGACTCTAGAATATCTAGAAACCGAAGGCGTTGTTGTTGCTGCCTTTGCAGACGGACGCAAGGGAGATATTGATTTCCCAGCTTTCTTCACCCGAGACAGTGGCATTAAAGCGCCTAGAGTCATTCAAAACGAACTGGATGCCGCTGCCATCATCTGTATGTCGTTATGTCTTATATCAATTCTATTCGATGCTAACTGCTTTCTAGATGCTCAGTCACAGTTACAACTCAAGTCGGGAATGCTCTTCACCAATCCAGTACCAGAGGAGCACTCATTCCCCAAACCGGAAATGGATGCTATCATCACTCGAGCTATTGAACTCGCCCATCTCGAAGGCATCCAAGGCAGTGATAACACCCCCTACGTCTTGGCTAAGATTGAAGAGCTCAGTGGCGGACGCAGCGTAGCTACTAACAGGGCTCTCGTCGAATACAACGTAGAGGTCGGCACCAAAGTAGCTATCGAGCTTGCAAAGCTCGAGTCGGAGAATGGCAAGGATGTGGATCGGTGAGCTGGCACTCCTTTTAGTCTTTACTGGGGGCTACGAGGACTAGCAGGCTGATTGTTATGTTTGTTTCTTATTTAGATATAGCACCGTAGCTGGCAGCCTTCCAATGAATAAAACTCTTGCCGAAGAGGCTCAGGACAGCATCGAATTGTCTGGTGAATCTACGGAGACTTCTTCAGTTCAGGAGCTCAAACAAGACGTGCCAGATCTGCTGGTAGCTGGCTCTCTTGCAGTTGATCTCGCCTGCGACTATGCGCCGTTAACAAACGGACCCTCAGATGGTTCGCCAAAGCTACAAACCTCAAACCCTTCAGTCATAACCCAGACTCTAGGAGGTGTTGGACACAACGTAGCCCTTGCAGCAAGCTATATGGGCAGCTCCGTGATGTTCTGCAGCGTAGTTGCAGACGATATCAGCGGCCGAAGCGCTTTGGACACTATACAGGACTCATATAACCCTTTCTTTCAGTCCGAGGGTATACAGTTACTCCCTTCGGCTCCTAACGCCAGAACAGCACAATACATAGCAGTCAACGATGCCAAAAAGGATCTAATGATCGCCATGGCAGATATGGGCATTCTCGAGCTGCCCGCGAGCAAGCTTAACTTCCGCACGTACTGGGAGCCGCTTGTCAAAGATCAACCCGTGCAGCCTTCATGGGCTGTTGTGGACGCAAACTGGGGCTCAGAGGCAGCTACTGAATGGATACAACTTTGCAAGCGTCAGGGTATGAAAATTGCGCTGGAGCCTGTGTCTTCTCCAAAGGCTGCAAGGTTATTCTACCGACAGAATAATACATCCAGCCATGCTCCAGTTATAAGGGCCACGGATATGGCTCCTGATAGCCACGTTATTGATCTCGCGGCTCCAAACCGGTATGAGTTGGCTGCCATGCATGCCGCAGCACGAGATACTGGCCACTTTGATAGCCCCGAGTGGTGGCGGATCATCGATGCCCTCCAGCTACCTAGTAATGGATCAAGAGTCCGTTTAATCTCACTTACAAACACTGAGCTTGTCAATGAGGGAATACCTCAACAGACTATACAGCTTCTTCCATTAATACCATGCATATTGACCAAGCTGGGTCCTCAGGGGGTGTTATTGACCCAGATTCTATGGCCTGGAGATGAGCGGCTGACAATGAAGGAATACGCTCCGTATATATTTGGTCGAGGACAGGTTGACGATAGCCCAGTTGGAGGAGTTTATATGCGTTTGTTCCCGCCGGAGGAGACACTTTCGGATGCTGATATCGTTAGTGTTAACGGCGCTGGTGATACCCTACTTGGCGTAGTTATGGCTGCGCTTGGAAGAGGAGGACGAGATCGTGAAGTACGTGTGGAGGATGTGATTCCAATTGCACAGAGAGCAAGTGCTATGACGATGAAGAGCAAGCATGCCGTCAGCCCCGAGATATCCCAACTTGCTCCGTTACTGGAGTCGTTGTAATTGCTATCTCTACACACTTGTATTTTAGACGATACGAATCAATATGTAATCATTTCAGCTCAATATGTCCAATGTAGCAGCTAGAGCTTCACCTTCAGCTACAAATACATGCTATTAACAAACATATAAAAGAATAATTCCTGTACAGTTACTCCTGTAAGATACTCCTCGCACTCACACCTTCATTCACGGGCAGCTCCCTAACGCCGTGAAGACCATTGATGCTATTTGTAACAGGATCAAAACTCGGGGGTATATAGGTCACATCCAACAACCCAATTTGAGCCAAAACGCTTGCTTGGTCCCAGTATATATTCTCATGACATATTTTCCCTCCTCGAAAGCTTACCACGCTGACAATGGCTACCTCCACAGCCAGGTTCGTTGGTGGTATGCCCGGAAGAATCCAGGGAATCTCCTGTGTGTGTTTAAAAGAAAGATACATTTCATCCACGAGATGGTCACTACCTTTAGTCCGAGATATAAGCCGGATCTTTAGTGATGGTGGATTTCGAGGGATAAACTCTTCCTCGTAAAACCGACGGAGGGCATCGTGGCCAATCCCTAGAACAACGTCCGTTATGTAAACTAGGTTTCTCTACAGGTATCAGGAAGCAGAAATTGGGTATTGTGCAAGAAGAAGAATTTGAAAGCGCGTGCTAACCTCCAGCGCGAGTTGGGACGTAGTTAATATGTGCCCCATCTGCATAGGAATCCAAAGTCCCCTCGAGGTCTTTGGAAGCATACTTCATGAGAAGATGTCTTTCCCATGTTGGTTCGATATCTGGAGTCATCTCGAACCCTTGTCTGAGGCAGGATACTGTTCGTGACCAGGCCAATCGCGCAGTGACTGGATCATACTGCGGTAGATCGTGCTGGGCAAATCCAACTTTAGAATGGGCGTAGACGTAACATCGCTCTTTGCTGAGATGCGCCTGTGGTCCCGCTAGATGTATCTTGAGACTGAGGGATGAGATGCTCCGGGACTCAAAGGTTGGTATGTGAGTGGGATAGTATGCCACAACCGCACATAGCCTAGGCATAGGCTTCACGCATGCCTCCAGGACGAGCGATGCAGCTTCACCGTATGCTGTAAGAAATTTGCGGTAGGACGCATCACAATTAGCATCAAGTAGTCACGCCACAGATGCGCTCATGGAGCAACCTCGATAACCCACCGACTATTGCGTATCTATTCCCAAGCTCCATTGAGTCTTGCAAGCCCTGAAGCTGAGAATCAAACCTCTTGGGGCTGTCTGTGTGCGGCAAAAATGCAGTATCAAATCCTTCTTCCTTGAACTCATCGAATATCAAAGGATCAAAGTCTATGCTGTCTGCGGCAATGACGATGTTCGGATTTGTTTCATCCCATGAAAAACGCACTTCATTGCGACTCCTAGCCGGCTCACTGTACCGCACGGAATTCTTTTCCTGCACTGAATGGCGCCGTGGATGGAGAGCTTTGGCAGCGAATGATTTCATGATTGGTAGGCAGGATGCAGCGAGATAATATGGCTCACGGGGATTAGGAGGCTGAAGAAACGGAAGCATCATGGCTATATATGAACTTTCAGCATTTTGATGGTTGGCTCAAGAGCTTTTTTTGTCGTATGCTCAATTGTTGGAAGGATATCAGGCCGAATCTTAGAGTTTGTATATCAACGTCATAGTTTCAGGGGGGGCAAAGACGTAACTGTTCAAGGACAGTTAACCAACACAGTCAAGTGACTGGTAATTATTTAGTTATATGAATGCCGAATGAAAACTAGATACAGTATTAGAGGTTAGATATTCATAGCTAAAATATTCGTACATACTGTTGCTCAAGTTACGGTGTCAAGGGCGTACAACGGCGATATGGATATGCAGGCTCTGGACGCATAATTCTCGTGTTAGCATGGTTTGTTAACCACCAAGGATAGTTAGTTAACTAGATCAGAGAGTCTGTCTTGATCAAAGACGATGTCGTCAGTAGTCCACTGGCTCGGGCTTGCTTCGCCGATTCGCTCCATCTTGATATGAGCCGGGATTTCTTGTATCTAGTGGATTTCTCAGCCACAGTGTACTCCGTAGTTAAAGTGTTTCTAGCAAGCTAGGTACGTACCGACCAGAGTGGCTTGTAGCACTCTGTAACTCCTCTGCCAGGTCTTGAAAGACACGACCCTACCCCGGAAATCAGTCAATATCGCGTCTACCAAATGTGATGGTCGCCATCCGCCACGGCCGGGAATAGGGCTTACCAGGCGCCCAGACCTGGAACCAGCCAGCAGCAAAGACTACCAGTAGATAACTGCCTAGCCAATCCGTAGCAGCGACTATGCAGCGCACATCCGGCTGAGAAACAAGAGAAACAAGAGAAACAGGGCATCGATGTAAGCGCCAGCACCAACTGACAGCGGCTGTGGTGCGTCACCGGCCGTCCTCTCAGGCCGCTCTCTGGCCGTTCAGCACGCCCACCTGAAGCCGCCGAGGTTTCGCCAGGCGCCTTTGATGTCATCCCGGCCGTCTCTGCAGGTTTCTTTTTCCTGGCGAGCCAGTAGTTCGTTTTTCTCTTGACGCTTCAGGGTCTTTTTGCAGCGGACCAGGCCAATAACCGCTGGCATCTCCGCCGACCAAGCTCGCCACATCGTCACTCTGTGGACACATCTCCATTCGTCATGGCGGGCTCTGGGGATATAAGAAAAGTCAGCTATCGTCCAGGTTGAGGCGCGGCGATACTCAATTGCGGTTCCTCTGGTCCCTTTTTCTGGTGGTGATTTCCTTCTGCCCTGACCCCGGGGCGTGTTTTATATTGCTTGCCCTTTCATCTCACGTCGACGCAGACGCAGCAGCCGAAGAGAAGAGACGGACTGACGGAGGACGACGAAGAAGACGCCGTCTCTTGCTGCTGGCTGGCTCAGTTTGCCTGTCCTTCTCTTTGCTTCACTCTCATTGTCTGTGTGGATTGAATAGTTATCGTTACAGCTTCATCGCCGTCTTTCACCTCCGTCCCTAGACCCTAGACCTACTGCTAGACTTCACGGCCGCCATGCGCAGCTAGCAACACCAGCAACCACTCGATTTCTCTCGTTAACGGCGCCTCGCACAGCTTTAACAGCTTCAGCAGCTCCAGCCAGGCTCGTCTCTCTCTGCGAGAGCCAGCAGGATGGCCGTGGGAGACGCCATCGACCAGCAGAGCGGGACGGGGCAGCGCTCCAGCGGCATCTCCATCTCGACCTTTCTCGCCTCGCTCGCGACGGCCATCGTCGTCTTCGCCGTCGAATTCATCATCTTCCTCATCCTCAAGAGCAAGTTGACCAGAATCTAGTAAGTCTTTTTTCCGCTTTGCAGTGTTGGTGGTGTTGTGCTGGTTGCTGACCCTCTGTAACTACATAGTCAACCGCGCACATATCTGGTCCCCGAGCGAGAGAGGACTGCGCCGTCGCCAGCTGGCCTGTTTCGATGGATTATACCTGTTTTCCGCACGTCGAACTCGGAGTTCATCAAGAAATGCGGCCTGGATGCTTACTTCTTCCTGCGTTACCTACGGATGCTGCTCAAGATCTTCATCCCGCTCGCGATCATTATCCTCCCTATCCTGATTCCCGTCAACAAGGTCGGCGGTAGAGATAGAGGCCCCATAGACCCGCTTGGGCATGGCTTCATTACTCGATACAACGTCTCCGGGCTGGACCAGCTGGCGTGGGGGAATGTCCGGCCTGAACACAGCCAGCGGTACTGGGCACACCTGATTCTCGCCGTCATTGTGGTTGTCTACGTCTGCGGCATCTTCTTCGACGAGTTCAGGGGCTACATACGCCTACGACAGTCGTATCTGACCTCTCCTCAGCACCGTCTGCGTGCGTCGGCCACCACCGTACTGGTCACGTCTATCCCCAGCAGGTGGCTATCAGTCGATGCGCTCGATACCCTATTTGATGTCTTCCCTGGCGGCGTCCGCAACATCTGGATTAACCGGGACCTCGACCAGCTAAACGCCAAAATCAAACTGCGGAACCAGCTGGCCTTTACGCTCGAATCTGCTCAGACCGAGCTGATCAAGAAGTGCAAGCGAGCTCACTTGAAACAGCTCAAGGCCGAGGCCAGGAAGCAAGGGAAACAGACAAAGGAGACCAAACAGCAGATCCAGGCTGAAAACGACCGCAGAACTACCCAGCTCGTTGAAGGTGCTGGTATTAGCTCTGGAGACCCTCACCAGATTGCTCACACTGTCCAGGACCTCCTGCACCCTAAACGCCACAAAGTACATCAGGTCGGTGCCAAAGTCAGTTCCAAAGTCAGCCACACCGTTGTAGGCGGTTTGAAGAAGATTGGCGGAAGCGTCCATCGTCCAGGAGGCCACCACCACCGCCCAGCAGATCCCCAGGGTAACACTGAAAATGACACCGATGACGCAGAAGCCAGACCCTCCAGCTCGTCACAGACCAACCATCATCCCATGGGTATGGATGGGACTGTTTTTGAACGTCACGATGATGGCCGTCGATTGACCGCGCCCAGTCCCGATATTAGCACCAGCCCGGCTCCTCCTGATGCAGAACAAACTGGTAATAACAAGAAAAAGGACGAATATGACGTCGACAAGGAGTATCCTGTGGCGTACAACGAAGAGTATCAAGAGGACGACTATGGTGAACCAGTCTGGAAGAAGTATATTCGTGAAAAGGACCGAGAGACCATGCGTTTGCCTATCTTTGGTTTGGACTGGATGCCCTCGCTCCCCCTTCTCGGTAAGAAGGTTGATACCATATACCACTGCAGAAAGGAGGTTGCTCGATTGAACCTCGAAATCGAGATCGACCAGCAGCATCCAGAGAAATTTCCCTTAATGAATTCGGCTTTTGTACAGTTCAATCACCAAGTTGCAGCCCATATGGCCTGCCAAAGTGTCAGCCATCATATCCCAAAACAGATGACTCCTCGCATGGTAGAGATCTCTCCTGACGACGTTATCTGGGACAACATGTCCATCCGATGGTGGGAGCGATATATTAGGACGTTTGGTGTAATGGTAATTGTAGGAGCCATGGTTATCGGCTGGGCTTTCCCTGTCGCCTTTACCGGCCTTTTGTCGCAACTATCATACCTAGAGAACCATTTTGTTTGGCTGCGGTGGCTTGGAAAGCTTCCAGAGTGGTTGATATCTGCCATCCAGGGTATTCTCCCTCCTCTGTTTCTTTCAATCCTCATGGCTCTCCTGCCTCTGGTCCTTCGATTCTTGTCTCGGAACCAGGGAGTCCACACAGGCATGGCTATCGAACTCACCGTACAAAATTACTATTTCGCCTTTCTCTTTGTCCAAGTCTTCCTCGTCGTCTCGATTTCTTCTGGATTTTCAACCATTATCGACTCGCTGAAGAACGTGCTGAGTGTGCCGGACCTCTTAGCCCAGAATATACCCAAAGCTAGCAACTACTTCTTCTCCTATATGGTTCTACAAGCCATGTCCGTGAGCGCGGGAGCGTTGGTTCAGATTTTTGCCTTGATCAGCTGGTTTCTTCTTGCGCCCATGCTCGATAATACTGCGAGAAAGAAGTGGGCGAGAGCCACTAATCTCAACCAAATGCAATGGGGGACTTTCTTTCCTGTTTATACCACGCTGGCATCAATTGGTATGTATCATAGGTTGTCGACCACTTGACTTGATAAGCTGCTAACTTTTTATCTAGGCCTGATTTACTGTATCATCTCGCCGTTGATCATGGTGTTCAATGTCCTTACCTTTGGTCTTTTCTGGATTGTCTATCGGTACAATACGCTCTATGTTACCAAGTTCCGTTTCGACACTGGTGGTTTGCTGTTCCCACGAGCTATCAATCAACTCTTTACCGGTCTTTATGTGATGGAGATCTGCCTTATCGGAATGTTTTTTCTTGTCCGAGACGAGAAACAAGAAGTTGCTTGCGAAGGCCAGGCTATCTGCATGATAGTCGTCTTGATTCTCACCATTCTCTTCCAGTATTTCCTTAACGAGGCCTTTAACCCGTTGTCGCTCTACTTGCCCATCACCTTGGAAGATGAGGCCACGCGACGCGATGAAGAGTTTGCTCGTGCCCAACGTCGCAGACGGGGAATCGAGGAAGAAGACGACGATGAGTTGGACAAGGATTGCCAGCGAGAGGATGGCGAGAAGGGCGGCTCAATCGAGCTAAGTGCAATGGGCAATAATCAACACCACGAGCCAACTTCTCCCCTTTTCCTCGGCTCCGGACTCAACCGCGTCAGCGGTTCGAAGAAGAGCAGACGCAAATCCTGGGCTGACAGGTCATCTAACAGCCGCTCACCATTCTTCGGCGGACGTTCTGACCCTAGCATGCCAACCATCCGGACGATACGCAAGAAGCTTGCGCTGGACACTGAGTCACAAGCCCCAGCAACCCATGCTATCGGCCAGTCCCTGTTCTCTGGCATCCACGATGAGCTTGAGGATTTGACGCCTGAGGAGCGTGACCAGCTCGTTCAGAGAGCCTTCCAGCACGAGGCTCTTCGTATGAGACGTCCAGTTATCTGGATACCTCGGGACGACATGGGCGTTAGTGACGATGAAATCTTCCGTACTCAACGGCTCACGAAGCACATCTGGATTAGCAATGAGTACCAGGCCTTGGACGGCAAGTGTCGAGCCATATTTAGTCGAAGCCCTCCTGATTTCTCAGAAGTTGACCTCATTCAATTGTGATTTGCGATTAGCGAATGGGAGGTGTTTTGTCTATCCTTTTTATTGCCTAGCATTTAAGCGTGCCCTCTGTTTTGCATACCCCTTTTTCACCTAAAATTCTACTTCCTATAACTAGACCTAAGATTTATGCTTTCCTTTTCCCGTCTCGGTGTTTCTTCTTCTACTTCTTTCCACCCCTGCTAGCAGAGTCCATAGTTACCATTTGTAATGGCTATAGAATCCATTCAAGAACATTAGTTAAAACACCTCACATCACTTCTAGCCTGTAACCTGATGGCCTTATATTCGTTCATCAGCGGTCAAACATAGGTCTAAACCTTCCAGAATCTAAAACTCCCTGAGCCATTTCCTTGCCTCGTTGGCCTTTTCGTCTGAAGAATCGTCATCATTTAAAAACAGGGCATATGCTTTTCGTTTCAAACTACGTCTAGCCACATCGCAGTCGATACGAATATCGTCAATCAGTGCTTCACGGCTAACGTAGTCATATTCAGGTCGAATATAGCCGAGAATAAGCAGGTTAAGCGCCGTGCCATAAAAATCAGGAAAGTGGTGGAATAGTGGACGTTGGCCGGACGTATCAGTATCAGCAGAAGACGGAGACGACTCCATTGATAGATGGGGCAGGATGTGAATTTCCTGGGCTCGGTTAGCACATTGGCCGTAGCTGAGAGCGAAAAATGTAGACGTACCACTGAGCGGACGGTATTCTTGTAGAACGGGTTATAGCCGATGCTCAGCACGCAGGGAAAGATATCAGTACCGCTCTTTGCTGCTGGCTGATCGGCTTCATCATGTTCGGTGCGGGTATGCTTGAACTGTGACGGGTCCAGGGTTGCAACGCCATAGTATACGCCCTGCTGGAGATCAGGATACTCTGACAGCGTCTCTGCGGGGATATTTGCAGTAGGAATACCGAGCTATGAGGTTCAGTTAGCACTGGACCAAATAAGTGAAGCCGTATAATCATCTTTGAACAGAATTTATACAGGATTATCTGCTTCGACCTCGGGTATTTCTGTAAGCCAGACAGAGAGAGAGTGGCGTATATCAAAAAAGAGACCAGACGGCAAACGTGCAGCCGCCGCCAATGCATCAAGCAGCAAACAAGACAAGTGTATATAAAGACTCCTTACCTCCTTGCTGCCTCTTCCAAAACCCTTGATCACTGGCCCTGACATGCGGATGGGAAACGGGGCCTCTGGTCCAGCGTTGGGGCCGGCGAAATCGTCCCTTGGGCCGTCTGGTCGCATCTTGGCCTGATTAAGTACAAAGCAGCTATTCAAACAGTACTTAGTCCTCCTTACAGCCTCTCTCCTGTTCGTTTTACTTGTGTCTCCTTCTTCCTCTCGTTCTGTTGTCTTCCGGAGGGTTCAAATGTCACTTTTATATCGCCCAAGATCTCCGTCATGTGATTGACCCCGGCACACCCGCTGGCCTTTTATATGTATTATCATAAACTACAAGAGGACGAACAGACAAGAAGACGAGGGAGAGGAGAATCTCAGTGGTTTAAGCCGCCTATAAGAGTAGCCGCGGCGGCGAGAAGTGTCTAGAAGATGTTCTTGAAGAAGTTCCTAAGGCCGGCTAGTCATTCAGTCTGCTCCGGCGGCTCCTCGCCCTCCCTATGTCCCTTGCCAGCCATCGGCGGATACTCCTGGTCGTTGACCGTCTTCTTCGGCACGCAGGTACACCATTCCTCCTTGGGGACGCTGTCCAGGACGCCGGGGACGTGAAGACCGCATCCTCGCCATGTCTTTTGCTCTGTTGAGATCAAAATAACCCGTCAGTTATAACCATACACATAGTGGTGGCTGGCCGGCGCAGCCCCTCCCCCGCCATCGTTCTCGTATTCTGGCGCACAAAGGGGAAGAAGGACAAACCGCAAACGCCACAGGTAGCTGGTCTACACATTTTGATGCTGTGCTATGGCTTGGTGTATCGAGTGTCTGCTGCTTGGTTGCTCGGTTGTCCTGCTCTCTCAGTTAGCTGTAGCTTGTGAGATGGGCTGGGGTAACTTATTAATAGCCACTTACCGTTTGGCTCTGTGGAATTGCGCTTCCTCTGGGCCAAGGATCCAGGAAATCATAAATAACTACCTGGTTGAGGACTCGGCGGTTATAGCTGATGGCTTATATAGTTACCATTTGGTAGCCCCCAAATCGAAGGTGACAGCTTCAAGCTAGTCGGCGACCTCGGGCTTCATCGGTGTTGTGTCTCCCTTGCGCAGCCGCAGGGAACAATGGACTAGTTGAATACGGGATACCAAACACAAGTAGGAGATAGTTAAATGGTTAGTTTTCTATGTTATCTTTGTGTTGCTGGCTGATCCCCAGCAAGGGCCCTAAAAGCTTGGTGTGTTTGTTTATTTAGCCCGTACGCTATTTTTAATATCCAGGGTGAATCCCCAGGCCGCTTCCCCGGCATCGATGCTGGGGGGTGGACGGGAAGAAAACACGGAGGAGAATAACGCATCCCTCGAGGGAAAAGGGCGGAGTGTAAAATAAAAAG